GCGGGAAACGGTAATTCAATTGAGGTTATCAGGTGCCGGCGCAGGTGGCTAACTGATCACAATGATCTTTGCTGACTTCTGTTTTCTCACAGAGAGAGAGAAAGACTATCAAAGTTTATGTTAGATCAGAGGTTTCTGGTCCTTCTTTTCTTGCTCTTATCGACTTTTTTCTCCTTTCTGTACTTATTCTCCCTCCTAATCATGCCAATTCCAGGAGCTTCTCCAGAAGTCTACAGTATGCCCAACTACTAGTATTCCGTTGATTTCATTGGTTTCCCGTTGATGCCATCATTCTTTTTGTACTTATTGTTCCAACCTAATGGTCCGTGCTCCTTCTTTCTCTTTTTCTTTCTTTTTCCCTCTCTCTCTCTCTCCATTGAATCCTCTTAAAGACTTCGCGGGCCACCGCCACTCAGATGTTCTTTGTGCTCTTTCAAGTGTTGCATATTTTCTCACTATTCCAAAAAAGGTCTTCTTCTATTCAATATAAAAGTCTACGGAACCTCTTTTCACCCTTCTTCCTTCCTTCCTTCCGTTTCTGACTCATATTCCATCAGCTGATACCCTCTTCCAAAAGTGCACCTCTTCCCTCGTTTCCTTCTGAATTTTCGATTGTCCACGAGCCCGTTCCCCTCGGGGACCGATTTCCGAACAACTCGTCCCTTTTTCCACCTACGGTCATTCATCAAACGCCTTTCGGTTTCGAAACCCGCGAGTTTTCCACGTCACGCGGGGAGAAAGTCGCTCGGCTCAAATTGCCTGTTTTCGAACTCAAACTGATTGAGAAATAGGTTCGTGGTGCTGCCGGAGGGACTGGGAAAAGGCACTTTTGACCATCAACAATCCCGTGAACTCACTTGAACACCATCAAATATTTACATTTTTGACATGCCTTGAGTTCCTTAAATAATTCAGAATGCGTCGAGAGTGTCTCTGCAACTGTACAGTCGGCCATTTCGCCACCTAATCCATCTTCCATTCTCGTTCCCGTTGCTCTGCGTCTCCCCAATCCGCCCACTCACTCCTCCACCGTCCCCGGGGACCCATTTCGACCACTTTTTCCTCTTCTTCCGGCCCATCGGTGTGTGTGTGTGTGTGCTCCGGCTCCTCTTCTTTTTCTCTCTTTTCTTTCGTTTTCAGTCAAACTCTTTGCCCATCCAGTTGACCCTTATTAGTTGTTTCCATTAGATCGCTTATCTAACAGCTCGCAAATCTCTGCATGTTTTCTGCTTTTCCGTTTTCAGCCGACTCCCGAAAAGTGCTTGTCAAACCCATCAAACGTGTTTTTTGTGTTGGGTCGGACGGGCGAGAACCGGAAGGAAATTCATTTAGAACGAGTTATTTTTTATGGAATTCTGTGCGGTCACCTGTTCTGATTGCTTTCCGCCCACTTTTTGGTGTCTATCTGTGATCCGATCCCGCTTTCCCTCCTTTTTCCACTCATTTCTCTGTTCTTCACGACAGTACCTGAGAACTCGTGTCACGCCACGTGGTCCCCTTCCGTCCGTACCCTGTAATTACCCATCTCGGTCTCTTTTCCTCTCCGGATTGCTCCAGGCTTCTGAGTGCAATGAAATCGTCGTCTTCCTCTTCGTTTCGCGCTCTTCCGTCCGTCCATTCCACTTTTCTTTCCTACTGAGTTCAGCACCTAATCCTCTCCTCTGAAATGTGCTTTTATCACCGACCGATCGTCACTTTCCATGCATTTTCGACGAACTTTGTGAAGTATTTATTGAACTGATCACTTGCTCTCTATTCTCGGTCATTCGGCTCCAAATCAATACAGTATCTTCCTATTTGTGTCTATTTGTGCTCCGCGAGTTCTGATTCCCCGGAGAGCGCGCCCAGCTCGGCCCATCTCATTTATTTTCACTTACTCACTAGTCCATATTCACTCTCTCTCTCTCTTTCTCTTTTCCTCAAAAATGTTTCAAACTTGGGAGGATTTGTGCGACGGTTGAAATTGCGTTTTGAAACCGAGAAAAGTTTGTGCTCTGCTCTTCCCTGCTCGCATCTGCCATACTACAGTAACCCTCTACAGTCCGTCCGCTTGTTTCTCTCCGATTCTCTCTGCGAATTCCCACCGGAATCCACCGCCAAAAGAGCCAAAACACGGCGTTTCCGTTCTGTAATTTATCGTCCGTCCTCTACGTCACAATGTGTCGTCTGTGCGCACAAAAAGACGAGCGGAAAGCGGAAATAGACTGAAATGAGGGGAAAGAATGTAAACGTTTTTGATAGGAGAAGAATCTTTGGTCGGGGATTAGCGTTCGGACCCATCCGTCTTCCGTCGCTTGTTTCCACTTTTTGCTTGCTCGCTTTTCCTTTTTTCAACCAACTTGTTTTGTTTATGGCTATTTCTCCACTTTTTGTTCTTTTTCACTCTTTTCTTTCCTACCGACACGCCCATTTAAAAAGATTCTCTCGGGTCGAAGGGCAAGTGCGCTCCAGCGAGCTACAGTACTCCTTCTTTGTTTTGGCGTGAGAAACCGTTCAAAATTCATGCATCCTCGTCTCTTTTTCCTTTTTTATTCGAATTCGCTCTTTATTGCCATTCAAGGCTCCTCTCATCCGAGTCCCATTTCATCGCCCTTCTATTCTCTTTCGTGTCGTCTTCCCAAAAACAACACATCGAATTATGCATAAAGAATCTGACTTTTTCGCTCTTTTTCTTTCGCTTCTTCTCCGATGCGATCGTATTTCATCCTTTCTCCCCACTATCAGACAAATCAATTCGAATATAATTAGAACAACGTAGACAAATTGCGAATCTAATTAGATAGATTCGAATTGATTTGTTTGAGTTTGCGTTTCTCCGTTGATCCGAAGCCCATGACTACAACGTCACGTCTTTGACTTTTCCGGAATTGTATTTCTGCTTCCCTTTCTTTTCTGTCCGCCATTCGCAGTTAATTTCCAATCAAGAGTCTCCCTTGTTTTTCTCCTTCCTCTTCTTCTGGCTCCTCACTAATTTCTCGGAGCAGTCCGCTCCTCCGAGACAGTTTCCGAACACTTTGACCTATTCTTTCCCCGGAAACGAACATTTGAGGGCTCCTAATTGACCCCGCCGACTTTTTGTCCTTTTTCCTTTTCCGATGGTCATTAGTCAGAATGAAAGACAAGGTAATCGACCAGACGAGAGAGTGTGCGGAGTGGAGAGACGCCGAGAAAGAGAGTGATGACAGATGGCGTCGATTTGTACGGGAGCTGCTCGACGAGTCGACTCGGACAAACATCCAATCTCGGCGTCCCGCTTCTTCTTCTGAATCTCATGCTCACTTTTTCACTTTCTGATCGTCCGATCACCTCCTCGTTTATTTTATTTTGTTTTATTCCTCCTCATCTGTTTTCTCCACCTCCAGCTGTTGTTTCTGATACCATCCGTTTGCCATCAAATCTTTTTTCCCTCCGAAAACTTCGCAGGTGTGAATTGCGTATCGAATTGCCGTCCAACCCTCTGAATCTTTCATCAACACGCGAAGGAGGAGTAGAAGAAAACGAAGATTTTGATCTACTCTTTGGCTCCGCCCACTTTTCATACCTTTGAGATTTTCGAGCGTTTTTGTTTTCGACGCAGAAGTTTGCTGATTGGTCGTCGCTCTTTTGTCCGTTTTTCCTTTTTGTTTCATACTTGGAGAAGAAAGTGAAATGAAAAATGCGGGAGAAGAAGAAGAAGAGGACGTCACAAGAAGGGTCCGAAGAAGAAGATGAAGAAGAAGAAGAGAAAGGAGAAGAAATTTGAGGCGTCGTCTCAGGACGCCAATTATTTCTCGCACAGGTGCACTCGACGGACTCTTCCGGAAGTTGTTGTCCTCCACGGGTATCCCTTTTCTCCCCTCACTTTTCTGCCTGATTTTGAAACATTCAAAAGAAGCGGTTTTCGGTCCGAGCTTCTCTTTTTCGCCCAAGAAAATTATATTTCGGGGTTTGTGGGGGAAGGAAGTGATGAAAAAGAGAAAGGACCGACAACTGGGTCAGGTTCCCATCGGTTCGGTTATTCGGGCCTTCTGAATCTTTGTCTAGCTCTCTATTCCGTATCCGTTCAGCTTTTCACTCTCTTCTCGAAATCTTCTCTGCTTTAAACATTTGTAGAGCGCTTCTGCGAAAACTGTACAAACTTTTCCTACTTCGCTGTCTTTTGCTACCTCTTACAGATTATGTGCATTTGTGGGCATCTGCTCATTCTCGGCCTTCCACCTGACCGAATCCTTTCTACCGTAACCCATCCGGAAGTTTCGAAAACGAAAACCCATTTCATTTCCGTTCGAATTTCCACTCACCTGTAACTAACCAATTTCGCTTGACTCCGTGACGCATTTCCTCCGTGCGCTCTTCTTACAAATCGGCCAAAATAGCCTCGTTGCGGCGGCGCCGTGAGTAATTGCTGCTCTCATCTCGTATTCACATCACTATCCGCCCACTGATTGACCTAATATTCCAGCCAAATAACCGAGAGTCCCTCGGAAAAGAAAAAGTTTTCATTTGTGCGTGTCGAAAGTGGAAATAAGGGACTCCGCGCGCGGGTGACCATCAAAAAACTCATCATGAACCACCCGCATTAAGAATTTCAATTAATTTCGCGTACATTATCCTCTTCTTCCGAGTCCTCCTTTCCTTTTTCGGAAGATCTCCTCCTCCTTCTTCTTCTTCTTCTTCTTGTCCGCCATAACTCTTTGTGACATGTTTTGTCAGTGTGCCTTTCCTTCCATAATCTACTTCTACGAGGAAGGGTCACAAGATATATTTTTTCTTCAGTGTACTTTTTATTTTATTTGTCAGCTCAATGATGTGGGTTCCCATACGGTTCCCTAAGGATTCGCTGAAAAGAGAACTCATTCTCGGAATCCTCACTATTCTGACTCTTTGGGAAAGATTTGTGAACCTTCCCTACCGTACCCTTCAATTCTCTCTCTCTCTCCGTGACTCATCCGTTCTCTTTTATAGCATCCACCTATCCAACAGTTTCGTGGTGCTCAACACAAAATGATCCGCGGCTAACCATGTGGGGCGACTCCGAGAAACCGGATCCGCTGCTGCTTGGAACGCATATCGGCGACGGCCGTCACCATCCGCACCACCATGCCCACCACGCGCACTTCGGGCTCGCCGGCAAACCCTTCTACCACATGGACAGGTTCGCGGTGACGGCCACTTCCTCGTCGACGACGACGACCACGACCAACTCGACGTCTTCGCACCATCATCTTGCGAGTCATCACCACGGGATCACTGCCGGAACTTCCTCAATGGGTCAGATTAACGGAGCGGCAAGCGGAGGAGCCGGATCTTCGCGGACGAGGACACCGCAGCCAATTGTGATGTGGAAGGGCGAGACGAGCAGGAAGAAACGATTCGGTCAGTTCACTCCTTTGTTTTTATTCCATTCCGTTCCGTTTTTAAGTTTTATCCGGAAAGCACAGCGCATTAAATAATCAAGAATCATGGGTTGATTGAAAGAAAATCAAAAACAAGTAGACAATTATAAAAAGTGGTCAAAATTGTTGTGCACTGTGTCATGATCGGTGGTGACTACGAATAAACATAAAAACAAAAGGGCAAAGCACATAGGTCAATGGAAGTACGGTCGACTGGACCTCGGAAAACGCCAGTTCGTGTGACACCCACTGGAGCATTTCATTTCAGCTCCGAAATGTGCCATTTCCTCCCGAAAACGTGCAAGTTGCCAGCTTGTTCGTTATTACTTTTCCTGCAAACTGCCCGTTTTGCGTGGCGCCCGTCCTACTTGTAATCTTGATTATCCCGTCCAAATCCACGTCTCGAGACTGCTCAGCCGATTTACGAACGAACTTCGCTTAGCTACCAAACGTGAATAATTCAGAAGACGTCAAAGAACTGAGCACTCGTATACCAATCGGCTCCGCGAGCCGGTTGCTGATCTTTCGAGAAGACAAACAGACACTGATCTCTCCGCGTTTCGATACCACATTTTTTCGGTTTTCAGTCGAATGTTTTCGGTCACTCAGTCATTCAGCTCATTTCTCCAAAAATATATCATCCGAATCGGCCACCGAAATGTAGAGTCATTTGAGTTTCCAGTTGAAGTATCGGGTGGTCAAAAAGCCAACTTGTTTTCGATTCAAAAACGTGTAGTCAAAGTAAATGAATATCTTGCTTATTCACTCAGAGAATAGTCTAATGATAAATGAAAAGTTTAGAGATGTTTCCTGGTTCGCGCGTAGGCCAATCAAGATGCTCTAGGCCCCCAATTCCCTATTGAGCCAAGAATAGCTCCGTGTGCCATTTTTACTCGTCGTCATATTATCATATTTTATGCAAATCAAAGTCAGAACCGGGACAAGAAAAAGTACGAACGCCAAAATACAACAGACTTCTGCTCTCTGCTCTCCTCCATATTCTTCTTTTCACTGACTCATTCCTTCCCCTGTTTCTGCTCACGGAGCATCGTTTTTCCTTCTCTCCATCATAACAATTTGCATGTTGACGCTCATTAGATGATGACAAATTGGGCCAATTCACGACGTCGTCCACGATTCCGACGTTTGCTTTTCTGATTAGTCAATGATGGATACGGTAGTTTTGCGCGTGCTCGGCGAGCAAAGTTCTGCGCCAACGAAGCCCATGGTGGTATCGGCCGGCGGAAATTTGATTTCGATGGACGACGCGGTCCGCAATTTCGGCGCCTTGAAGAGAGTAATCCGATGAGCGACAAATCTCGAATTTCCGTCGAAGAGCCCTGACCTTTTTTGGCTCTTCTGTAGAGCGCATTTGTGCTTTTGGAGCACAAAAATTATGCAAAAGGAAAGAGTGCTCTTGCACAATTCACTCCTGCTCTTTCGCCTCATTATAAGCCCTCTGGTTGAGCTTCCTCGTTCAAAAAGTCTAGTTTCAATTGAGACAAAAAAAGAAAAGTCTCTTCTTTGCGCTTCGGGAGAATATGTTTTTCTGCTTCCTCATTTCGACAAAGGTTTCATCAGACACTATTTATTCAACAAGATAAGGTTTTTCGGATCAGTTAGGACTTCTGCAACAATTCAACGCATGATTTCTCTTCCTTTTTCGGTGGGTGGGCCGGGGGACTCGTTAATTCCGTATAATGGCGTTTCGCATTCAAATTTCGATCATCTCAGCCATTCTCTCAATTCGCTTCGGGATCCGCCCGTTCTAAAAGTAGCTGCGCCTTTAGATGCGCATTCTCTGGCCGCGCGCGACTTGTTTCTCCGTTGTCAACGAAAAACAAAACTATTTCGAAAGGTTCGAGATCTTTCTGCTCTACCAGATCTCATTCGTCATGTAGATAAGTCTGCAAAAGCGAGTGAGAATTTCATGAATTTATCTTCGTTTCCCTGCCCGTTTCCCCCTCGTTTTTCTGCTTTTCACAATAAATGACCGTCAGATATTCATGTGAAGAATAACAATGAAAGGGAAGGGAAAAGGAGAGAGAGAGAGAGCGCGAGTTTAATTAGAGAAGCACAACAGTGGATTGATTTCGGCCGAATGTCCTCCTTGTTTTCAGTCCTTTGCGATGGGTGTTGGTTAAGGGGTGAAAACAAGAGAAACTGGACGGAAACGCACTTGAGAACTGTCTCGAGCACTCGCACAGATCAGCTGATCCACCTGGTTTAGGGCGACGCATTCCTCTCTTTTTTTCTCGTTTTTCCATTCATTCAGAACTGGATCCTTTCTCATTTCCTAAGATCAAACAATTAGAACTTTCAAAAGTCGGCCTCACAGATCAGTGGAATCCAGTAAGATCAGACAGACAAAACGGTACTTTGGACCTGTCAGTCCCTCCCGAAATAACTGTGTTTTGTGTCATATCACATCACTTCCAATCGGCCCATTTCCTCAAATATTTGTCGTCCGTTCTTCCCACTCTCCCCCCACCGGATCGTGCTCATGATTCTGTTGATCTTGCTCAAGTTGTCACCGACTCCACGAGCACTTGTTCGTGGGAAAACGATATCAGTTCGAAGAATGGTTTTTGGTGTTTTTGCGATCATCGTTCGATCGGTAATCCCCTCTTCTCGACTCTTTCTGATGACATTTTGCGCTGGCGTCGTCAATCAAAACGTGGCTGTCGTCGACTTGTCTCCGACGACGTCAGAACGGATTCGAAAGACGTGCGGATATGAGTTGATTGTTTTTCGGTCGGTTCCGGGTCTCTCAGATTCATTTCCCACTTTCCCATTTCACCGTATAACCTCCTTTCGGACTTCTGACCCCATAACGCATCCATCACCCACAGCTCTCCCGAAACAAAGAAACCAATTTGTTTCTTGCCGCTCCGAATCCCTTGCGTTCACATAAAACGGGATCATTTCTCTTGAGCGCCCAGAAATTCTCACTCAAACTTTTGCATTTCGACTCGTTTTCCCCTTTCTCCGTTTGACTATGCAACGAAAAAAGTGCCGAGTGGATTCGAATAAACAGACATTTTTGGGGGAATGCAAATGAATGAAAGCGGTCTCGAAAATGAGGTCCCACTTAAAAACCGACGGAGAAACAAGTGGTTAGTTGGCCCAATTTCGTTCTTTCTCGAAGATTCTTTGCGGTGGAAAGCGTCTTCTTCTTCTTCTTCCTCTGAATCATCATCATATTGAAGAAGGGTAGGAGGAAGAGGAGCAAAGTAGGTTGGCACGGCTCTTTTGCGTTTTGATTGGTTTTTCGATTGGATTGCTCCTCCACATTTCTCATCTTTTTACTTTCTGAAACTTCTCCAGAGCACACGTAGTCTTGAGCAGAAGGGTCTCTGGTCGGTAGCTGAAGGGCTTTCTGAAGACATTATTTGATTGGAGGGTCTTATCTGGTTGCGAGTTATCTTTCCTTTCGACAAGAGTACATTACTCCGGAACCCTTCCCTTTATGACTTGTTCGGCGGCGTTGCCCCGTCTCGTATCGCTTCACAGCTGAATTCTGAGAAGAAGCAGCTGATTTTTGTGTTCCGCAATTACGCGGAAACGGGTGCTCTTCTCAACAATCAGCGCGCTCATTTCTGATAACAATAAACAGAAAGTGCATCGAAACGCTATACCTCTCCCCCATCTTCCACTCTTTTATTTCGGTTTCTCATTCTTCAGAAACACCGATTTTTCAGTGTTTTTGACGTGTTTTCTGCTTGAAAACGAGGCATACGAACACACGACCAAACGAGGGAAAACAATGGATTTTTTCAAATTCGAACGGCTTTCTCCTTCTTCTTCTTCTTCTTCTTCTGCCTTGGGACATGCATTTCGAAAACGGCAATTTGTCATCAGAGCCCAAAAAACAAATATTATTTTTCATATGCACTTTGTCTGCGTCTCGACACGCGCCCGTTCACTCTCCGCTTTCCAACTCCGCCCATTTTCCAGAAACGCCCCGCCCTCTCTTCTTTCTCTTTCTCTCGAATGTTTTCGTGGCTCGGCGAGCCCGAAGGCCCGGAGCCGCTGCTTTTTCTCGCTGACCGCCACCATTATTGCATTCAATTCGATTGGAAACATTGCAACTTTTGACACGGACTCACCAATTCTCCCCTTTTTGGTCTTTCCGATCTCCCGAATCCAATAGAAGGGGACCAAAAATCTTGCGGAAAACGGGAGCAGCTAGAGACGCTCTAATTATTTTTCAAGTGTTCTTTTCCCCTTCGGCGCCTCCGGACACGACATCATTATTTCTCCATACAAAACTGAATTGAGTTGTGTTGAGCATAGGTGGACGACCAGAGCTCAGTTTTTCAGAAGAGAGCTCTTTAGGTGTGCTCCCCTAGGCTTCTTCTTCTCACAGTAACCCTCCCATAATGATTTTGTCCTTCTTCGAAAGCATCAATAACAAGTAGGGTTGGCATCAAATTTCGCTTGTTACAAGTTGTCGCCCTTCTTTTCCCGACCACAAATCGTCGATGTCGGTGTCGGTTTTCGTTCGTATCCGACAACAGATTTGTCATGGTTAGACCCCTTTTGCCAACCGATTGGGTCCCTAGAGAAGTCTATAAATAAATGGGCGGAGTCTTCTTGATTGTTCTTCCGCGTCTCTCTAATTGCTCACATTTCCATCATTCTCATCATCATCATCGACTTTTTCTTCCGTTTGCACGTCTTCTTTCTTCTTCTTCTCCTTCTTCCTTTCAAGCCTACCCCAAACGTTTGAATAGTTCAAACAAAGGGTCTTTTCTGGCGACGCGAGAATCTTTCGTTAGAAATTCAGAAGAGGAGAAGCTTAGAAGGCGGCACGCGCTCTCGCGCCCGCTTTTTCAAGTTCAAAGAATGTTGAGTGGGTCCCGCAGACTATACAAAAAAGAGTCACCAATTGAGCTGAGCGAGCCTTAACTTTATTTACGTTTATCATCGTCATCTGGGGAGAAGACGTTCCGGACGGATGGGTGACCGGGAAAACACCAATCAGACGGATGGATGGAGGGTGCTGGACGAGCCGAATTTCGGAAGAGACCACCCTAAAGGCATCATATTTCCTCCCTATCGGAGCGAGAAAACGGATCTTCCGGGAATCTCCTCGGAGTGCTTCAACCTTCAACACGTCAGCAGGACAAAGTTTGAGCATGAATAGAGAAAACAGTTCAAGAGTTCAAGCATTCCACAAATGGACCCACTTTCACACCCACTCTCCCCTTTCCTGGCGCATTTCCCGTCCATTTTCAATTCAGGAACTAATTGCTGAAACTCAATTTTGCAAAGAGCTCTCTGCTCTTCTATTTTTTAAATGGTTGGTGGCCTCTGAAGCTTGACGCATATTTCCGGGACTTTCTGTGAGATTCGCGTCACTTTCGCACTTTATTTTCAGTGGAATCGGTCGGTTCTTGCTGAAAATCTTCCGCATTTGGAGCCCGCCCGAGGACCCGCCCCCAGGCCTGGGCGGGCGATCCGTTTCCCACTGTTTGAGAAAATGTTAACAAAAAACCTGGGAGCGAGAGAAATACCATTTGCGCGGTAGAAGAGAGAGACGCAGACGGTAGACAGTTAAAGGCGCTTAGCATGAAATTTATTTCTATTCACCGCGCGAATGGTAGTTCTCTCGCTCCCACATTTTTTGCGTTGGCCAGATTTTTTCTCCGTTTCAATCGGTAATCCGCCCAGGCCTGCCCGCCCCTTTCTGAGACTCCGCCCATTCTGCCCGGAAGTTTGGCACCTTTCAAAGAGTCTGCTGCTCTTCCAATCTGTCCCTCTTATCTTTTGTTTCCCTTCTTGTCGTACTTTTTCCGCAAAAATCTCTGTCAACATTCGATCCGTCACTATTTGTTGCCAGTATTGCAGTACTACACACTCAAGCTCTTCTGGTGTCTCTGTAGTGCTCACTCGCGCAACGAACACGTTGTGAACCGAACACGAAATGTTGTCGGGCAACACAACTATGATGAACGACTACATCATGTTCCGCCTGCTGGTGGACGACTCCGGACGGCACAAACAGAAGCGGAACTCTCTGCAGCCTCCCGTCGGAGCTCCCGGAGTCCCTGGAGCCGCGGGAGTCGGACAGGGCGCCGGCGGACCGCGGGGAAGCTTCATGATCCCGCGGAAGTCAATCACAACTGAAAACGGTACTGAAAGGGAGCAACGCACTGTTGGTGTGCGGGGTTTGCGCGCGAAACTGAAACACAGAACATGTTATAGCTCCGAATACTAATCCGTTGCATTTGCAGAGCCGTTCTGCTCTCCGATGGTTCCGCACGTGCCGATTCGTGAACGTCTCGCTCGACGAGGAACAAGTGGTGAGTGGTATGACGTGGCATTCCTCAGCCCGTGACATCATGTTGACATAGACATGTGGGGCACTGCACGCTTTTTGTGGGCCTCTGCGACGGCGAAAATGAAGGATGACCAGCTTATTCAAGTGAGATTGGGAGTGTGTTCACTGGGTAAGAGCAGCGAGCAATAATTGCTCTTTTTGCTGCTCCCGCCGCCGCCGCCGCCCGTCGCTCTTTTTGTTCTCGTCCCCAATGAAAGGGAAAGAAGGGCCTCAAGAAGGAAGTTGAGTGGGCGAGAAACGAGTAATTGCGGGCAGTTTGACACGAGAAGGGCACTTCCAAGAAAGACAGATTGGGACTAAAAACGACGAGGAACTAAAGGACCTTAATTTGCAGCTGACATGAGCGACGACGCCAGTGCGTACACATGTTATGCGCCGAGACGTCGACGGATGAGCCTCCTGCAGACGCTCCGGCAGCAGAATCGGGCGCTCGCCGACAGCGGATTCGACATGCACCGCCAGAGGACCGACAGTGAGAGCACGAACCGAGGTGAGCGGAAGCTCACGTACTTCCCTTTGCACCTTTACACTCCCCTGCTTCCCGCTCTTTCCCATGAGAGCTCAATTGAGCAGAAAGACACCGTAATCCGCTGCATTTTGATGTTTTTGACTTTCTCAGAAGCAGGGGGTTTCAATTATTCATAGCGGCCGTTCTCACGGAATTCCGCAAAAAAACAATTTGATGAGGCCGAAAATTAGGAGGCGATTCTATGGGAAATGGTTTTCAGACACGTGCTCTCCGACCCAGAAGGCTTCTCCACCGGCAACTCCGTCGAAGAAGGCGACAATGGCATCGCAGATCAAAAACAAGTAAGCATGGACGGGGAAACTTGATCCAGAGACTCATTATCTGAAACTCAATACGCTTGTTTTGAACTGGATGTTTTCGCGAAGAGGGCATTGCTCTCTTCCCGATTCTTACGGTAGCCCGATGTCCCAAGGCGCCAATGTGTCCTTCGTTTTCACGTACGCGGAGCACGGAAGAAGGGGTCGGGTGAGCCCGGAAAAGAACTATGACGGAGAGGTCCCCGGGGACGAAAATGTGAATAAATTGAAAACGGGAAAGGAAGAAGAAAAAAGACAGGCAAAAATAAATGTTTTAAATGGCAGGCGCGTGGCGATTTTTGGTGCCGAAGACGGAGGTCCCTGAAGAAACAGAGAGAAAGGAGGAAATGAAATGGATTTGCAGGATATTCGGCAAGAAGAAGGACTCGGGCGCCTCGGGAAAAGTGTACAACAACGGGGAATACTCGCAGAGCTGCGACCTCATCAACGGTAAGAACGCCCACGAAGCCGAAAGAAAGGACTCTTCTCCCTTTTAAGGCCGTTCCCGCAAGTCTCCGTCGACCACAAACGACAGCGGACGGGGAAGTCAGGGACATTTGGAGGAAAAAATGGAAGCAATGGTGATCGAGGAACATATCGAAAACGACGATTGCGGATGCGAAGAGGAAGAAGAGGAGGAGATGGACGCTCCGATTCTGAGCAACAAACGGAGCGATGTCAGAAGACACCGAACTAGTGAGTAGATGATAACGAGGATACTTTCAGAGCAAGACACAGAAATTTCAGGCTCGTGTCCCGACATCTCGGCCCTCGTTTTTCACGAGCCGACGTCTTCCGGATCCTCTTCTGGCAGTAAGAAATGTCCGATCGCAGTGGACACTGACACGGAAGAGGAGCACTTCGAACGAGTCAAACGGGCAAGCTCTCCCATCACAGGTACTCCATCTCTTTCAGCTTTTTCTCGAGCTCATTCCTTTTTCTCTCTTTGCAGCAGCCGATTGTCTTGTGGAACGTCGTCTGAACCGCAAGTTCGTCGAGCAGCGTCGTCAGCAAGTGGCCATGTAAGGAGTCCTTCCCCGCCAGTCCTCCCTTTCCCCTCTGATCTCCGATTCTCATGTACTCCTTCACCGGGCAACATCCATCCGTTTATTATTGTCAAACCAGTATTTGTCGCTATGCAATTGTTACCGTAATCTTCCTGTTCGACCCTACAGTAATCTTATCTATCCCGCTGATTTCGACCCGATTTGCAGAAAAAGAAACATACTGGTGCCATCGAATAAAATGAAAACAAGCAAAAAAAACATAATATTTGACCCGCTTTTACTTGGTGATTAATAAAGTGTACATACATTTGAGAGCCAAGAGTTTCAGATTTTCAGCCGAAAATTCCAATGGAATGAATGGGAATGCTGAAGTCGGAGTGCATGTTTAAAGTCCAAAGGACGAATTTATGTATATTATTTTCTGACATGAATTGAATGGAATGTTGCCCGGTGTTGCCCTAGTTTCCATCTGTCTCTCTGTTTCTCTGTCTTTCTCTCCATCTTTCCCACTCCCGGAAATGAACGATATTCGGTTCGAACGAAATCCTTTTGTTTTCAGGAGTCACATCGAAGAAGTTTCCGATGACGTCAGCAGAGTCTCCACGTTGTCCCGGAGGTTTGAACCGTCCGAAGAGCATGAAGAAATGAACGTTTCAGAACTGCGCAGACGGAAGATCTCGCCGACTTCGACGACAATTTCTCGTCGGTCGTTCTCGATCACTTTCTGTCTTCTACACGTGAGTTTTCAGAAAATGTGCACCCAAAATATCAGTTACTCATTTTAAAGTGCAGACTAGCGTTCCTGAATGGTTTGAGGTTCAGTTTAACGAAGTGCTGTAGAGCGGGAAAACTATTATTTTTAGTGATTGCTCCTCCGAAATTTCGGTTCCATCCATAAAACAAATGCGCATTTCGGTCGCCCTTAGAGACAGAAACCATCGCTTTTTCCTTCTCCTTTTCTCTTTTTCTCCGTTTTCTTTCCAATTTTCTCGTAAAAAGTGCCCGTTTTCCCTTTCGATTTTCCCGTCGTCTATCTCAAAAACGAGCAGATAAAAGCATAGTTAGCCGGGGGAAAAAGGAGGTCCAAGTGTTCTTTTTATCTCGTTTTCCCCTCGAGAGTCATAAATGAGAGAGACCTTCGCTCCGTTTTCCCTTCCGAATCAGTTTGCTCGTCGATCTTTCTCGCACCGCCGAGCAAATATATCGATGAAGGCTCGCGGAGCTCTCGAAACATTCAAAACCTAACAAACGCATACACAAATATTTTTGTATCATATTTCACTCGAAAATTCTGTTTTATGACCTTTTTTGAGTTTTTTTTTCTCTTGATCCATATGTTTTCAGAGCTCAACTTTGACGATTCCGACTCTGCGGACTTCTCGCTGAGCGGGACAATCGACGACGAATTCCAGGAGGATCCGTGCGAAAGGTAATTGGGAGGGGAACAGCAGAACAGGGACCATTTCTCATCGGGGAAAACATAAACCCATAATGTGGAGTTGAAGGTAATCCCGGAAAGATTCTGCGAAACAAAGCCATTGTTGTGCGCTTCCTTTTCCATTTTCTCTCTTCTGAGTTCTCAGTTCTTCCCGTTTCTGCAATAGTACAACATTTCCACTCTTTTTCAGCTCTTCAAACACTGCCACGTCTGTCCAGACGGACTTGACACTTTTGAATGTGGAGCAGGAGATAGCCGAGTACCTGGAGCATTGCCGCGACGCCAGCGTCAATATCACGGAAGAAGTGAGCACAAAATGAGATTTTGATTGGTCCGTGGAATGTTTTCGGAAGAAAGGTTCCTTCCGTTGTGGCTCCGGGGGCTTATGATATGTGGAAAAACAAACAAAGGTGTCGAAATGACGAGGAGAAGGGGTGAAGGAAGGGGCGCACGGAGAGGATGCAAATTGGATTTGACCCCTTCTTTCCCCCGTCTATTTTCGTTTCTTTTCGAGGGTCCTGATGATGCCTTCTCCCACTCCATTCTCTTCGTTTTTCACTCCAATACGCCCCAAATGATCTACTCATCATCTCCCCTGAGATTGTTGCTCAACTATCGGGCTCACTTTTCCCCCGGATTCACTAGATTTATTGTCGATTTCTTCGGTCTCTCAAAGATTCCTTTTTGGCTTTAAAATTCAGTCAGTAGTACGAATTTCTGATCTTTCATTTAAAACATGTACTTGATTCAATTACAGTAATGAACCAGGTGCAAGTGATCTCATACAACTCAAACTCAATTATATTATTTTTTTTTCCGAGTCTCCTTGTGAGATTGTCGTCTTCTCCGTAAAACTCATCAATTTTGTGGTGAAGAGACAGAGATTAGAACCTCCTCCGACTCGTTTTTTGGCAACTTTCTCCCCTGCAAACCCTTTTTTCCCCTCCCAAAGTGGCTTCGTTTTCGTCGGGAAAGTAATCTTGCATCGTATAGAAAATGAGCGCCTCGGCCCAAATTAACCAAATTATTGAGCCAATTCTGTGACACTTTCTGCAAATTTCCAAGCTCAGCCGAACCCGAAAACGAGTCTTTCTTCTTCTTCTTTTTCTCTGGCTCCGCCCATTTCTTCCGACCTATTCAATCAGTGTACCATTGTCAAGAAAATCCCCGAGCCCGCGGGCGCTGCCGCTCAAAAAAGGAAACCCGACATAATTTTGAAACCAATTAGGATGTCGGAGCAGTTTTTCCATGTCTCTCCGCTCCGCTCCCGAAAGTGTCATATTTTCGTGTTAACCGACGGTTGACCGCACTCACTGAAAGAAACTTCAGACGTCTTTTGCATTTCTCCTCCCTCTTCACCGCCTTCTACTCTAATTGAAACCCTCTCTTGACACCTCCGTGAAAAGCAGAAGAGACGACGGAATACTTCCGATGTGCACCCGTCCGCACTCTTTTCAGTGCGATTTGCTCTCGCTCACTCTCCTAAATAGGTCACGCAAAAAAGCGATAGGTCCCACCGAGATTTGAACTCGGATCGCAGGATTCAGAGTCCATGGAACCGGCGTCGGCTGAATGTCGCAGAGAATTTGACATTAAATAGTGCTAGTTTCTCTCTCTCATAAACCACACATTTGAGAACAATCCCCTCGCATTTTTCGATCGGAAACTAGGGACCACTTTATTATTGAAAGAGTCATAAATCCATCAAAAAAAGCGCGCGTGATTTCTTCCTCAATTTCGAATTCAATTACTGCAAGATTTCCCGTCGTCGCCGCTGCTGTTTTGTGCTCACTTCCCGCCCTTTTCGCTCATTCAATTACCTTTCTTCCTCCAACTTTTTCCTCGTATTTCTAGATTTGAATTGACTGAAAATGCCGGAAGAGTCCACAGTTGTGGGCCCTACAAAAGTGTCCTCCCCGGCGCCCCCGGCGGCCTTTTGGTGGCGGGAGAAGCGGTCGCCGAAGGTGCAGTATCCGCGGAGTGCGTACCCGAGAAGCCGCAGTTCCGACGCAGACAATCGACACGGAAACGAGGTTAGGGGAACGATGTTTGGCCAAATGACTCAAGTCTTGCACTCTTCCTTTTTTAATTTAAAACTTAATTAACGAAAGAAAAGGAAAGGCAATTCGAAAGTGCTCGGCACAAAGTTTTAGTTGGAAAAGAGCAGGAAACAGCAGGAAACACAATGAATTGCGAAATGAGATGGGCGGGATGGTTCCTCCCGAAAACATTCCATGCACTGCATTCATTTGAACCCGGGCTCGAAACTCTGATCCCCCGAGCCTTCAATTTCAACTTTCAGGGAATGAATTTCATCGCAAAGCACTTCTTCGAGTACCAGTCATTCATGAATATCCCCCACAAAGCAGTGCATCTTCATAAAGTTGTAAGCAATTCATGATCGATTCCACATTGAGAATTCCATTTACAGCCAGCTTCCCAGGCGGGGACGGATCCCTCGATGGGATGGGCCCCGAAGAACATGCTGAAAGCGGGAAAGCACCAACCTGCTCCGGGCGCCCGAGCCAACCGAATCCATCGAGATCCACGTCCGAACGGAACGAAATACGGGAGAGCCGGAAGGCACGAGCACAGAGAATGGGGGGACAGGCACGGAGAACTGAGGGACGAGAAGGTGGCCGTGCATAAGGACGCGTGGACAAAGTTCCTGGCGAACGACGACCAGGGCGCGAGGACGGCGTTCGAGTGCGACTTCGAGGACCGTGTGCTGGCGGTGAGTGACTGTGAGATCAAACATCCTGATCGGTCAGCGATGTTTGGTGTTCTCCTTCTCAGAAACTTACCCTAATAGCCTAATTGGCTTCTTTTACCCGTGCCGCTTTTGCAAGTTGTACATCGGAACAACATCTCAAAAACCACAGATTTCAGACGGAAGAAGAGACGCTACAGGAGAAACTATGCAGAGCTTCGCCCGAATCAATGAACCTGAATGCGTTGTACGCTGCCGCGAACAAGGCCTGTGGGGGAGAAGCCTGCGAGCTGCTCACCATACTCACTTATGCTCCGACGGTCCAGTTCGTGACTGCGACCGTGAAGAAAGCGAAGGCGCTCCCCTTCAACAACGCGCCTTTCGCCCGGATCATGCTCTTCGAGGGACGGCGACTTGTCGAGCAGAAGCAGACAACTGTCAACCCATCCCTCGTGCACAAGACTTCTCTCGAGTGAGTTCTCATTTTCCTTGACATCATCGGCATTCCAAATGAATATTCAGTGGCTCAAAGCCATCATCTTCCTCTGCTTCCAACTCTTCGAATGACAATCCCTCGGACGCCTCCTTCTCCGAATCATTCCTCTTCCACGTTCCCCCAACTAAACTCGACAAGTCGCACATAGTCATTGAAGTGAGCATCTTTCTCCGATGCTTAATTCTCAATCCATCTCTATTCAGTTGTACGACCACGACGAAGACGGCGGTCTTCAGAAGATCGGTCACTGTGTGATCGGTCGGCTCGTCGACGGAACCGGCAATGCCCACTGGATCCAAATGGTTCGCCAGCACGGACTGCCCGTTTGTATGTGGCACAAGATAACCCCCAGTTGACTCTCTGTTTTCCCCTCCTTTTTTATTATGATCCATTGCATCCGGTGCCAACTCAATTACTCATATTTGCCAAAATATTCCGTCGTTTTCACTTTTTCCCCCTTTCCCCGCCAAATCTATTTTGCTTTGTTCGAATGGTGTTACGGGTTGTTCTCTTTTTCCAAATAAATTTTCACAAAAGAATGTATTTATTGAACAGTGATCAGTCGAAATAACCGGACGGAGCATCTCCAGAAACGACGCGAGAATACGCGGATAACTGGAAATTATCTGGAATTGGGGGTTTCACTCCGTGCAGAAAAAGCACCTTCTGCTTGCGCTCCGGGTCCAATCCGACGTTCGGAACCTCCAGAATATTCGCCATCTCCCCGGTACTCTTCCCTTCCAACTTGGCGGCCAGCCACTTGCCAGCGCACTTTCCGAGAGCCGTCGTCTCCAGAAACAGGCTCGCCTAAACTCTTTTTTCTTTTTTCACATAAATCGAAATCGAAGAAACCTCGAGAATCTGAATGCACTCTTTGACAGTAATCTCCGGGAAGAATTGACGGAAATCGAGCGTCTCCTCGTTGTGCTTTTTGGCCGCCCGACTCCAATCGATAATCTTTTGCATTGTGCTCGATTCGATGGAAATGGGAATGATAACAAAAGGCTGAAAAGGGAAAAAGAAGAGCCTATTGTGTGTTCGCCGGCAAAAAAACAATACCTCCTCGGCGAACGCATTGTTCAACGCCTTCACATTCACAAACATATTCTCGATCACCGACAAGTACTTCACATCGTCCGCACACAGCACCAGTTGTTGGCTGTAAAATGGAAGGAGCGGATGGGCCGAAAACGCTCCTCAACTGACCCGTCGATTGTTCTGACGATCCTTCTCGCCTGGTCCGGCGTCGCGCACTTCGCCGTCGTCGGCTCCAAGGGACTGGGAAGAGAGACGGTCGCGACGTCACCAATCTCCTAAAAGAGAGACGAAAATGCAATCTGCGGAAAGGAAAAACAGACGAAAAGGAGCAAAACACATTGGGTCGTTCCTCTTTTTCTCTATTTTTTGGTTATTGTGTTTTGCAGATGAATCAGATGTGTTTTTCGTTTTTCGCTTTTTCTTGGTTCGTGTTCGGCAACTTACGGATGAGAGTTTAGTGCTTGAAGATTGGAAGAACTTTTGGAAATAGTGCATTTTTTGGAAATGATTTATTGCTTTGACTGGACGAGAAAACTGAAATGAAACGGGACAGAAAAGGGTCTACTTTTTTGATGATCACAATGGAAATTTCGTGTTTTTTGTAATGAAGCTGGATTATAACCGAAGGGACGTGGTGTTTAATTCACAAGGAAACAGAGAAATTATTCCTGAGAAGGGAATGTTTGGAAGAAAAGTAAAAAGCGAGAATGTAATGGGGAGCGGGAGGGATTGCGGTAGACAGTTACCGATCTATCTTGTCTAATTGCGCTATTTATCAAGTAGTTGGGGGTGTTCAGGCACGGAGCACGTTGTTCGGGCATCCATTCACCGAGTGTCTCTCCACCATTCGACGGAAGTTTTCGAGTGCTCGGTTGAGCTCGACGAGCTCCGCGTCCAGACGTTGTCCGCGGTGTTTCTCGTGATTCACCTGCAAAACGATGTTTGTTTTCGGCGTTTATGTCAGTGTACAATTCCTTAAATGGTTCAAAATGATCGGCAGACGCCTGACATTTGAATCATAAACAGAATGTGCATAATTCACGAGCTCCCAGAAGGGATTAACTCGAGATTAGTGTGTCGAACTCAAAAAACAATCTTTGCTTCGCTAACCTGCTCTTCCAGCTCCTTGATGCGGTCCATCTTCTTCTGACGGCACTTGCTGGCCGCTTGCCTGTTGCGGGCTCTCTTTCTCTCCAGCTTCTTTTTCTCCTGGTCATCCATCGACATCCTGCAAGTTCAATTGTTAAGAAACAACTGCAGAGCATCTACAGTAATCCCCCTCCCTCTTTATTCTTCTTCTTCTCAAGTAAGTTACCATGCGATATGCTCTTCGGGAGTCATTCCCATTGTTTCCGGCGACCAAACCATTTTTTAATTCAAGAGGTAAGACAGCAGAATGGAGGGGCGAGAGTCAAACTGCTCGCCCGGCGAAAACAAGAGAGCCGGCAAAAAGTGGGCGGAGTCTGAGCTCCCCGAGCTCCGCCCCGTTGCTATGGATGCCCAGTGATTCATTCCATAAGCCGACGCACAGGAGGAGAAGAGCGCATATTTGTGTGCATTCTGACTCACACTTTGGCGGTCACGGAAGAGGAAAAGGGGGATAAAAGGATGAACGGAACGGCGGACGGATTAGGAAGCGGGCGGGATTGAGAGGCAACATTCGGGCAGGGCTCACGTGCAAACTTTGCCGCTTCCTATGACACATCCCATCGAATCGTCAGGGACAAAGTTCAGAGGAGCTGATTACGTCCGTTTTAGCGAGTGAGTAATAGTGCCACGTCGTCATAGTCTACGAGAGAATGTACTGGAAAACAGAGATCACTCACTTGTCTCTCTTTCTCGGAGCAGTCAGTCTGAGTGCATTCCGTTGACGAGAAACGCCGTCTTTATCCAGTTGATTAGGAGACAAAGCAAAATGGGAGAAAGAAAAAGAAGGAGAGACGTCCGTTATTCCTCGCGAGACACCTTCTGCGAATAAGTGCAGGCGACCCTGATTTCTTTCGTAAAAATCACGTCTTTTCTCTCTATTTTTCTTCTCGAAAAGCGGGCGAATGTCGTTAAAATTTATAGGTGCGCACCTCCCCGGGTGGGCTAGAATACCGCTTGAATCGAACTTACTCTCCCGACATGTACTCCTCCAGTTTGAAATCGAATTCGGGAAACTTCTTTTTCTCCGGCAGTTCGAACGGAGATGGTTTCGGAGTAGAATCGATGGAATTGAGAGCCGGTGAAGAGTTGGTGAAGTTGAGATGGTTTTGGGGGAACGACGAAGGTTTCGGAGGGAACATCATGATGGTTTGGAGCGGAGTGTGATAGTTCATGAACGGATTCGGAGTGGTCATCAGGGAGGACATCAGAGACGGTTGGGAATACATGATTGCGGAGGAGAACAGTGGGCGAATGGCGGCGGGAGCTGGCGAAAGGGCAGAGTGCCCGGGGAGGAGTGTCCCGGCCGTCTGCGTCTCTCCGATCACTGCACTGTCTAGGTGTGATTCAGAGAAGGTGTGCGCCCGGGCGACAGCCACCAAGTACCGATATTTGAATTTTGGTCGAAAACTCATGATGTCATTTTGGTCAGAGAGGGAATGATATCATTCATTCATAATAAAGGGTGATAAACATCTTCCGAATGACTTCGCTCATTACCGTAAACCTTCCTCATCCTTTTCGTCCGAAACTGATCTTTTTTTTCTTTTATGCAAAGTGCAACTTCTGCGTCCAAAAAGCAACGGCGAAACGAGGAAAAGAAAAGTATTCGTTTCTTTTGCGCGCGAAATAATTCTCGACAAGATTAAGGCGGATTATCTATGTCTACACCATGGGTTTGGTGCGAATACAAAGTCCAAGTGGCCAGAAGAAAAGGTTGAAATGAAAGTGAAATTCGATTCGATTCTGGCAAAGTCTCCGAAAAGTCACGAGGCCTACAACATTCAAGAAGCTTCTAGAATAGGTTCGTATTCTCAGAATATCGATGTGACAACAAAAACACAAAAAACGTCCAATTTCCTTGTCTCCTCTTCGCAAAATCTAATTTCCCGGGAACTTCATCTCTCTCTCTCTTCCCTTTCCTTCCCTTTTCCTTTTCCGAATCTTTTGATTTCTTTCGAATTGATTGCGAAACGAACAGGTTCGGAAGGACGGAAACCCCGTCGCTACGAGGAAATCATGATCGTGTTCGTCGGGAAAAACGGAAAAAGAGGGAGAGAAATGGGTGTGGGTATGTATTTGGATGAGGTTGGTGATAAGAAAATGATAAGTGGGGAGGAGGGATGATGGGAAACGGAGAGACGCAGACAGAGAAAGATGGATTGTTTTCTGGAAGGAAAACTCAGTGATAGAGAGGTGGAGTGACGTGGTTTGAATGTACGCTTCTGCAGAACAGAAACAATCTGTTGGATAATACAAATGAAAATAGAAAGATAGAACACGAGCCCGGAGGGGCAGACTGGAAACGATTTTGAGAAGATATACCGTCGTTCTGATCAGAGAATTCGAAGAGTAACTTACATGTTGATAGGCTCGCAGTGTTCCGTGTATCCACCGTATCCGCCTCCTCCGAGTCCTCCCCCGTACTGCCCGCCCGTGAACTGATTCCGAGAATCGGAATTATAACTAGCACTCAGATTGGCTGCTACAGAAGAAGTCGAGGATCCAGACGAGGAGGAGGAAGCCGTCGGCTCGTCGTAAGCACCGTGATGGCTCCAGTTCAGCATTGTTGCCTAGTTGTGTGTGTCTATGTGTGACCACGTCTTCTTATGAAGTACCGTCAGGAAGGGAAACGAAAAGAGGAGGAGGAGGAGGAGGAAGAGGAAAAGGGCGGTCCGTGGGCGGGGCTTCCCCACGGGAGACCTGCCTGGAGGGGTGAGAGAATGAGAAGGAGAGACGGTTGGATAGGACGGGAGAAGCTGTAAATGAGTCACCGCCATCTCCTCTGCTGGTTTTGGTCTGTTTGTGTGTCTGCCGGTGTTGGCCGTACGTACGGACAGTATGTTTGTACGTTCGCACTTGCCCCGAGACGGCGGTGAGTCATTTGTGTGTGAAAAGAGAAAAAAGACCCCTCTCCTCACTTTTTATGATGATTTGAGAGAAGTGATGGGATTGAGCGGAGAAGGCGAGATCAACGGGCGATCAGAAGCAGGAAGAGAGACGGGACGCAGAGAACGAGAAAAGTGTTTGTGAACTGTATCAAGGCGAAAAGAAGGGGTGTTCTCTCGCATCAAAGGGTAAAGATTGCGGGTAACTTCAACGAAACAGAAACAGAAAAAATGATATTTTGAACTCATTTACACAGTTAAATTGACCGTTTGGAAAGGGACCAACATGGCTCGAAAGATCTCGCTCGCAGGATCAAGGCTGAACTTGCACTTACTCTGCTAATTCGGGTTTCTCGAGTTTCAGAGATTTGTTTGCAAAAATAGGAGACTCAATTGGAATTCTGAGATCTTTCTCACCATGTCGCAAAACGGCAACTTAATACACGTCTAGACTTGCTAGTTAGTTCCTTTGAACCTTGCACTCTTCCTCTTTCAGTCATTAATCAACTCTCTAACGAGTTCGCATCAAAATTAGTTCTACTATATCGAAAAGCATGAAAGGGAAAAAGGTATTCTGCGGTAAAACACACGTTTTAGCAACACACGTTACGACTGAGAAAGAGCACGATAAGCGTGCGAGAAATGGCAAAAAACATGAAAGAGCGAGAGAGTGACAGTTCCCGAGACGCGCAGTCGAACCGTGACGGGAACATGTGCTGGGCACCTGCCAGAGACGGGTCATTTCTTTCTCAGCACAACTTTTCTTTCTTTGCATTTCGCTTTCGTCATTAGTATTCTAGTCTCACTGTCTTTTTCGTATACGCTTCTCAATGAGTCACTTATTGGCGTCCGGAAATTAGTCGGTTTTTGATAAGAGGAAAGAGGTGAAAAACAGGAAGAAAGGCGAATTGGAAGAGCATCTGCAGCAGATTGTGAGCATTCCGAAAGGAAGAAAGTGAAAGAGTCGTCGGAGCAAAAGCAGCCCACTCAAAAAGTAGAAATGACGATTTCGGGGAGTTGAAGGAAAATGGCACTCCCTGTTTGAACAACAGAGCACCGCCACTATCGATATGAAAAGAAGGAGTGAAAGTACACAGACATGTACGGTACGAAAGACTGAAAGGGCGCGCAAAAAGAGGACCCCATAAAGGACGATTTGGAATGTGTGTGTTCAGTATTCGTATCCGAATGAAATCATGAGGATCGAACCTCTAGATTCACAAGTGGAAAAAGTTTGCGATTCATGAACACTACCGTATTCTAGTCTTCACCAAAAGGAAATGATTGGTCGTTTGGGGAACAGTTCTACACATTCCATCGTTCGATAAAAACATTCTTGTCTGTTATAAACAACTTCCCGAAAAAGTTTGTCAGGAATTTGACGAATTTCTGACGGTTCCGAAGCAAAAAGGGTGCTCTCTGAAAGTCCAACTCCAGCAGACTGTGACGTCCTCTCGGGTGAACTTTCCGTCAGTTTGACTTCTCCCCCGGGGGCAATAATTCAACTGTCATCTGGTCACAATATGGTATCTGACTCATCGTCAGTTTCCTCGAATGTCAGGGTCATTGATTGTGTTTGGAGGGGGACTGTCAAGAAATGATGTGACTCACTCTCTCACTCACTCACTCACTCACTTATCTCATTTCCAGTTCTACGAGGACACTGCTTAGTCATCGAGGAATTCGTGCAAAGGAAGAGCGGAAAGGGCAGATGATAACAAGAGTACAGGCTTGGAGTGTGAACTGTGACGTGCAAACCGAGGGCAGAAACTGGTTGCGACGGATTATGCAGATTTGGATAGAGAGGGGCTTAAAACAGTTTGCAGGTTGCGAAATGATAAGAAAGACTGAAAAGGAGAGGGTTCTCATAGAGAAAACGGGTAAGAGTCCTTTCAATTGCCACGTCAAGTACAGAAGATTGATAGGAAAGGGCATTTTGGAGAAGACAAAAGGCTTCTCCGGCTCGCTCATTCCAATTGCTGTTGATCTTTAGAGTCGCAGAACATTATGAAAGAGCGAACACAAATACACGTGGATTCTCGGTTTCCTCTCATTCATTTCTTTTGTTTTCTATATCTCGATGAATTCGCCTGGAATGCCCTCAACTGAAAACGAGCGGACAAATATGAATTATGAATGAATCCAGGGCGTCCGCAGACATTATTTCGCTCCTTTCTGCATCGCCTTCAAAAAATTGGCGAATATAAAAGAAGACGAAACGAGTCGAGATGGTCTTCTTCTGCTTCTTCTTTTTGCTTCAGGGAACTGGTCTCTCTTTCTCTCTGCAAAATGGCACGGCCGCCGTGCCTAATTGTGTGAGCTCAAGGAGCCGAGGAGCCGAAGAAAACGAAGAAGAAGAGGAAGAGTAGAGGGAAAGGAAGGGAAAGGGGAACGTGCACTCACTCGTCCGCTCGCGAGACTCCTCGCGAATCCTCGAATCCACCGTCCGAATCTTCGCTGTTGTACGCGGTCGGGCGGAGAGGCTGCAAACGGAAAGAATGAAGAAATGTTTGGAGGCGAAAAGGTACAGTACTACTATCAAGCTTTCAAACAACACTCAATCTTTGCACAATCAACTGTAAGCAAAGGCATATTTCTGTGTAATGTTTGCAGAGCATGCTGGGGTCCCGTGCCGCTCTCACACTTTAAAACAGTACCGAAATAAGAGCATGTGCCATTTCCATAAAACTAATGTTCTCATCACAGGGTAATTCGGGTGTCTCAGCCTTTCAAGAACTCAGATTCCATTTGTGCAACCCTATTTATCTTTGTGAAAAATGACTGACCGACAAATTGAGTTTATCCGGGCGGGAAGTGGAAGCCGTGGTCGAAGAGACGAAATTGTTGAGAAGCGGTTGGAAGGCAGTGATCTGAGAGGGCTGGACAGTGGCCGCGGAGGAGGAATCCGGAGAGTTGGAAGAGGAAATGATCGGCGGGCCGGGAAGGGCGGAAGAAGCGAGGAGCTTCATCGACAGGTCGCTGCAAAGGGAATTTTGTTGTCAAAACATGCACGTTTGTCTATTTGGGAAAGCGGAAAACGATTCGTTTTCAGGAAGACTAGTATGGGAGGACAACCGATTCTTTTGTTCACTTCCCGAAATACTATTTGTCCACTCTTATGCATCGATCTTTTAATGGTTTCCATAATCGGTTCAAACCTTTTTTGGTAATCCTACAGTGCCGGCCAAAACAATAACAAGTTCTCCAGTTGAAAACTATCGTCTGTTTTTTGAAACTCTACATATCTAGAACTATATTTGGGTAATTATTAGTTAGTAAATTCAAATTGTGGGTGCCCCGAGAAAAATACGTTTTTTGACGCATATACACTAATTTCGTAATTTTCAGCAGAAAGTTTTAACTGTGTTGGTCGCTACCGTAAGTTTCAAGACCAGGTTGACTATAAAGCATTCGCAAGATCCCTGAATTGCTCCAGAAACGAAACGAAAGTTCTCTCCATCTAGTCCCTGACCCCTTGTTTACCACTTTCACCGCTCCCCCATTTTTGCGATCTATGAATGCTCCCAAATCAGGCGCATTATTTATTTTCTCCCGAAAGTGACGTCCGTGCGCACTAGCACGTTAGTACGTATTTCCTGTTGTGCTCCCCCGGGGTTTTGAGAGGTGTGAGAACATTTTGAGGTCAGCTGAGACAGAGAGAGAGAGAGAGAGAGAGAGAACTTGCTCTCCTTGTCCTTTTGATCTTACTGCTTCGTTTGAACTTTTTCGCGGAAACCTACGTCATTCCGTGATGCCCGTTATGTCCCCAGTTTCCCGGAAAACATGTAAAAACATTTAGGCTGCTCACTGATCCTTTCCCTCTCCCTCTCTCCCTTCCTTTTCTGCCTTCAACTTCCTCATTATCTCATGATTCATATGCAGTCCTTCCACTTTCTATTTCACTTACTCCATCTGAATATCAGCCAGCGGCACAAAAGTCGGCGAGGAGAGTGGAGGAAGCGACGGGCCGGCGCTGATCGGAGTGCTGCTTAGGAGAGACATGACGATCGTGCGCATGTCGCTGAAATTGAAAGTGTATTTAGAAAGATGAGAAGCACTGTATCTTAGGCAGAACCCCTAACACTGGTTTTCTGAAAACTATCGTTGCGGATGGATTCTGACGATGTCGTCCGAAGCGTGTGACAAGGATTAATCCTGCTAATGCATGAAACTACGGCAAGAGAAAAGAAGCGGATGAACTAAATCTAGCAGCTGAAAAGAGCAGCGTTAATCTGTGAGCTGATGAGAAGCGGAGCGAGTGCGCATGCCCTTTCGGACTTGTGTTCTCACCTTGCCGTAGCCGGAGTGATCGGGCTGAAAGTGGATGGATTGATGGTGCCGAGGACGGGCGAGGTGACTCCGTTGAACTCGAATTTGTTCGTGTTCTGCACCACGCGAAGTGCATCTGGAAAGGACTTGTTTTCTTTTTCGTTTCGAGGGGCACAAAGAAAAAAAAATTCGTCCGTTCGTTCGCAAAATAGACGACGTCGAACAACATGCACTTTTCGAGCACGGTGATTTCTCTTGGGGGTCGCGCGAAGGTTTCTAGTCCCTAGCCTCTGCGGCCATCGCCGTTCTACTTGGCCAAAACCGGCTTTTCGGATTTTTCTCAAAAATTAAAACGTACAATTATTAATCACAAACGTACTTCTTTTTAATCTTATAAGCTTTCTTTGAAAAAAGAGAACAGCAAAAAAAGTTGGTCCCGACCGGTGTACTTTTGTACCAAAACAAGGCCGAACGGCAGCCGGTCGCCCACGAAGGCTCAGATATAGCGTTTTAGGAACATTAGATGCGTGCCGCCGGAGAAATACTGATTCATCTTATTTATTGTCTTAGTGAATGCGTTTATTATGATCAAAACTAACAAAGAAAAACAAGAAACTTGCAAAAATATCTATAGGTCACTGAAAAATAGCTTTTTTCGAAAAATGGCTGCTCGTGCGTGCTTTTTGTGTATCTTTGTTAGTTTACATCACAATGAACTCATACCCAATAAATCAAATGAAATGAATCGGTATTCGCCCAACGGCACGCATCTAGTTTTGGCGCCCAGAAAAAGGCTTGGAGAGCGCGTCGCCGTCAGCCGCCCGAGCCCTTCTTGACTGAGACTTCAGATGCGTGCTGTCAGACGAATACCGATTCATTTTACTTCATTTTTGAGTTCATAATGATGTAAACTAACAAAAAGACACAAAAAGCACGCACGAGCAGTCATATTTTGAAAAAAGTTGTTTTGGCAGTCACCCCTAGACATTTCTGCGAGTTTCTCGCTGCTGCTTGCGAGTTCCAATCACAATGAACTCATTCCCAAACTATCTTCCTCTCTTCACTGCGCCCCGGAAAAAATCACCGTGTCGAGAGATCCAATTACTTTTCACCTCGATCAATTCCATTTATACCCCTTGCAGATCACAAAACACAGTGTCCACAGGTCTCTGAATATATTTCCGAAATTCTCGAGAGATCTACTCAAGCAGAATGAAGTTAGTCGCCTTAAGAGATCAGTTGCCACGTCACACGAACGTTTGTTTGTTGTTCTCCGCCGGAATCCCACTATATTATTAGTGCCGTTCCTCCCGGTGGCACCTCGAATCCCACGAAAACAATCTCTGCGCCAATTAGGGCGACACAGACGCGTACAGGATCCGTCCCCAAGGAGGTGTTTTCCGAGAAAGTGATGAGATATAACAAATATGATTATTTTGAAGCGAAACGAGACGGATTTCCGCTGATCCGCCTTGTCTCTTTTTTCGAAACGGATCTTCCAGCAGTAATGTCATAAAGGGAACGTGTGATTAGATTTAAATTGGGTAGAAGAACAAACGTAAAGTGCAGCAAAGTGTGGAATTTATCAAAATCGTCTAGTGACAAGCGAATGATCTCTGGCGTCTAATTATAGTGGGAAAGTGTGCATTGGAGTGGCTCTCGGCCAGGAATTCGATTAAACTATTCTTGTCTACTTACGTTACCCCCGAGTATTATCAATGAGAAATTACCGTACTTTGAGAGACGAGGTCGAAGAGACTTCCGGGGGTGTCGAGAGAGATCATGTTGCCGTTCGGAATACTTTGAGAGTTCCGCGTTCGGTGCTCAGCGAGCAGAAGTGGGCAGAAGCGAGGGAGCACGCGCAGCGGGGCGCTCCAAATGGGCGGTCCTTGTCGGCTTCTTCGACTTGTTTTCCGTTTTTGTCCCCTGGCGCCGCCCACTTTCTCGCGCGCTCCCGCACTTTCAGCTACCTAATTACGAGAACGTCCTTTTGTTATGATATACATGTTCAGTGTTCCCCGCCAGAACATATTCAGAACAGCTCGTATCGAAATTGGTGGGCGAACGAGAAACCGAAAATATTATCAGAATTGGAAAAGATTATTCCGATAAGAACCGTTTCGGGTCTCTTTCTCTCTGGTTTCCTTTTCCACTTCCATTTCGCAATACTTTTCAAAAGTTCACTTCCCGCCGGACGTCACTTCCTGCACATCATCTGAATTTCCGTGAAATTCACAAAGCGAAATGATGCGCGTGCGATCAGCTGATGGGCTCGGATGGAGAAGAATGTCACGCGCAGCAGCACTATAATTACAGATGGGATGAAAGTTATGCGCCAATGCGCTGAAAATGGAAGTGATGACGACGTGGACACGAGCGTATTACATTATCGAAATGGAATTTTGAACGAGATTTACGGGGTTATTTTGAGTGTGAAACTTGTGAACGGAAAGGACAGAAGGCCACGTCGGGATGACGTGGCAACATCGGTACTGTAATCTGAGAGTACGGTAGGACTGTTCTAGTAAGAGCATGGTTTTCTTGAACTTTTTCGGAAACCATTTTGTGTGACGTGGCACTGACAACATCCGAGCTGTTTACTTTTTCGCTTTCGCTCCTTGTTTGCATGATCCGAAAGGGAAAACTCACCGAAGAATCCCTTGCAGTACTGCGTCGAACTCTCCTTTTCGCCGCCGCCGCCGCCGTCCTCCACCTCCGCGCTCGACATTCTGGCTGAAAGAAAGAGAGATTGAGCGGAACGCCTCTGTTTTCCCTGGTAAGTTCGGAATGAACCTTACATGGCAAATCGGTGTGTGTCACATTCATATCAAACGAATTATTCATCATCGATTCACAAAATAAATAGAGAAGAAGAAGAAGAAGAAGAAGAAGAAGAAGATGGGGAAGAGAAGGAATGAGAAGGGGCAGAAGGAGGAGGTGGAGAGGAGAACCGTTTTTGGCGGGTGATAAGCACCTGTGAGTCATCATTCTCTCGGATGGACTGGAAGTTTGGACACGCAAAGAGAACTTCCGATTCTTCGAAGAGAGGAAATGAGCATTTAGAGAAAATTGTTGAGGAACTGAAAGAAGGCAATTGCCACGTCAAATGTCAAAGGATGTTGACGTGGCAACGGGAAAGTTTCTCAGATACAATCTTCGCGGAATGGAACCTTATTGGAAGATCAAGACAATAAATTTTTGCGGCGATTCAATAATAAATAAATAAAAGAATGCTTCGGGCATTTCCCAGTTGGCTCAACATCAAATCACACGGCCATTCAGAAAGAGTTTGTGGTGAGGTCGATCCGGGAAAAAGTGATTACTCAATTGAATGATTAGGTACCGGCAGCACTTTTTCGGAAAAGGGACGAAAAATCGGATGTGTCAGGATTGGAGAGAAAGAGAGAAAACGCGACGGCCGTTCCCGCAATAATTCTTGTTTTTCTTCTGGAACACGAGGAGATTTGAGTGTGACCGTTTCGCAATGATTCATTTCGCTCACTGCTCGGACAGAAACGAAGAGGGTGTCAAAACATTTACGAAACCGAATGATGAGTCATTCGGCAGAGATCGGGACAACGAAAAATGGATGGGCGGAGCGGATAGGACTACGGTAGAGAAGAAGAATAAGAAGAAGGTCACTTGCTCTCTCTCTCTCTCTCTTTCTCTCTCTCTCTTTCTCTGGGAGCGAGAAGATCACGAACAACTGTTTGGATTGCAATGTATTGGCACACCAGGTCGCCGCAATGAAAAATGGGAGCGAAGAGCGGAGCTCGAACGGCAGACAGGGAGAGAGAGAGAGAGAGAGAGAGAAAGTGAGAAAGTCAGATCCACAACTGAACAGAACGATGTGCACTAAAAAGAGCCTGTTTTCAGGTGGGAGAGAGTGTGCGAGACGAAGAGACGCAGAAGAACCTGAGCACTACGGTAGAAAAAGTCGAGGGAATCACGTGTGACTGCGAGAATGTTACTCTCTCTCTGCGTCTCTCATTCTCATCTCCCTCTCTCTCTCTCTCTCTTGTTCCGTGGTTTCCATGATCATAACGTTTCTGTTGTAATGTCACCGAGCAAACTTTCATATAAAAGGGAGGCGCGATCGCCACGAGATTATGCCGTCCGTCTCTCTCTCTCTCCCTCCCTCTCCACTCTGTTCTTTTTTCAGTATTCTGGGGATATTCTCGACGTGGCACCCGGAAGTTTTAAGGACGGAGAGACAAAACACAGACTGTATGGCTTCTTGGCCAAAAAAACACGTTTGCCTTCTCGTTTATAATCAAAACAAACAATCTCACCCCGTCGGGTTAGTCCCTTCTTCGAGGACTTTGTCTTCTTCGTCTTGGCGATCGTCGGAGCTTCTGGAGACTCGGAAGACGTGGAAGTCGACGGCGGTTCGTCCTCCTCCATTGTATCAAATTGGTTCAGAGTGAGAAAATGGCGAAAGACGGCGAAGTTGATGACGAATCGGTTGACGACGATGGCGCTGGGGGGTTAGTCGGCGGGCCGAGAATGAGTCACACGCACACTCACTCACTCGCCCGCTTTCCCTCCGTCTCCCGCTCTCTCGACCCCTCGTTTTCAGCGATCCGTGCCCCATTTTTCCCCGAGACGCAGACGTCGAAACGAACGTCGAAAGGGAGCGTCGGAAACGGAGAGAATCTAGAGACTCTGCCTCCCTCTTTCTCTTCTCTCTCGATCCCGATTGACATTTGAAAGAGGGAGGGAGAGAGGGAGAAGGATAAAGTTCGTGGTGAAAAGTTACCGCAAATAATGTGTACTTCCACTCTCACTCTCTCTCTCTCTCTCCGGCTTCTGTATTTGCCATTCCACCACCCACTTTCCCAGTGATCGAGAGACGCAGAGAAGACGGAGAACTTGTTTTCCCGGGCGGTCCTCATTAGAGCACGGACCTCCGTAAGCTTCTGCTCCGCTATTTTTGGATGTTTGAGAAGATGATCAACATGTATCCTGAATAGCCAATGACGTGGTACTCTCCTTTTGTTTTCCCCTTTTCTCTCCCTTTTCCCATCCATCAACTACAGTAGTATCACTCATCACTGATAATGATTTCGCCCGCCATGTTTGTTCTCTCCGTCTCTCACGGTCATCATCATCATCGTCGGAATGAGATTCTTCTCCGTCGAATCGAAATCGCAAAGAGACAGAAAAATGTTTCCGGGGTTACTGACGACGGATTATCGTTGAAGTCGTCGCCGTGGAAGCGAATCAGTTTCAGGCAGAGCTGGGCATTGGGCCGGCCACTGGCCGCTATAGCCAAAGACATCTCAAAGACGGAGCCATCAAACGTCCTCGCCCCAACCAAAGCGCCAGGGCCCTTGCGAAATCGGAATCAATGCAGAAGTTTGACAACGGTCAGAAGCAAAAAAATAATATTTGGCCGACTGCCTTTCCAAATTACACGTGGCACTGAGGGTGCCGATTGAATGCGCTATAAAGTGCCTTTAAACATGCGCCTTTAAACAATTTGAATGACCGCCCGGTTGTATTTAAAGGCGCATTCCTCTCGCAACGAACATCAGGAAAAAAACCTCTTCCTCGGGGTTTTTTCCCAGTTTTTTTCCCTCATTTGAATAGGGTTTTTTTCAGTAAAATACTAGTTTTTAACTCGACAGAATAGGCCCATGAACATTTTTGCCAAGTTTGAGAAAATTCTGATTTGACTAAATGGAGTCCCCTTGTAAGTAAAATGGCATAAAAATTTTACAGCACCCGGAGTCGTACCCTCAATTAAGGGGTACGACTTTGGATGCTTAAGCCTCAGCTCAGGCAAGAGAATCCGTTGTAGCGCCGTCGGCAGCGGCCTTGAGCACTCACTCGCCGCTGCCGACCTTTTGAGTGTCGTACTGTCGCCGGTATAGCGGAAAGCAGCATTTTCAGAATTCACCAAAGAATTCGTTGAAAATCAGAAGAGAACGAAAGTAAAAGAGCCAAAAAATAAGTGAAAGTGACTAAATGGGCAAAACAAAAGTGCGCCTGTATACGTAATGAGAGCCTCCCGCGATGATAATATTTACGCCCATGCTGCTGCCTATTCAGTCCATTTTTCGGAGAACATATTCTCAATTCATCTTCAATAAACTATTCACTTTTAAAGCTAACGAACAACAAATTGTACAGGGATCATTCGGAAATGGACGGGAAGGAGCAGGAAAGGGGCGAGAGAACCGGTGAAACGTTAAGAAATTATTATGCGATCTACGACAGTTTAAAGGTGGTGTCCAACCTGACATACAACATATTTTTAAAATAAACTTCGAAGTGGGGCATTCACTTTCCCAAAGTCCCGAATTACAAAAAAAATTCCCAGATTTTTAAGATTTTTTTCAAAAAAGTTAATGGTACCGAGAGAAGTACACGGCGAAATGGAAGAGCTGGCCTAAATTTTTCTAGTCCCCGGATGGAATTCCCTTTTCTTCCGATTTTTTTCCGTTTTCGTGCAATTTTCTTAAATTTTCAGTCGTTTTTTCACTGAACACATTTATTTGCAATATTTAAAAAAATTTATGATTTTTTCTGTGCCGTGACGCCAAAAAAATCGATAATCTGAAACTTTTTTTGTTGTTTTTCCGGGTTTTTCGCTCAATCTTCGGTTTGCGCGCTGAAAAATAAATAGAAAGAGATCGCTCAATCATTTCCTGAGTCTTAATTAAAGTTTGCGAGTTACAGAAAGTTATATTTTTTTCAAAGTAATGAAAAAAATCCAAAACTTCCTATTTTTCAGTTTTACAAAAAAAGTGGCTGAATTTCTGAATTTTGCTGAATTTTGAAAGTTTCAGATTATCGATTTTTTTGGCGTCACGGCACAGAAAAAATCGAAAGTTTTTTCAAATATTGCAAATAAATGTGTTCAGTGAAAAAACGATTGAAAATTTAAGAAAATTGCACGAAAACGGAAAAAAATCGGAAGAAAGGGGAATTCCATCCGGGGACTAGAAAAATCTAGGCCAGCTCTTCCATTTCGCCGTGTACTTCTCTCGGTACCATTAACTTTTTTGAAAAAAATCTTAAAAATCTGGGAATTTTTTTCGTAATTCGGGACTTTGGGAAAGTGAATGCCCCACTTCGAAGTTTATTTTAAAAATATGTTGTATGTCAGGTTGGACACCACCTTTAAAGCAAATTATTCGAAATCGTTTAGTAGGCAAGCTCTTCCGGAACGTCAGTTTGTTCCGTTTTTCCTTCATTTTCCAGGGCGACACGGCTTCGGTTCGCCGGCAAATGACCCGACTTCACGAAATCGAGGCATTCCTGAGTGTAGGTGACTGGATGAGAACGGAGGTGTTGGCAGTGAAGGGAGTCGAGCAGCCGCAGCTTCGAGATGGAAACGCCCCGTTGCTCCATCAGACGGGCGTAGCCTTCAATGGATTCTTCTGAGCAAACCTGCAAGAGAATGAGGGAACGTTCTGATATTTGACAGTATTCGTGGACTAACCATGTCGGCAGGCCCGTAGATGTACAGCTGCTTGTTCGGCAGGTTCTCGAAGGTGATCATTTTGAAGTAGGCGTAGTGCTTCTCGTAGATATCTTTCTCCAGGAAAGATCTCAGCCATATAACTCCTCGATGGAACGAGAAGAAGGTGTAAAGCACCGCCCGGTACGATTTTCTGAGTGCTCCGTGATAGTGACTTGGTGGCAACGTGGCAAAAGAAACTGCCTGAGCACTCTGAGCAGGAGAAGTGAACGCAGGGCAGCTGTCGAAGATGAGTCCCTTCGCCTTCGATTCGATCAGCTCCCCACTCTCGAGTTCTTTCATCTGATCCCAATAAGCGGCGAGCAATGAGCAGCCGTTCATTGAGAAGACGTGGAAATAAATGGCCGTGACTTCTTGCTCTTTGAGAAAATCGACGAGCACGCGATGGAAGCATCGGGCGAACGGGCGGTACGAGGAGAAACTGCGAATGCGTGAGATCGGAGGAGTGAAACGGACCGTCGAGATTCTGGAAAAAAAGTGGAAAGTGAGAAATAAAGTGACTTTATTTCTTACCCTGAATCCTGATAGTACTGTGCATACTTGGACAGGTATCTGTCTTTACATCCCGCCCATCCGAACAGAACCACGAGGGTTTTCGAGCCGGACACCACGGACTTGATCGCAGCTTCGTTGCCCGTCTTCTTTGACTCTTCTGAAAAGGAAGAAGCCATTGCCTCCATCTTTTGACGTCTTCGTACCTTTGTTCGTAGTGATGTCCTCCGCCTCTTCATCGGTCACTTCAGCCGGCGCAACAACTGTCATTCTGAAAGCGTTTATGTTGTTTTCAGTCAGATGTCTCTTATATTTGCTGGGAGAAACATGATGACGAAGAAAGAAGAAATCGATGAAGAAGTCGAAGAGATTTCGGAAAAGATGCTTACCCGATATAAGTGAGAACAAAGGCCGAGGCCAGGCCGACGACGGCTTCGAAGAGCATTTTCGACGGATTCACGAGCACAACACGACACCGATTCTAGAAAAAAAAGAGAAGAAATCATTGGAAGAGAAGGCGCCGAAAAAGGGAGGGCTCCGAGAGCGGGCGAGGCTAAAGAGACGGCAGATAGTGAGGGAGAGGGGAATGTATGCGGAATAATGGTCTTGCTAGGGACGGCGACGGCGGCCTCGCCCTCGTTTTGCCTCGCTTTCCTCGCAAACAGCCAGGCTACATTGTAGTTTGCTCGTTCGGTGACTTTCGATGCACTTTACTACTCTGACTCAAATAACTTGTTTGTGCGATATTGCGAAACTTGGCTGAAATGGGGAGGCTACATCGTAATAGACCTCACACGGAATAGAACTGTCACGATATAGACCTCGCAGTTTTTTTAACGTTGCATCGTAACAGTTCAATTCTGCGCGTGTTCTATTACATTGTAGTCTCGAAATGGGAACTGAAAAGCGAGAAAGTGACGAAGGGTACTGTAGAAGTTTAAAGGCGCATGCCACATTGCGGATAAGAAAGATCCATCTAAAAATGCGTAAGAACGCGTTTTTGAGGAAGAGATGTTTGTGCAGGTTGCCATGGCTCCGCACATACCAATTTTCGTAGCTCCACACAATTCCATTTTTGTTTTGCAACAAATTCGAATTTCTTTTCTAAATCAACCCGTTGTTTTTCTCAAAGAGAGTTGTTTTCGAAATACAAATTACATTGCTGAATAATTTTATTTTTAATTTCGAAAATTCGGTTTAAAGTTAGCCTTTTCTGAGCTTTACATTCAAAACCTATTTTTGAACAATATTTGTTGTTCGGTAGAGCGCATTTGCACAGTCTCACAACGATTCGTTCTCGTTCTCTTTTCTCAATTTCGTAACCGCTCTTCGTTCTTTCCACGACTACATTCTACATTCCAGCCGATTTGCCATGTTTTTGGATGAATGCAGAAGCGAATTTGAGACGGACTGCCTCTACAAAGTTCTGGGCGTCGAAAAGAATTGCGATGAGAAAGCGCGTAAGTTAAAATTTTGGCACTGCAGAAGATATTTAGGACGCTGTTAATTTCAGTGAAAAAGGGCTACTACCGCCAATCCATGCGTTGGCATCCGGACAAATCCAATCTGAAAGAAGAAGAGAAAGCGGAGTACACGACAAAATTCCAGCTGCTCAACAAGGCCTATCAAATTCTTTCGGACGACGAGAGAAGAAAGATTTACGACGAAACTGGCTCGGTGGACGACGAGGCCGGAGAGCTGAAAGCGGATGTTCTGAAGGCTTGGAGAAGCATGTTCAGGAAAGTGACGAAAGAGGACATCGACAACTTCATGGAGCAGTTCGAAGGCTCCGAGCAACAGAAACAGGACCTGATTGCTGCGTACAAAAAGCACGACGGAGACATTCGAAAAATCCAGGAAACAGTTATCGGATATGGAGACATCGAGAAGCTGAAGGGCACATTGGACGCTCTCATAGACGAGGGTATCATCGGAAATACGAAGAAGTACGAGGCAACCACTTCTGAGGTGAGGAAATGAAAGGGGGAAAATGAGTAACTGATGAGATTCCAGAAAAAGATAAAAGCGTACAAACGGAAGGCCGAGAAAGAGGCCGCTGAAGTTGAGAACTCGACGGATGTGAGACTGAAGCATCTGTAAATTATAAAGTTTTTTTTGTCTTCCAGAGTCACTCGGACCTCGTCGCCCTTATCCAGGGCCGTCAGCAGGAGCGTAACAGTTCGTTCCTCGACGCACTGGCAGCCAAGTACGCACCTTCCTCCTCCAAGAAGGCCAAGCGGCAGTAATTGAATCAAGATCAGTCTCTTCTGTCGTCACATCCCTTCTCCCTCACTCCTCTTTTTCCGCTTATTCCTTTTCTTTTGCAAATTTATCCGGACTCTTCCGTTTCGTCTCTATTTTCTAACCCGCTCGCCTGTGAATGATCTCCACTCATCATCACTTCCTATTTTGTATTTTAAAACATGTTCAGTCCGAACTCGAGAAAAAAAGTTCTTGTTCGCTTTTTCTTTTCATGTTTTTCTGTTTTCTGCCAAAAGTTGTGTCCAACTTTCGCATACTTTCTCTTCGAATTCTCAATATCCGGCGGCCGTCGGAAATTGAGTTTATATCTCTTTTCGAGTGGAAAATAACGAATTTCGGTCGGGTTCTCTGTCGATATTCACCCCTTTTTGCTTACATTCATCCGAATTCTTTCGTTTTTCTTCATTTTAATTTCAGATGTCCGACTTCGAGGAGACCATCCGTCGTCTGCAATCCGAAAAAGGCGTCGTCGGCATCATCGTTGTCGATTCTGCCGGTTCGTTTTCTTTTTCTCGAAATATTCCTTTATTTCCTCCCTTTCCGGCCTTTTTCCCATGAAATCTGCTTGTTCTTTCCATTCGGGAGAGAGTGAGAGAGTGCATGAAAGTTAGAGGGCGCCACACCAGCGCGCGGAAAAGTTACATTCGACCACACCGCGCCCATCTCTGATTCGATTTTGAAACCATGAACTCCCGTGAAAATGACCCATTCCAGGCCGCGTGATCCACTCGACAATCGACAGCGACGCGACGCAATCGCACACGGCGTTCCTTCAGCAATTGTGCGAGAAGACGAAGACGTCGATTCGGGAGCTCGACTCGAGCAACGACCTCACTTTCCTGAGGCTCCGCACCAAGAAGAACGAGATTATGATTGCGCCGGACAAGGACCACGTAATCATGGTTATCAAGGACCTCTCATAAAATGGCCAAACTGCGAGCAGAAAGAGCATTCTATCCAATTACTCCGCTTTTTGCTAATTTAACTTATATCAGCTTTCAAACCAATTAAATAATTTATGTGCGATTGAAACAAAAAGACGGAAAACTTATTAGAACAAAAAATAATAGGGTGGGTGTAATAGAATAAGTTATCAAATAGAATATTACAGTTCCAGCATGTCGAAACTCTATTGAACAGAAAATATTTGAGTATCCGACATAGAGCGCATTGGGTATCAATTGTGGCAGTAATTATCCCGTGGTGAGGATAATTAAGGAATGAGAACGAGTTTCAGTGCTTAGCAGAACTTCCAGCGGTTTCCGCACTCGAGACAAAAGACGAATGTGGTCATCGGTTCGTCGGAAGAGCGGGTCTGTAGTTGGGTGTAGGTGCAGTTCTTCTTGCCGCACTTTCCGCACTTGAACATATCCGATGGGGTTCCTGCAACGAAAACGTTTTCTTCTGAACCGACTTCTATTTATCTTACCTGTTTGCACACTCATTTGGTGCTCCATTATGGCTTCCTTGGTGAACTTGTCGCGCATCTCACGAATTTCCGGAGACGCCATTTCCTCGGAAGTCATCGTGGCGAACTTCTCGGCACGGACGACTCCAGTAAGAACGTTCTCACGGAGAGCCGGATTCTTCTTGTCGCGAAGGTTGAAAACGCGGCTGCGCACGGCGGCAGAGTAATTGCGGTTAGTGTCGCGATGAACCTGGAATCAAATGGCTCATTAGAAAACAACATCCTAACGGATCGTACGGTGTAGAGCTTCTCTTCGATCTGCACGGCCAGCTCTTCCGTATCGAGCGTTCCTTGAGGCATTTCTCCGTGACGAAGAGCAGATAGTAGCAATTGAGCCGATTTCAAACGAGTATCGTCCTTCTGGAGATGAGCAGGCGGAACGAAGCGCTCACGAAGTCGGCCACAATCGAGGCCCGAGTCGACGATTCTGGCTTTTTGAACGTAACCTCTGACTTTTCTTTTTTGGCCTTTGGCTCTTCGACGCTCTCCTTCCGTTGTTTCTTCGCCGGCGGAGCATCGTCGTCTGGCTTGCTCGTTTTTCCGTCGACGATATTCTTCCACTCCTGAATTCAATAATTGGCAAAATCAATAATAATAAAAGAATAAAACAACTTACTTTTATAATGTTCTTGGCTCGTTTGGCGATCGCCTCATCTGGCACTTTCTTCCGCATCATATTCACTTTGATTCCGATTTTAGTTTCCTACAAACGTATATTTCTGAAAATCTACGAATAATATCGATTACTTCGATAATTTTTATGCTCATTGGAATTTTCGACAGTTTATCTAACAGCTTGATGCATTGTTCCGGAGTTTCCATTCCTTTTTCGCAGATCTCGTCGACCTGCTTGCACAGGGCGATAGCCTGCTCGAGGGCAGTCATTTCTGTTTAAAACAATTAATAGAAAACGAAATAGAATAAAGAAGAAATCGAAGATTGTTGCCAAGGAAACCTAATGCGGATTGCTCTGTTTTCGAGTGGTTTTTGTCCCTGAAAAGGTCAGAAAATAAGAATTTTCGCTCAGCTAGCGAGTTTGTGGAGGCCCGGCAGACACCCCCCGGTTTTTGAAGCATCGTACTGCGCCTTGTTTAGCAGAAAGTGGCATATTATGGAACTGCCATTTGAAAGTGGCATTTGTCAAGAACTTTTTGATATGAATAATAAACTACGAGCCATGATTCTGAAAGCTCGTGAAGTTCAGAAAATGAGAAAGGAAGTGATGATAGACTTCATTGCTTTAGTAATAAAGTGAGAAGTAAACGAATTCTTAATTCACAACAAGTTTGAGCAATGAGTAAACCAGAACTTCAAACTTTCATTAGGAATAATTCACACATCAACCAAGCTGAACCTAGAGATATTCCAATTGATCTTAAATCTTTTGTATTAGTGTTCTTTATTATATATCAAAGATAGAATTGCACTTCTAAAGTTATTGTTTTCCAACAGTTTCAGAACAAAAAGACAATAATAACCACAGTGATGAGTTCCAAATACTTGAATTTAAAATGTGGAGAGTTCTATTTTATTTTTATCTTTTGCGTCATCCTCCTCCGTTGGACTCAGAGGACGGCGAAATGGAAGGATCGCACCAGTGCCTCTCCTCGCTGGCAGAGGCTGCCGTCCCAGTGTCCAAGCTTCTCAATGTGGAATTCTAAAGAGGCCTGGAGCAGGCAATAGACACCTGCTGAAAGCAGCAGAAGTGCGTACAAGGCAAGGAGTGACGGCGAAGTGGAAGGATCGCACGCAAGTGGCCGAGCGTCCGCCAATGTTGAATTCTGATGGAGAGGTTCTGATGGAGGCGCCGACCACCAACAGCGTAGAGAAGCTCGGTGTCCGCCGTGTATTTTTGATACGACTTCAGCGGACTTCTGCGGGAGATTGCTGCCTCTTAAGGACATTCCAGCAATCTGAACATTTCCGAGTCTCGGGTTCGTACCAAGTGTTCTCGTGTATCCATTTGAAACAAAACTAGAAGAACATAGCCCATAGAAGTAATGGAGACACTTGGAGCAACCTGACAACCTCTTACGGTCGCGGTAAAGTTGGAAATGTCCAGATTGCTGCTCCTTAACCAATCTGAACATCTTAGCAAGTAAAGAAGCTAAATAAATGTGATATGGATTCTGAAAATGTATTCTCGAATTTGTAAACTAGTCACTTTCACTTTTTCTTGTTTTTTTAATGCTTTTTTAATTTTGTTCTTTTCTTATCTTCATCAAATTCTTTGGCGACTTCTGAAAATGCTGCTTTCTGCTAAACCGGGCGGCAGTACGACACTCCAAAGTCGTCGACAAGTCGGCAGCGGCGAGTGAGTGCTCGAGACCGCTGCCGACGGCGCTACAATGGATTAGTACTTGAACGAAATAGAACTGTTACGAATTAGAACTCCCAACGCAAAGAAACAACTGGGAGTTCTAATTCGTAACAGTTCTATTCTGTTCAAGGTCTAATCCGTTGTAGCGCCTATTTTTTCCTGGATGCTGACACTCATGGTCAACTTTGGCTCTTGTCTATTTTCATTGAAGACATAGACTGACTGAAAGATGGCTCTGAACAGCAGAATCCATGATATGGTTACGAAATACTCTGCATTCTCTCTGTTTACTGAGCTTCTCTCGTCCTGTGCTCACCAAGCTCTCCGCGCCAACAAAACATCCATTTTCCCTTCTGTTCTCTATCGATTCTCTCATTGCTCTTTCTCTCTTCCAGCCCAATTACTCTCTTTTCAGTCGAAAATGGAACGAGTCGGTCGGTCGTCGACGCTCGGCTCCACAGATGAAGTCGAGTTGGAACCGAGCGGAACTTCAGCCACAATCCATCTTGATATGACCACAGGTGAGACGAAGACTAATATTCCCTCGGAAAATGACAAATATCAGTCTCAGGCGGCGGCTCGTCTGGTGATTTCAACCCTTTTGGTGCCATTGATGAAGTCCGATTCAAGCAAGACGAAGAACTTCCGGACATCATGGCCCCGCCTTTCTTCAGGTAAAAATTGAATAAACTACTGAAATTATCTATATTTTTCAGTAAATATGGTGATTTTCACACGATCGATTGGCAAAGAGACCTCGCAAGAGACCGGTTACGGCACAAAATGATAGCGAGAAAAAAGTGAGAAAAGTTGAAAAGAACAGTAATTTTCATAACATTTTCGAGGTTCAGAGTCGACTTTCCTTTGGGTCTACTGCAGTCCGGATGGGACGCTGGAGCCGGTTGGATCTGTGTGCTCTTCGTTGGACTGGCAGCCGGAGCAACAGCAGGAATCATCGATATCGGAGCCAGGTGGATGAGTGATTTGAAGGTAAACAATTGTAGAAATCGCTTAATTCAGAAATAAATTGATTGCAGACAGGAGTGTGCGCCGACCGTTTTTGGTTGGATCGGGAGCACTGCTGCTGGTCTTCGAACGACACTTTCTACAAGGACGACGACTGCAAAGCATGGACGAAATGGCCGTGGATGCTCAATTATTACAACTCTTCGAGCTTCCTTTTCCTTTTTCTCGAATGGATATTCTACATTGGCTGGGCCGTTGCCATGTCCACTCTCGCCGTTCTTTTCGTTAAAATTTTCGCCCCGTACGCTTGTGGATCCGGAATTCCGGAAATCAAATGTATTTTGTCTGGCTTCGTAATCCGCGGATATTTGGGTAAATGGACGTTCATCATCAAGTCTGTTGGCCTCATTCTCTCATCTGCTTCCGGACTTTCACTCGGAAAGGAGGGCCCGATGGTTCATTTGGCTTGTTGTATCGGAAATATCTTCTCGTATCTTTTCCCGAAGTACGGACTGAACGAAGCGAAGAAAAGAGAGATCCTTTCGGCCTCGGCTGCCGCAGGAGTCAGTGTCGCTTTCGGTGCTCCGATCGGAGGAGTTCTGTTCAGTTTGGAAGAAGCTTCCTATTATTTCCCACTCAAAACAATGTGGAGATCCTTTTTCTGTGCTCTCGTCGCTGGAATTATTTTGAGATTCGTGAACCCTTTTGGAAGTAATCAGGTGAGATCCAGCTTCATTTTACTCGAAATTCAGTTATACCATTCTTCAGACATCTCTCTTCCACGTGGATTACATGATGAAATGGACGTTCATTGAGCTGGTTCCGTTCGCAATGCTCGGTCTTTTCGGAGGAATTCTCGGCAGCATGTTCATCTTTGCCAATATTCGGTTTGTTCTACGAATCTCCCTCCAATTCCAATTGCCTATTTCAGCTGGTCTCGTTTCCGGAAGAACTCGAAGACTCTCGGAGGCAATCCGATCTACGAGGTCATGATTATCACCCTCATCACCGCCGCCATTTCATACTTCAACCCATTCACTCGCAAGTCCGCCCAATCCATGATCCAGCAGTTATTCGACCGTTGCGAAGATCAAATCGACGAAGATTCCCTATGCGATCAGAACAAAGCACTGAGCATCGCATTCGGACAACTCCTCTGGGCGCTTGTTTTTAAGTTCGTAATCACCATTTTCACATTCGGTATCAAAGTTCCGTGCGGTCTGTTCGTGCCGTCCATCGCGATGGGAGCGATCGCCGGAAGGATTCTCGGAATCACCGTCGGACAGATTTTCCGAGCAGTTCAAGCGACTCCGGGGCACTCGGAGTACTTCACCTGCCAGATCGGAAAAGATTGTGTCATGCCCGGATTGTATGCTATGGTCGGGGCGGCCGCAGTACTGGGAGGAGTCACTCGAATGACGGTATCCCTCGTCGTCATCATGTTCGAGTTGACCGGAAGTCTCGAGTTCATTGTCCCGACCATGGTGGCCACGATGTTCTCCAAATGGATCGGAGACGGAATCTCCAAAATGGTATCTCCCATACTTGTTCTTTCCATTTTCACTACTCCTTTCCAGGGAATCTACGAAGCGCACATTGAACTGAACGGCTATCCGTTTTTGGATTCGAAGGGAGAGTATCCGTACTCGACTGTCGCTTCCCAGGTGATGCGCCCGTCGATTAACCGACAACCGGTGGACGAGATGTCGATGAGCGATCTGAGAGAATTGAAAAATGAGCTGAGTGTGATCACGGAGAGCGGAATGACTCTCGGGGACCTGGAAAGTCTCCTCAGACAGACTGATTTCAACGGATTCCCGGTCGTCGTCTCGCAGAACAGTATGCATCTCGTTGGATTCGTTACGAGGTAAAATAAACGAAAAGCGGTCGTTTTGTACTGAAAATTCCAGAAGGGACATCTTCCTCGCACTGCACACGGCTCGAAAGACTCAGCCGTACGTCGTCACCAACTCGACCGCCTATTTCTCGGACGGAGTTCTCGATTCAGTCCCTGGCGGACCGGCTCCGTTGCGACTGAAGAAGATTCTGGACATGGTAAGAGTTCCGTGAACTTCATGTCATAATGGGAAATCCTGCAGGCGCCGATGACAGTAACCGATCAGACGCCGATGGAGACGGTGATCGACATGTTCCGAAAACTAGGACTCCGTCAGGTGCTCGTCACGAAGAACGGAAAAGTACTGGGAATCATCACCAAAAAGGACATTCTTCAGTTTATGCGAAACAAAAACTCACAATAGTCAATAGTCTCCTCTCCTCTCTGTACACTTTTGCATAACGCCATCGCCCACTTTTCTACCATTTTGCTCATTTCGTTTTCCAGTCTGTCATCGTTTTCACTTTCTCCAGCCAAAATCTGTAAATGTTGCACGCTCCTTCCCTCAAAGACTTCTATCCTTTTTCCCTGTTGCATTCAGTTTCCTATTGGTCAAAACTATTAATTTATTCGAATAAATGGTTGTCTTATCAAGACCCGGAAGTGAAAATGAAGGTCACTGACTAATTCCTTGTCACATTTGCATAAGAGATTCCCTCTCCGCCTAAAATGTCGTTTCCCTATGAAAATTGAGTCATTCGCTTTGTGAATCACCTCCGAAACTGATAACAAAAATGTGCATTCACTCGGTGAAATATCAAAAAGTTTCCGTTTTTTGTTTGATTTCCACTTGTTGTTTCCTTCTTTTTTTCTCTCGGAATGCCCATTTGCCTTTGGGTTTTTTGCGGTCTCACAACTAAACTTTTTGGGCTCATTTGGCACTCAAAAAGAATGTTTTCGCTCATTTGACAACTTTTTTGGGAGCCGACACTAGGTTTCTTTCTTTCAACACGTTTTTGAACAAGCAGTTTCGCATGAAGAATGTTGGAAATTTTCGGGTTTTTTGGACTTTCACTAAATCTCGAGGTCATTTCTGGGCCCATCTGGGTTGGCTTTTTAGGGCTCTTCGGGCCTGCCTAGTCTAAACTTTTCGATCATTTACTTTTCGCTATATTTCCAAGTTAGATAGTCCAATCGGTCCGAAACTTTCAATCTAACCACTTCATACCAATTCAACGAAACCTCCGAAGTTTTGGTCCGATTGGAATGGAATGAAGCTAGGTCATAAGACAAAATCAAACGGAAACTCAGAATGACTGATGATTGTGCCATGTTACACTCTTTTCTAATTTTTGATCATTTGATCACTTCTTATCCAATCAATGTCTCCATTCGAAAAATGATTGCAGCCCAGTTCTGGTAAAGGTTGCAATGAAAAACAGTATCGGTGTGTATTGCGGTCTCTTCCTTTTTCGTGCCGATCTTCGCTCATGTTTCAGTCAAGACGCAGAGAATGTAATAATCAGTGATAATACGTTTGCTCTCCCTCTCTCTCTCTCTCCTTTCTTTCTTTCCGGTGCCCACTCACGACAGTTTCAGCTGACAAGAATTCCAATTCCAAAACCATGCTAGACGTACTTAGTTTCTATCGGAAAAGTCAATTTTAAAAGTGGGAAACGAAGAGTTTCTCACTGGAAAAGTGGGCATTGTTTACCCTCCCCAGAGACTCTTTCTGTTTGTTTTTTCGTTTTGAATCGAATATTTTTTCGACTAATACTTTTGCTTTAATTCGCACTTTACACCCACTTTATTTTGATATGATATCATTGATTTTTAAATGATTGGCAAGTGATAAAAATATTTAAAAAGGAAGGAAAACAGAGATAAAGAGTGGCTATACACCACTATTATATGCTTACTTTTCGATTTATTTCTGGTGAGTCTTGTTGTAAATTTAGGCCTAGGATGATGTTAAACTTTTCTTCTGAACTTTCATGTTTGTATCCTCTTTCAATGTTGTGGACATTATTTTCAGAATGAGCAGCGTCCCGATGAATTACAAGATGGCTCCGATGCGAGATGTTTATTACGAAGAAGAGAAAAGAGTTTGCTGCGGAAAACTCTCCTACAAGGTTAGAAACTGAATCACAGAAGAATCAAACGAAAGCGGTCAGTTCAGAATGCGTGTCTTCTCATTGGCGTTCTGGAAATAGTCTACTGGATTTACTACGCCATCCTCCTTCTCTTTGCTGTAATTCATCACCAGAGGGCTTGTAAGTAATTCAGAAATCCTCAGAATCTTCATCCTTCCTAACTTTTAGGGAGTATCGTATTCATGTCAGTTAACCTGGTGTTCCTGACGGCTCAAGTCACAATTCTGTTCTACGGAGTCGTCCACGAAGCTCACAAGTATCTACAAACCCATCTGATCTTCCTTGTGAGCTCTCCTCCTCTTTTCTACGAACCAATTCCAATTTTCAGAGTCTCACGTTCCTCTGGGATGTTGTGTTGGCAATCGGCTTCTTCTGTCTCTCAGTTCTGCCCTACGCATACACAAACGATTTTCTGCAGTACAAGGGCAGCGAATGGAACGCGCGAACGTTCGGAATCGTGATGGGATCTCTGATGCTCGTCTGGTTCGTCGCCCGATTCTTCGCCACCGTCGTCATCTACCGGTACTGGAAACTGCTCAGAGCACTCGAAGGATATGGAAATGGAAGTGATTGCTGAGGGAAGAGGATGTGGACCAAATGATCTTACGGGTTTATCAGTGAAACGGATAACGATAACGTAGACGTTTGACACAATCTGCAACAAACGCCAAATTTTAAATTTTTTTGGTAATCGATAAAATAAAACGGTCTCCTTTGATCACAACAGAACAGAAAGTCATTCTTTCACGTCCTCCGAGACATTTTGGATGTTCTCACGCTCGGTCCCCCACTTTCCCACACCTTTATACCGCAATTCTCACCTTACATTACTCGCTCATCAACTGCTATTGACAGTTCTTTGGTGGAAAGGCGCAGAAATGAGCACAAAGGATGCTCGCTCAACTATATTTCACAGCTCGTTGTTCCCTTTACCTCAATATGGTAAAGAATCCGTTTCAAATTCGAAATAGTCATTTAAGGTCATTTGAATTCGCACAGTTTCTCTTCGTCTCTCGCTCCTCCGCACTCGTTCGCTCCGTCGGGCACAGCGGGATTCAAGCACCTTGGCGGGCAGAGAAATGTCAGAGATAATCAATTTTTAAACGCATAAACACACACACACACACACGCACATATTTGAAAGGCAGTTTCCGACTGGTACCAAGGCCAGTGGGTCACTTCCTAATCCCTTTGTCCCACACTGTTTCGGCTGCCGTTCTCGCCGCTTCTCCTCTCAATTTCCCTTCCGTTTCCCGCCCGTCGGCCGCCCCATAAAAGAGCTCAAGTGAGCGTGAGCCGACGGAAAAAGCAGTCAATTACAGTATCATTGGGGCGTATAATTGACAAAAGAGAGAAGCGGCCTTTTTTGCATTCATCCCGCCCCGTTCAAGGGCTTCTTCTCTTCGCATTCAAATCGGGGGCGACAAGACGGAAACACGCTCATATAACCATAAACTGTGATCGATGGTTAGCACCCATTTCGATCTCATTAGGTCGCATTTTATGGAACTAAATGATGTTTGTATTGAATGAATGAGGATAAACAAAAGGTACAATCGAAATTAGATCGGATGTTCTGAATGTTTCAAAAGTTTCGATGGAATCTAGAATTTAGATTCACAATTCGGTTTCTCATTAGCTCAAAGATCAAAGACTACAAAGCGAAAAGGTGCATCATGTCTGCTTTCCACTCAAATTACGAATGAAATCTCACACCATGATTATGTCTGCTCTTTCCCTTCTAAACTCTTTTCGGCTGATATGGATTTGCCCTTTCCACACCCGCAATTATTCTCTGATTACCTCCTTTCCCGTCAATTCTCTCCCGACTCCGCCCCGTTTTCCGCGCGCTCGTCTCGTCCGTCGCCTCATTTCCCCGCCCCTCGGTCCCTTCGTTTCGCTCGCTCATTTGGTTGTCTCCCGTTCCAGAATGACTGCTTCCACTTCCACTCCCTCCAAGATTCCCTCTTCGAGCAAGTCTTCGCTTTCAAAAGTCACGAAGCAGAAGAGGAACGAGCGAGAGCGAAAGAGAGTTGATCAGGTACACACTTCCCCATTTCCCCCTTTCTTTTGATGATTCCAATATTGCTCTCAGGTCAACCAGTGGTTCCTTCTTCTGCAAGAAAGAGTTCCGAAAACGTCAGGGAAGAAGTCCAAACTGTCAAAGGTAACACTTTCATCTCTCCATCTTTCGCATTTATTCCATGTTTCTTCCAGGTCGAAACCCTCAGAGAAGCCACCCGCTACATTGCCGAACTCACGAAGCAGCTCGGAATGTCTCCTTCCGCGATGCCGGCCGACTTTCCGACTCCCCAACTGTCTCCAGACTACCCCCAATCGCTGTGCTCGATGGCTCCGCAGACTCCTTCTCCCAGCTACGTTTCCCATATTATCCGGCTCCGCAGCAGATGATGTCCGGAAAGAACGGAATGTCCGCCGTTTCCCCGTACTACCCAACCAAAATAACATTTCCTCCACTTCCAACTCTTCTGATGACCATCACAGCTTCTATAATAGCACTGATTCCTACTAACTCCCCCCTAGATTTCAATTGTTTCTTCTTCTTCTCACTTCGGGTTCTTCCACCGTAAACCGTTATTTATCTTCGTTCTACCGCATCCATCATCATCTGTAGAATGCTTTTTGTTTTGTTTATTTCGATCTCATTTCTGTCACATGAATTATTCGTTCCCACCATTCAAGTGCTTACTTTGGCTTCCAGGAAAGGGCGGTTACTCTTTCGCAACCCAATCCTTCTTTGTTCGCTTTTTTTTGTCGGTTCTCCATTTACACCCAACTTGACCCCATCGTGTCCGTTTGAGAAAGTGCTCCAAAATGTGGGTCAGTGGAGTCGTCGTCTTCGTCGTTCCATCAAATGCAAATCGGACGGCCCTCAACTCGTCACTCTTCCATTTTTCGTTTTTTTGTGTGTTTCTCTGTGTGCGAATTTCTAATTGACACCCGCAAAAGGGCACTCGAACGTGCTCATTAGTCAAGCAGAAAACAGACGAAAGAGCGAGGCGCAGACATTGACGAATGGCTTCTGAACAAGGGGCGAAAAAAGGGCTGTGAAGGGGGTTCTGGAGATGCGTGTCCACAGGTGTCAATTTCAAGGAGGGGGATCATCTTGGATTGCGGATGATACTGTAACAAGATGTGTAATCCACGTTGCGCCATCATGTTATTTCGCAACACGGGCTTATGACGTGGCACAGCTCTTGATTTATAGCTGCTTCAATCACCGTGCAATTGTTCTGTGAAACAGAAAACTCTTCGAAACCCAATTAAACGTTTCCGAACGTGTGCCAGCTGTGAGCAGAAGAAACAAGCGAGAGAATGAAGTAATTTCCTCTATTTTTCTCTCTTCATTCATTGCTACATCTCTCCTTCTCCTCTCGTTCGTGAATTAATCAAATAGCAGGTGCGGACCGTATTGTGCCCACACGTGCACCGTTCCGAGAGCACATTAGCAGGAGCCGGGGGACCGTTGCACAATCGCAATTACCTGCGCGCACGGGGGATTTCGGGATTTACCGGAGCAGCTCAGTGAAGGGTGTAATTTTGATAGGAAAATGGAACATAAGCCCATGATGATGAGGGGGTCGACTAGGCCGATGGAAAAAGGAGGAAGAGAGCAAAGAGAAGGAAGTATGTTTTGGAAGTATGTTGACTGTCGACAAGGTCGCACATCGAAGAACAACAAAAACAAAAGTTGTATTTTTAAGGTCAGCAAGAGTATTACGATAAAAACACGTACTTGACCCAGTCGTTAGCTCGTCTATAATTATTTCAGCCACTCGGAGGAGCACAATAATGGGGGCAATTGTGCGTCCGGAAACTCAAGTGATCATGTCTTCCTTGCCCCACACAATAAGTTGATTATCCATTGTTGGTCTCTAATTGCTGGTTTCGAATTGTCGCACTTTCGGTCGTGCGTGCAGGTGTGGTAGTGAAAAGAAAAAAGCGATATTATGGACGTCGCGCGATAAACTTTTTTGTCCTTCTCCTTCTCTTCCGAGGACCGAATGAAAATGAACGGAGAGAGGGAGGGCAGAGCTGTGTTTATCGTCATTTGATGAGGGTGGCGAGGTCACGAGCATTGAGAAGAGTACGGATTAGGAGAAGAACATAAAGCATGCTTTGATATGTAAAAGCAGGATAATAAATCATTCAGGTCTCGCAAGCAGTTATAATTAGAGAAATATATACATAATTAGATGTAGCCAGTGAAAACATCAAAGCAGCGCCGATTGACATGCCAATCTGAGCGGATAACAAGGAAAAGAGAGGAATGAGGATTATTGGCGAGAGGTAACAATGGAATCCAGAAGGTCCTCAACAAGACGGACGGTCCCTTTGACGGTTGTCACGGAAGCCCTTTGAGAGGATTACTGTAGAAGAAACGGACGGTATTCAAACTTTTAAAATCAAGCATTGGCGGATTAGTGCCTAATTAATGATTGATGATTGACTAACAATCGGATGTCTCCCCAAGTTGACCTAACCCTCTACTTGACTCGTTTCTGTACAAACAGAAGCTAATGCGCGCATGTCTATGCTCTGCAGATTTCGAATCGGAACGAAGGGAGGATGTTGGAAGCTCTGCTTAGAATTCGTGGTTTTTGCACTCTGCTATCCTCTTCAGCACACAACCATTTCGTAAGAGCACACGAGGGAAGGGTGTCTTTCAGGCATGAGAAACGACAAAGATCAGCGTGACCAGGAAGATGATTCTGTGCTTTTTCGGTGCATAATCCTCCCGTTTTTAGGACAGTTAAACTACTTTTCCAATAAGACTATTTATTGGTGCCGATGAAGAGGTTATAACAGATTAAAAAAAGAAGATTACTGTATGTTATTGAACGAAATATTAAGGTGGGTTGGAGTGAAGTCCGCTGGTCCACGTTACGATGAGTCTTTTCAGATGAAGAGGCTCTCACTGCTTCCTTTTGAGCGAATGGATATCCGCAAAGTTTGGATCTACACGAGTTCTGCATCCGTAGCCATCGTGAAACCGGGCCAACAATTCCGACACTTTCGCTTGACCAAGATGTAACTGATGACGTCATCTGAAAAAGATAATATATTAGATACTCATAGGAGCAACTCACGCTCTACAAGTATTTCGAATCGTTGTTAGTCTCAAACACGAGACTGATGAACGAAAGGATCGCGTCAATTGGGATCTCTTCTCGATTGCACCGTTTCATCATCATCACGTCGCTTTCTTCGTGAACCGTGAAAGTGTCTGTCCAGATCTCCACGGTGTTCGTGTAGCATAGCAGTGATAGAAGGTTTCTTTTGCGTCTGAAATTAATTTGTTGTTCAGATAGTTTTGTCCAAGAGGGTACTTACTCTCTCGCAGAACTTTCTGCATCTTCTTCTTCTTTCCCTTTTCGCTCTGCTTCGTCGTTTGAACAACTTTCCTGGCAGACAACTTTTACAGCGACAAAACCTGTCCCTCGTGAGCAATTCAGCCGAGAACTGCAGTGATCTTCTGAAAGTAAACAAGATGACAATAATGATGATGATGATGATTACAGAATGTCAAGCGATGAGAAGGAAAACGTATGCGGAGAACTATTTATGCAGTATTTATTCATTTATTGGTGTTTTAGCAAAGCTTGCAAGTCTTCGCGCAGAACTGTTTCTTTTGTTCCGGGGTGTAGAAGTTGTTGGTGCAGAAGCCGTTCTTCGCCCACGCCGGACAACTATAATGTTAAGTTTGATGTTAGATTTTCAGATGCTTACTTTGGCGACGAATCTTTGCAAGATGGAGCAGGTGTCGGCTTTCGAGATGTGGCTCTTAGAGTCGTTGTAGTTGGTTTTAATGTAGTCTTGACTGTCGTCGTCGGAGCATCAGTTGTCAGTTTCAAAGAAGTCGTTGGCTGGACAGGAGTGGTTACAACAGGAACAGTTGTGTTGGCGATGGGACCACAGAGTCCACAATAGAGAGGACAGTATCTGAACGCATGATATTCAAAGCAATAATGGGCTATTGTCTCACAGAGAAAGATTTCGGTGCATGGGCGGGAGAACGACTGGCAATTCGTGAATTGATCTATGCATTCGGAAGGACGCACGGTGGTCGAAGTGGCCGATTCGCATGCTCCACAAGTCTTCGGACACTGTCTGTAACATAAGCGGTTCTTGGAGGACACTCCTTTTCAGCTAACTCTCTTTTTTTGGACTAGAATCGGTACTGTCAACTGACTTTTTGATGTTTTGAAGATTGCATTCGTCGGCATAGTTCGGGCAATTGTCCAGTTGTCAGTGCATTGAAATGGCGTATCCGTCGTGCAAACTCCGCAACTTTTGGGACATTGTCTGAATGAAATCACGATTGACACAGCCATTTCTAGTTTTTTGAGTACCTTTGTACGTCTTCTTGAGCGCAATAGACCTTGATGTCGGGACACGTGGCGATATTGTCGACACAGTTCTCGGAGAGCACTGTGACCATCAGAAGAGAAGCCAAGAGCAGAGTGACGTTCTTCATTGTGTATCTTTTCGTTTTGGTTTTGGTTTGCCATGTTTTAAAGGGATTTCTTATCGGTTTCTGGGGGGAAATAAATGATTCGAAAGATGATTTTAGGGCGAAAAAGTGACGTGTATGGGTGGAGACCGCAATGATAAGGGTCTGTTTCCCGGTCACTTCGGAGAGACTTCCCACGCATCCGCCTGTCCATGAGATGGAAGCGGACCCCAAACGCACTCGAAGGTGTTCTTCTTCTTCTTCTTCTTCTTCTTCTTTCCTCGGGACTTGCAGATTTGCCGCCAAGTGTGACCTAAGTGGCTCAACGCAGTGGACGAACGGACGAAGAATCGAAGACAATGGACAAACAAGTCGACCTTGTTTGGAAGTATTTGTACTATCCGCCCCTCGTCTCGGGCATGCACCGCTCAGCACATTATGCTATACCCGAGACCCTCTCTCTTCTCGCCCGAATATCGACTCGGCCACTCTTTCTCAACTCAACTTATCTCCTGTAATTTCCTTTTGCACATACTTTCTTCCCAACTCAATGATTTCCTCGCCGTGGCAACTGCCTTTCGAAATTTCTTGAAACGAGCGGTGCGGAAGCCCCTGCTCGTCAAGTGCTCGGCCGCTTTCCCACCATCCATAAACTGTGCTCATGCGAGCATTTACAAAAGAAATGCTCCAGGAGCCACCCCAATAATAACAAGCAAACAGACATGTGCTCAACGACGGCATATTTGCACCGCGAGGACGGTTATTAAAATGTCGATGTAGTCTTTTCTGTGTCGGCGAGGGCGAATCCAGTCGAAACGAAAGGAACACTTGTCGCCTTGCTGCCATCCGCCGGGGTCTCCGAACGTCATCCAGCACTTGTTCGCAACTTGAGAGACCAGTCAAACGAAAGTGGGTTTCACTTAATTGACGAACTTCTTCTTCCTCTTCCTCTCCCAGCTTTCCTTTTCTTCGGAACACCTTTTCTCCCCGTCGTTTTCCTTTCGTTTTCCGTGCTCTTCGACCCCTTTTCGCCTCCTCGTTCTCTGTTTGCGTTCGCGATTATTTTTGATGAATTAACTGAACTATTTGATGAGTTGTGAGGAAGAGAAAAAGAGAGAAAAGTGGAGAGAAAAGATGAGCATTCAGCTGGTTCCACCGTGTTTTTTGTGAACTCTCTCCCTCCTGATCATGCTCACTTCCGGTTCTCAGATTCTCATTTTGTGAAGGTGTCGTCATCGTCATCATCGCAAAAACATACGAAGGATTTTCAACACGTTTCGCTGCCAAGATCATACCTGCCGAGATAGTCATCTTCCATCGTTTCCGACTTGTGATGTCTCTCTTCCGAATCCGCCGGTTATCTCGGTCTCCGCATCGGAATTCGGCCCGCGTTGCCAAGCGGCTTCTCCTTTTCTCCTCCCCGTCCCTTTTTTAATGCAACTGACCTTTCTCTCCACTCTCAATTCCTTCCCTCTCCGTCCAACCATGTCATTTTCCATCTCGTCGGCGACAGTTACCTTTAAACTCACATTTATCTTTTTCATATTCGAATTCCAAACCAAACCGCGCATTAGAGATGGACAATAGTTCTTTGTGAAGGCCGCAAAACGATTTGGGTCATGGCTCTTTTTCGATCGGTCCTCCGTCCTCGTGCTTTCGACGAAGAGTACTGTAGGCTTTTCCTTTTTCCATCTGAAAATGCTATGTTTTGTTCCGATCCGATGACGAACAAAAGATGATGTTTCCCTCCCTTCTCGCTATTGTTTCCTTTTCCGTTCTGCCCACGCCTTCCCTCTTTTCTTGCCGGCTCCCTTTCCAGCAATATCTGCTCTGGAATTGACCGTTTTGATGGCAAACACACAGTGCGGAGGAATCCCGTCCGTACATATGTAAATACGCTTCTTCACCAGCTTCTTTTCCTCTCCCCCTTCGCAATTACCGGTTGCGTTATTTGCGCCCCGAGAAACAGCAAAAAAAAAGTGACTTTTCACATTTCGCCCCCATTTTTTGTCTGTCTATCTTTACTACTCATTTGCTGTCATTCTGATTGGAAAAAGAGTTGATCAGAGTTGAAAAGTGTGGGAGGATGTGGATGATTCGGAAGGGGCGGAGAACACCTGTTCAGGTCAGCAGGCCTCTTGGTTTTTGATTTCGAAGATCTCGGAGAGCCGAGAGAAAGAGATTTTCAAAGAAAAATATCACTTATTTCCTGAGCAAAAAGCCCCGAATCCACGAATAAATCGTTCCGAAATAGCGTGCAAATCCTCCTAAAACATACCGTCAAATGAGTCAGCAACCCTCTCGCCTCTGCCCTGATACGTACACATTGGTGTCATTCATACATACCTGTCGTCTGATTCATCATTTTTCGCCCCCTTTTCCCAGCATCATCATGTAATATTTCTTCCCTTTTCGCTTCCCTTTTTCCGCCAAAACAATCGGCCGTCCGTGCCCGAACCGGTCGAATTTCGAAGAGCTGCACGGCTGTTCTGTGGCATCGACGGCCGCACCATTTTATGATAATCTGTTCGCGTTTTTGGGTTTTGTTTCGACAAATAGCATCGCAAAGACTGGTCATCTGGCGCCCCCCGACTACGGTAGTCTTCTACTCTTCGCGTAATGCGATCCGTTCTCGAGTCAAGTGCTCTTCTCTGCCGACGTGGCAACCAGTCTGAAATCTGCTCTGGAATCTCGTGGATCAATTCCCGCCGCTGATGATCTAATAATGTTGTTTTTGCGAGTGAAGCGCGGATCCTCCGTGCCTCTCCTCCTTCTCCTTCTTTTCTTTGAACACATGTTGCCGGCGCGGCTGGCGGGTCGCCCGCTGATAACGGGAGGCTGGTGTCGGCCGTCTTCCCTCTTTCTCCCTATTATCATGTTTCTTGTACAATCCCGTCATTTACTGTGTTCGTTCTTGCAACTTCATTCCTTATATTTCAGGTTTCTGCAGTCCTATTTCTGGAAGAAGCCAAGCCTTTCCCTTCATTTGTTTGCTCAGGAGCAGAGAGGAGACAGAGACAGACTCTGCGAGAAAAAAACGGTGAGTTTTTTATTTGGGACGGAGAATGCAAAAAGGTTATCAGAGGGGGGTTTCTGAGTCCGAAATGGCAACCATTTCGCGTGTTTGTTTTTGACTTTGTTCGCTGATAACTGCCAGTATCAAACAGCTGTGGAGCACGCGTCGTCGAATCGAAAGAATGTGACATCTGGTGAGAGCGAAAACGTCGAATATTGGAGAGCAAAAGAGTATGCTTTACGATGCACCATGAAATAGTTCCTCGTGGAGCATTCTTCAGTTGCTCCGTTCCTCGTGCCTAAACCAAAAGTGGTTGGGGCCCACCCCTTTCTCTTTATTCTCTGAAATTACTCTTCGATCTCTGCTCCTCCTATGATTCCGTGCTGTTTGCTCTTTTCCGTTTAATCCTGAATAATTTCACTTTCCCTTCCCTACGAAGTCGCCACCGAAAAAAGTTTGTCAGTTTACGGTTAAGAGAGCCAACTCTTCATCCTCTTCTCTTTTTCTCTCTCCTACCGTACCCTTTGTCACGTCACGCTCTTCCCCAATTGCCGCGTCTCAATTACCTCCTCCACACGTGCCAGGTGCCTTCCTGGGTCGGCGACCTCGTCGGAATTCCTTAATTACTCTCTCTCTCTCTCTCTCTCTCTCTCTCTCTCTCTCTCTCTCTCCCTCTCTCCCTCCCTTCCTCTCCTAGTCTCCTTCGGAATTATTGCCTCCTTTCGCCTCCTTCAACCTGCTTTTCATCTCTCCAATTCCACAAGGACACCACCACCCTACCGGAGGGCGAAGCCAATTTCGCAATGTTCTTTAATAATAATAATAACACGGAGATTTGGGAGGGGAAATGAGTGAGTGCCGCGTATGCAGACGCGCATATATACAGTCGAAGATTCGAGTGGTGACGGCGGCACGGACTGCCATTCAAATTATATGGAGATGGAAGAAGGAGAAGAAGCAGCCGCCCATTTTGTACTCTTCCGGACAGACCGGACGACGTTGAGACTGTATACGGATTTATGGACTTTTACGGAACACTCTTATTAGGATCCTAGAAGCCCGAACTTCCTTTTTTTAACTTCTCGTTTTTCTCCCTCTCTCTTTTTTTCTCGCTCACTTTCATCACTAATCCGTTCGTAATAGGGCCAGATGGTGCAACAAGAAGCAACATTCAAACAAGTGAACTGAGTAACTCGTCTGGTTTGTCAGGTAGGAGGGTCTCTCTTTCTCTCCCTCTGTGTTCGGGCGGCAAACAGTATGCCACCCGTACCGAAGTACATGTTTGCCCTTCGAACACCGCCTCTGGAAGAGCGGAACACTTCATTCCGACCTCTTTCTACCTCGGTTCAGAGCTTTGAAGGTGTTTGGTTCGTGTGCCTTCTCATTCTTCTGGAATTTCATTTGTTCTTTTCTCTTCGCTATCGCTATTGTGTGAAAACATAAATTCATTGCGTTAACTAATGAAAACTTCCGAACGATGACGCCTTTCTTCTGGTTCTTCCAGAACTTTTATCGCTTCTCTTTGACTCCGAACTTTCCGCTTGCTCTGTTTACCGTGAGAGTATCTAAATCGGGTTCATGAGAATCCAGATTGTTGGTTCGACGGGTTCACTCATGGATTTACCAGTTCACGGGCGGCACAAACATGCACGAACGGCCGACAGTCACTCAGTCAACACGGACTGATCACAACTGATGATGACAACGTTTATCCGAGAACAAATTCTTCCTTTTCGTTCCTTCTTCTTTTCGTTCTCTTCTACTTCTACTTCTACTCATCCTATTTGCACTTGTACGATCTGTCCGGAATCCTCGTTTGTCTGGTCACCCCAAAACTGATTAATCCGCGAAAAAACATGGGTGGAAGTGGAAGTTGTGAAAAGGAAAGAGAAGAGGCGAATCTATAAATCAGCGGTATATCACTTTCACTCAACTGCCAGCCGACCGTTGCCTACCAATTATTATCAAAGCCTCCCCTCCTCTTTTTCCTTTTTCTCCGTCTTCTTTTCATTAGACACCTCCTCCTTCTCCCGTCGTTCGCTTCTTCCATTTCCGAAAACGACCAGATCGATCATAGTTATGTCCTCATTGTGACCTACCTTCGCCGCGCGATTCCCGAGGTCCCCTTCCGAAGATTCCGCCATTTCGCTCGTTTTTTCTCGCTTCACTTTACACTGTCCTGATCGGTTGCCTCTCGGCGCCACGAGTGTCTGTGAGTGCTCATGAGAGAGAAAGAGAGAGAGAGCAAGAAGGAGAAGATCTCGTTGCGAATCGGCCCGAGTAAATCTATCGACCGGCTCCGGCGGGGGAGCATCCCTTTGATATTCTTTCTCGATCTGGCCCCGCCCGTGCACTTCTCCCCGAATCAATCTCACGGCGCAGTTCTTGTATTTGTATCTTAATTTCACCCCGCGAAGGAACTAAAGTAAATACGTAATAATACAACACCTTTTTCCCTCACACCAGACCCCTTTTTCGAACAAATACCATGCGTACGTAACGTTTATGAAAAGGCCGCCACTCGAATTGAGTCACTTGAAACGGGGGGAGACTCCCGTGGCAAAGAGAAGAAAGTGTCGAAAAGAAGAAGAAGAAGAAGAAGAAGAAGCATGACACGTCAAGAGTTGGGAAACTCGCTGTTTGACCTAATTGGAAGTACGTCTCCTTATCTCTCTTATCTCTTCCCTTTTCATAGGGCAACTAAGAATGTCTTCCAGCCACCTTCAGAAATAGTTTTCCAGTCGCCACAGCCAATCAGCTTCTTCTTCTTCTTCTTCTTCTTCTTCTTCTTCTGTCTGTTGTCCCCCACCCTCGCAAATTCCTTCCGTTGATCAGTCCGCGCAACTCGTTTGTGTTACAAATTCATTTTCTTCCTCTTCATAGTAGTTTTTTCGATCATGATATGATAGTCAAAGTGTACGCAAGCATGTCGTCTATGTATGTTACACCCTCAGCCCTCAGCATTATCAGTGACGAACAGACGAAAGTCGCCTGGGTTGACAGACTCGGATCGTCACTTTCCTTCCGGTTCCAGATGTTTCGGTTCCTCGTCTGGGACCCAATTAGCTGAGCATGAGCTCCTTCGAAAGTGTAACATCCGGAAATACGCCTCTGTATCTCTTCATATCACTCACTCTGCTTGTTGTGTTTTTCTTTTTCTTTTTCTTTCTATACATACAAATTTCCAGGAGCTTCGATCGATTGGCGAGGGTTCGGGAGCCAAACGTCGAGCAGTGCATCATGTTCTCCGGACACCCCATTCTTGATGTAATCCTCCCTCTTCCATCCATCCATCCACTCGCTTCTGTTTTCAGGAAATCAAGAAGGGGTTCAAACTTCGGCCAACCAAAACCGTCGATAAGTCGAAGCCAATCATCTACGCAGAAGGCGAAGATGAGAACGAGGTGGCAGTGACGAAGCGGGCGCCCGCGTCCGGAATCCTTCCGCCGGGCCAGGCCATCCCGAAGCCAGCGCCCTCGTTCATCCCCCCTTCATCAGTGCCTAATGGATTCATCGCCCCTCCGTTCGAACTTGGTCCCGGCGGCATCCCTCCCCCACCTCCGATGTTCTCCGGGGGAATCCCTCCGCCCCCACCCATGGGAGGCATTCCCCCACCTCCTCCGATCGGCGGCGCTCCACCACCACCTCCGCCGCCGATAGGATTGGGAGCATCTCCTCAACCAGCTCGACCGAAGACGCCAGTCAATCCAGCACTGACGAAACTGGGAGGAAGGACGCCGGGCACCGTGGACAGGGGAGAGTTTCTGAAGGGAATTCAAAGTGGATTCAAGCTTCGGAAGGCAGTCACGAATGACAAGTCGGGACTGTTTGTCGACGAGGAAATGCGAGAGAAGAGTGTGACTCTCGTCGAGGCAGCGCCTTCTTCGTATGTTTTCCCATTGAAAGCCAGAAGTGTAGCTGTGAATTTCAGATATATAGCACCGGACAGGGGAAGAAGTCCCGCTCGCCCGCACTCTTCGCTCGGATTCGATTCGAACGATGACAGATTCCGATCGGCACGAACTCCAGAACCTCGTGACGATTCACCCGAACAGCTCCTCGGACAACGACGACCGATTGTGATGAGGCAGAAGGGACAACCGCCGCCGCCGCCCCCAGAATTCGGATTCGATTCGGAAAAGATCAAGATAACCTCGGAAGACATCGAAGTGAGTTCATATTTGATAAAGAAACAAACTATTCACTTCTTGCTTTCCAGAAAGAGATCAAAAAGGGATCGGTCGCGTCGAAGATGGCTGCTCTCATGGGAAATATGGGATATTCGGCCGGTGAGTACTGCCGGCTACCAAGCTATGATCCATGGTTTGCAGAGAAATGCGAACAAATCGGTACGGGGACACTGCCACGTGCTACTTTCCGGCGAAGTCCCTTGAGAAGTTCCATGATGTCGTCGTCTTCGGAAGTGAATAATAACCGGGATGACAACGAGACTCCGAAGCCAAAGCCTGTTTCGAAATGGCACGTCGACACGAACTACGGATTGAAATCCGCATCAAGATGTGAGTTTTTCCGTTAATTAATCCCATTCATTATCGTTTTTCAGCAAATGTGCCACTTGAACGAGAGGAAAGATCAGCGTCGGTCATGAAGGACAGAAGCTCTTCGTGGCTGGATCTGACCAGAACTGGAATGGAGAGGGCAAGGACACAGTCGCCGATTCCCTTGTGCGAACGGTTGGAACTCGATGAGATGGACTTTGATCAGCTCGTTGACGAGGTGGCCGCAGAAGAAGCGGCGGCAGCTGCCCGTGCTCCACCTCCGCCAGTCGAGAAGCCGCCGCCATTGGACAAGAAGAAGACGACGACGACTTCAACGAGGAGAAAGTCGAAGCCGTTGCCGGAGCCCATCAGTGTCAAGACGGAATTCTGCACAACCGGAGCCAGAAGACCCTCGACGACTCCGCAGATTCAGGAGACTCCGCCCACTCCCGCTCAGAAGAAAACGTACGGATACTCTGCGACAACGGCTCCAAGCAGTTCGGCCACTTCCAAAGGAACAAATACTTGGAGGTGACGTCACTTCTGAAAAAAATTCGTTTAAATCTCAAAATCGAGGGCAATTTTACTAAAGAAAACCTGAAAAAAAGGAAAACAAAGACAATCGTCTTTTCGAATGTACATTTATAAAAGACGGAACGAACTGTCAAAAAAACAAGCGAATCGGCCCACTTTCTCGTGATTTCTATCTGCCCCTCTAACCCATTTTCTCTTTTCAGATCGGCCAGTCCGTCGGCAGTGGAACCGTCCGGAGGAATGTCTCCCATTTCGTCGATGTCTTCCGTTTCAGCCCCATCTCCATCCTCCCTTTCTGCTGGATCCGTCTCCCCCGACTCTACTCCCAAAAAGAGAATCGGAGGAAATCCAAACTTTGAAAAGGTGTGTTGTGATATAGGAATTATCATTCAATAACTGTTTCAGGCGAAAGAGAAGTGGGGAGCCGTCGAGAAGGCAGACGACTCGCCGCCGCCGACACGTGGCTACCTGATGCGAGAGAGCAAAACTCCAACGAGAGAGGAGATCTCTCCGGTCAGAGAGAAGACGCCGAAGACGACGACTGCGACAGAGGAGCCAAAGAACAAAAAGGTGACTGTCTCTTCCGTGACGAACAAGAACAAAGAGAAAGAGAAGAGTCCGCCGTGCTTCGCCGTGACCGCCGCGGAAGCGAAGGGCGCCGCAGCGGTTGCCAAGGCGAAGACGAGGAAGAAGTCGCTGAAGACGGGCACGAGCGCCGCCCTCACTCCCACCTCTGCCACAACTCCCACAACTAACAAACCTACTAGCACCTCTGTCGCCAAACCGAACACCTCCTCCTCGTCCACCGAGCACTCCCCCTCCCCGAACAGCAAGAGCACGACCCCACCGAAACGGAACAGTATCAGTAACAGCGATGTTAAGAAGAAGACGCCGTACGGACAGCCGCAATCAGGAACCGTCGCCGACCGGGCAAATCGATTCCGTCAGCAGCTACAGGCCGACGAAGACAAGGGAAAGAAGTCATGGCAGGTAAGATAGAGGACAGAAAGGAAGCCTTCCTGAAGACTCCTCCCAAACCACCTCCGCTTCACAACCTCGCTCACCATTCTGATGTTTTAGAAGGGAAGCACTAAGAACTACTGACCGTACTCGCCGTCAACTCTCCACTAGCCCCGGGTTCAGGTATCTAGTCTGCGGGTGACTCTTCTTCTCTTCTAACCTCTTCCGAATGCACTTTTCCTCCGTCCGTTTGTGTGCTCGCTCACCGGGTTTTAATGTCTAATAGCCCCCCTTCGATGACGTGGGAGATCTTTATGGGAGAATCCGTTCTTGCTCCCTGTGTGCTCCATTTCCTAACGTGTGTCTTCAGCATCCGTTCCTGTCGTCCTCCCCTGCTCCTCCAATGCCGTACCTCTCCGCCCGCGAGCAGCTCTTCTCCTCTTCCACCTCCTCCACGTCGCCACATCAGAGCCGTCCGAGCCAACGCGTGATCAACGTGCCGATCAGTGCTCCGTGGTATTCCCGCGAGCCGATCGTCAACCGGGAACCGCCGTCGACGTCGTCGCAGAGTCCCGTTCCACGCCTGCCGAATGCGGTCAAATACTCTCCCAATCCGTATCGGGTATCCTTTTATTTGTCCTTTCTCTCTCTCTCTCTCTTTCTCTTTTTGTCGGCGTTTTCAGCCGTGGGAACAATTGTGTGGCATGCGAACATGCAGTGATTCAGAGCATGAATTCTATAGTGTCGGGGAACGGACCGAGTTCAATCCGTTCAGTTCTCCGACACTTCACAAAATGCAATAATATCAAAGAAATAAAATTTATTTTCAGATTTCGTTCGACGAGTTCTCAGTGCCTCACCCGTCCCAAATGCGCGATCATCTCCGCTTCAACATCGACCTCTCCCACGATTTGCCGCTCTCAATTTCCCGTCGCTAGTCTCCTCTAAGTATATGTTCATAGCCTCCTTCCTTTCTAATTTTCCCTGTTTGTAAATATGCTCGGGTCGCCGCTTCCCATCCCTTTCTTTCAAATTACTCCCTTTTTTGGAATAGTTTTGCCTCGTTTCGGTGCCGGACCGCCGAAATCCACCAGTTCGTGATTTGCTTTCGGTGCTGCTCTTATCCCCCATTTCTTCTGTCTGTGCCTTTTATGTATTTTTCAGTCGAATGCTTTCATTTCACCCATTTCTCAGATCGCCTCTCTCCTCCACAAAACCGTACACCTAGTCGCCTCTTTCTCTCATATTTTATCTGTTCTCCCGTGTAGTTCCCTTCTATTGCAGCTATTTTTCTCAACCGTCGTTTCGTTTTCTTCTCATAAAGAATCGCTAATACGTACAGTAATCCGTCATCAAACAGGCATCTGCTCTCTTTCTCTCACTCCCTCTCTCTCTCAGAGAGAGCACAACAGTTGGTGAGCAAATACGTCACAATCGTTGGGTGGATGGCTGTGGTGCAACCACTTTTTATTAGCAGGTGGAAGACGAATGGGTTGGTTGCAAAGACTGAATGGATGACGTCAGATTAGATGGGATGACGGTGCGGAACAAAAGGATCGGACGGTCTGCCGTAGAGTGAGACGAGAGGCCGGTGAGCTGACTCAAAACATCAAGATATTGTTGGGCGCCAATTATCCTGCTTAACCTTTACTTGAGAGTTGAGCAAAAATCTAGTAGAATGGGGGATTTTCTGAAGGGAAATTTAATCTGAAAGCGCCGAAGAATTTGAATGAGAAAAGAGATTACGGTCGGCAATGCGAGCGGGTGCCGGATGTGCGCTTTCATGTCGTGGTGTTCACACTAATTTTTTGAATTTCAAAATTTTCGATTTTCGAAAAACAAGAACAACGTCTACGTCTTCAAGTTTTCCTTCTGTTTCTCCAAAAAATTTTCTTTCCAGGTATTTATTACAAAAAGTGCATTGCGAAATTTCGAACATTGATCAGTGAAACCAACTCGTGCGCTTTTCGTCTATCAACATTGACCTCTTCCCGTTCGAAATCATCAATTCCCTGAGCTTTTTCTTCCCCTATTTTTAGTGCCAACGTTTCCTGGATTCATTTTGTTTTCCGCGGTCAGTGGTTTATCCGTCGATCGTCACCGTCTTCTATTTCTCTCTTTCGAATCGTCTATTTCGAACGCGCACACAACAGAAAAACACAAAAACGCGCAACACAACGAACAGTCGTACTTTTTGGCACGCAGCCAATGTTTAAACGCGCGCGCGCAGCGTCCTTGGGTCAGCAGGAGGCCCGCCCATTCCGAATGGTCCTAGAGGTATGTATTTCAGTATCCGTTGTTTGGGCACAGAGATGGTCAGTTGGCTCTCAGTCAGCGTCCGCTCATTTTTCTCATCAAACGCTTTTCCCTATCTTTGCGAACATTCCGTTTTTATTTTCTCTCCAAACAGCAAGGTTCGGCACGTCATTTTGTGCCTTTCCTTCCTTAGAAACGTGCAATTTCGGGCGCTACAACGAAGTAGAACTAGCACGGAATGGAACAGTTACGATTTGGAACTCGCAGTTATATCTTAATGTTGCGAGTTCCAAATCGAAGCAGTTCCATTCCGTGCGAGTTCTACTTCGTTGTAGCGCCCAATTTCGATGTGCCCGCGCAATCCTCCGATCTGTAGGTCGCTTCATAATTCTACACCGCATCCTCATCCTGCGAAGTCTTCTCTTTTCTTCGATTCAGGCTGTGAGCGCGCATGAGTGAGTGTGCCTCTAGTGAGCGATTGTCGAAGTCACTCACAATTCACTCACTAACAAACACACACACACACACAACACAAGCGGGCTGTGGCTGGCCTGGTCGTCTTCTTTGCCGCCCCGAGTAACAGCAGTTGTGTGAGTGTGTGCGTGTGTTGGGTGGACCAGAGTTTTTCTCTGCTTTCTTGGCACGGTGCCAAGTGTCCATTTTTCCGCTTCCTGATGCCTGCGCCGATCGCAAACTCCGCGGAATCAGTTTGTTTACGCTGATTACCTCTAGGATGCGTATTTGAATCGTCCTCTGATCGTCAGGTACGGTAAACGTCGCTTTTTGAGCGAAATAGCGTGTTAGAAGAAGAGGTGGAGAGCGGAGGAGGCGGCCGCCGGGTGGGCAGACACGCAGAGTAATCGCCGGCCACACTGAGGCCCCGCCTCCACGCGCGCCGAAATGGGGAGCTCGGCAACCCCTCCTCGCTTAGTTCTACACCAGGCCAGGCAGAGAAGAGGACCTTAGCCTTCATATTTCACCCCATCTGCCGGTCTTCTTTTCTTCCAACACATCCTCCAGCAGAGTTGTGAGTCCGTCTAGGTTTGCGCTAGGTCGCTGTGGAGGCTGTTTTCACGCCAGCGCTGTTTAAAGTATAGCTATGTAGTACGGTAGGTGCCTAGGCTCTCCTAATAATACTAGTATGTATGTTTTATTTCAGCTCATGTCATTTAAAGGCTTCTAGTTACGCACAGGCGCCACCCAGATTAGACCGTAAGACTTTATTTGAATTTGGCGGGCCGAATTGTGACACTCTGTCTATCTCTCGCTCTCTTGGCACGCTGCCAAGTCAACATGATACACCGCGCACTCTTCCTCCTTCCTCCTTTTTTTCTCTTCCATCCATCGTCGTCTTCTTTCCGATCTCCCATTTTCCTCATCTGAACAAGACTCATTTCATAATTTTTATTTTCAGCAACACCTCATTCAAACCACTTCGATCATCATGTCGGCCGTTGAGGAGAGACAAACCGAGAAGAGAGCCCTCGACAAGGGAGACGAGAACGACGACGTCGTGCCGGTGAAGGAGCCAAGAATCGAGAATGGAAAGAACGAGGTTAGTGTGATGGGGATTGAGGGCTGGCGCCGTGCCAAGTCCGTCGGTCGACATTGGTTGGCTGTCAACTGTCCTTGAGATCTCTCTTTCAATGGTCTTTTTGCAGGAGGAGCCAAAGGAGAAGGTCGTCAAAGGTGAGAACTGAATCCAGTGAAGGAAAGGGCAGACGCGATGCACTGAGAGCAGCTTCATCCGTCAATTCCATTCAATCCGCTCGCTTCCCATCCTTCGTTCGTGTGTTAGTGGCCGCGTGTGTATGTGTTTGACGGTGGTGGTGCTGCTACGAGGCCGTCAACCGACGACCGACCTCGGTCGAGATAGCGTTCGTGAGACATTCGGAGCGACGACGAGGCAAGGAGTCGAGCGCACGCGTCGCGTCGACCGCGACGCACCAAGATAACAGCCGTGCTTGGCTGGCTGGCTGGCTGGCCGGGCCGCGGGGCTGTTGTGTGTGTGCGTGTGTGTCGGTGAGCGGGCGAAGTGAGCGCGGTGAGCGGTGTGTGTGAGTGTGAGTCGTTTCGAAAGAACGAGCGGGAGAAGGGTCGATCAGAGGAGAGGGCTGTGTGGAGGACGAGCGAGAGGCTGCTGCTGCTGCTGACTCGCAAATTTGTATGGGCGGCTGTGTGTTGTGTGCGTGCGGCGGCGGCGCGACGTCGTCGTCGTCGTTTGCGAATGACGGCCTCCTCGCAGCTGCGGATTGATTTGCGCTGTGTGATGGGAGAGACAGGAGAAAAAAGAGGAAGAAGGCTGGCGGCGACGGCGACGGCGTTGGGAGATTTGAGCCGCCAGGCTCGGTCTTCCTGTGCATGCACACACAGGACTGATTAGTGATCGGGATTTGAATAATAATAATAATGGCAATCTGGGTTGGGGGAATATATCAGTGTTTCGAGTCGTTGACAACTGTGAATTATTACAGAGGACGGAGAAGGGGAGGAGGAGGGAGACGACGATGACGTCGACGAGGAAGAAGAGGTGAACGACGAGGAGTCGTCTGAAGGAGAGGGAGAAGGATCGGACGCCGGAGAAGGCGAAGAGGAGGAAGGATCTGGAGACGACGAGGACGGAGATGATGCCGAGGGAGGCGATGAGAGCGACTAAGCAGTGCACTGGCGAGGAAGACGCACTGTGTCGTCATGCACACCGAACTTCACACTCTTTAAATTCATCAAATCTCTCAAAAAGTTCTTTTGGGGCTAGATCTCAATTCCTCAGTAATTCACCCCAATACACCTCTTTCTATTTTGTTCGATGCTGACCCACTCCTCTTCCACTACCCGCCCTTCAAAATTTTATAATCCTTTTTCAAGTAACTCCACCCTTCTAAAATTGTTGAACATATATGGACCTGTTTCACAAAAAGAAGTTGTTTCCCCCCCTCCATCCCACTATTTTCTATCCGTTTGGTGTTTCACCCTAAATCTTTAACACCTTGTTCCTGATCGTCCTCTTCAAGGAGGCAGTCTGTGAAAAGGTTTAAGTTATTTTCCCCTCTCTCATGTTTAAATTGGTATTATTTTATTCGATGATATTCTAATTGTTGTCGATTTGGTTTTACCACCTACCCACTCAATGAAATTATCGAGGAAAAGACGTTGTTATTGAATTGATTCGGACGGTTAATTGGTTTCTGAAAGGTCGGAAGGTATTGGAGAATCAAGGGAAATGGGCCTCATTAAAGCGGCAGGAATATCCATTTCAGATGACTTCGCCAAACGGATTCAGTTTCAAAGTCCACAAAGTTGTCTTCCGATCGGTCCGACTCATCTGGCTCTCTCTTGTTCGTCAGATGTTCTTCATCTGGCTGCAGCATATGTGCCGCTTTGTGATGTCATCTGTCTTCAGGTACTCGAAAATCGTCGTTGCGAGACCTGTTGCATCACGAAGTCGTCACCCACTTCTACCGCCCGTAATGGTCCCCTCTTGCACTCGGAAAGAATCTGAGAATGGACTTTCGTGTTGGATGTGATCCAACACAACAGATGTTTTTTTTTCCGCATCTGTCCACCCGCATTCGTCGAATAACCTATTCGTTTGGCCGATGGCAGATGGAGCTCAGAACGAGAGAATCGGCAGTTAATCAGGGAGAGAACGCCTCGCGAAATGGATCCTTCGCAAGCGTGTCATTTATTCGAAAAGACCTTCCGCGGAATGCGGAGATTTCAAATGTGCGCATCAGTGTTGAGCGGAATTCCGTCTTCCGGATTTTCAAATTCTATTTCCACTCAACACTGGTGCGCATTCGCTCTTTCTAAAATCAAACTATTGAGCGTGAAGCTGTATGCACTGAGTTTTAGATGAGAATTTCAGCCAGATTCAGAAATAAAACGTCGACAATCGAGAAAAACTGGAGAGAATTGGAAATGTCTTATCTTTTTTGAAAACACCTTCAATTTAATAAAAAATGACTCTTTCCTCTGGGTTTTCTACAATTTTTCAAACGACGAAAACTAAGACATACGTTGTTTTTCAGATACCATTGCTTCCACGACAATACATTTTTTATCTGAAAATAAGCTCTATTCTATTTTTTGTTTCCTTAATTTATCTCGCTCAAATGTGCTTTAAAAGCTCGAAGAAGTGGCGCCGAAATCCTTTGGAGCCTCGTGAGGCGGTCAGTAAATACGCTCCAACGCACCACACAAAACGTTGAATACTCAGTCAACGGCCTCCTCAGTAGCGAAATTGACCAATTTTTGCTTTCTTTTTTGGGATTTACTCGGTTTTTCCAAGTTTTTCGGCTGAAAAAGGCGATTTTATGAAAAAATTTCCGCAGAACTAGTTGCTACAATGAAGACGGACTGTTTTTCAAAGTTTTCGGCTAGAAATTTCGCACGATCTGTTTGAGAAACGTAATTTTGTGTTGATGCTTGTTTTCAGCTGTTGAAATCCTCTAAATTTACATAGCATTTATAATAATTCATTTATTCACATGGATTGTTTTCTCCGATTCGTGTTTTTGATCTCATGATGATTTTTTCGGGTAAAATGGTGCACGTTTCCGGAACCAAGGTCAGGGTTGTCAAGAAGAAGCTCACCAAGTTCAAGAGACATGAGTCCGACAGGTAACTTTTAAAAGCAATTACCAGGTCAGATTATTATTCCTTTTTCAGATACCGTCGTGTAGCCCCGAGCTGGCGCAAGCCAAAGGGAATCGACAACCGTGTCCGCAGACGCTTCCGTGGTATGCGTGCCATGCCAACCATCGGATTCGGATCCGACAGAAGAACCCGCTTCGTGCTTCCGAACGGATTCAAGAAGGTTCTCGTCCAGAACGTCAAGGTGCGTTAATTTTGCATAGAATTCTATTAGGATAGTTCGCCTTCTAAAAGCTTCCTTTTCAGGACCTCGACATGCTCCTCATGCAGTCCTACAAATACATCGCCGAGATCGGACACGGAGTCTCCGCCAAGAGCCGCAAGGGAATCGTCGAGCGCGCCGCCCAGTTGAACATCAAGCTGACGAACGGAAACGCTCGTCTTCGCACTGAGGAGTCGGAGTAAAATTGTTGATCTTGTTATAAACTTGTTTTGAAAAATGTGTTCATTCATCAATAAGTGATAAGTACAAGATATTTCAAGCTTTACACAGCTTGTCTGAGTCGCGCCAAGCGCTTTTCCAGTTGATCTTGATCGTTCTCGGGAGTGATGTCTTTGTCGACCAGGCCGAAGCGGTTTGACGGTGCTTCCGGAAGATGAAGAGAATGGTCTTTCTGAATGCATAAGTGGGATCAATTACCAGAAGGACGCTTACCTTGCTTTCACTGAGCAAGTCGCCCAGCTCTTTTTCGAGTTCTTCGTCATTCGCTCCGATTGCGTTGATGAATGGAGAGGAAATAGCCTCCTCGATTTCTCTGTAATCGTCGAGAGAATTCGCCACGTCGTCCATCGTCTCGTGTATTTTATCGGGAGACAGTCCCTGGCGAGCCAGCGTCGCTTTGAAAGCGGCAGTTCCGGACTGATACGCCGTCAAGACGTCCTTGTTGTTCTTCGCAGCCGCAATTTGATGAAGCATCGTGAGCAGTTTCTGGCACTGCATATCTTTGTCGGCCATGTCCTTCTCAGCCCGCTTTTTCTGTCTCAGGAAGTTCTGGGCCCGCCCTTTGTCTCCAGTGCGCAGAGCAGCACGGCACTGTTCGTCGTACTTTTTCGCCTTAGCCTCCAGCTGATGAATCTCCCGATCGAGTTTGTTCATCGCCTTGCGGATGTCGACGACACTGGCGTCAGCTTCTGTGAACTTGACCGGACCTTTACTTCCGTGGTCCTTGAACTTCAGCACTTTCTCACCGTTGCTTGTCAAGCCAACGGTAAGCTCTCCAATGTCCGAAAGATGCTCCAGAATGATATCGAACGTTTCAGTGGTTGAAATCAGGTCTTTGGCTCTTTCGAACATGTCGTTGTAAGTCACAACTTCGCCAGTGCAGTCAACTTCCGATCGAAGTTCTTCGTCGTAAATGCTCAACAATTCCTGACTAAGCTTTTTCACAGTCGGCAAATGAAGCAGCTGTTCGGAGTCAGAAGAACTTCCAAACATCCAGCTTTTCGTCTTCGAAAGTCCCCAGCCGACCCATCCAGAGTGCTGATCTCTCCATTCTCCAACAGTGATCACATCTCCATTCCTGAAACAAAATTTGAGAAGTACATACGTTTTCTTCACTCACTTTTTAAGTTCGGCCAGAATAACATTCAGACTGGCAGGGATCCGATCGTTTCGTCGGAATCTCCTCTTCAACGTCAGCAGATCGAAGACTGCATTTTTCTCGCCAACGCAACTGGCCGAGATAGTTTCCTTCCAGAAACGGAGCTTTCTGTCGTAATCCACCTTGTTGACAATTCGTTCCTGAAACAAAATATATTCTAAAGAATCCGCCAGAATCACTCACTTTCATAACGGACATCAACCCGTTCATTTTCACGTCATCTTGCCATTCTGTTGGGAGATACGACGCCATCCTAAAAAATAAAAATTTTAGGTTACAATAAAGCGAAAAACAATTATTTAAAGTAAAAATAGGAAGGTAGGCCTGAACTGAACGATTTACAAATCAATTCCGTCCAAAACCAGCCACTGTTGTGCAATGTGACGTGACCGTGTTCGCGTCAATTCGAACATTTGTACGCAATTACGCGTCACTGTGTTTGCGTCCAGAAAATTTTCGTTTTTCGGAAAAAAGGTCTGTGTCCCCTTTTTATCATCGTTTTTGTCACCAAATGCTCATTTTTCCTTTTGGTCACAATTCCCCTAGGGAGATCTGACAACTAAATAAAATAACTTAATAATGAATTAAATGTAACGACGAACGCTATGCGGAAGTAGGCGTCAAGATAGAGGATGTACATTTTTTAGCCGTTCAAATATTTCGCGACATATCGATTGGTTAGTATGATCGATTGGTTAGCATGACATTATCAGAATGTCCGCTTTAATTTATGGTTTTGAAAATCCGTAAGAATAATTTTTGTAAGGCAAAACCTGGAGAATAATTGTACAGTACGAACACAGGATCTTATCAGATGAATTCTATTCGGCGGAATCTGGCATTCGGCCGGCGCGAACTCTCATCACATATATCTTACCGCCAACTGCCCGTCAGCTGTTTTCAGTGCGCGAAAACGGAACATTTTGAGTGTGTACTTGTCGCGGAAGAAGTTTGCACTGAGCTGGTCACTTTACAAACGGATCATTTCCATCTTTCTGACAAAGCGTTCTGTATGTTAAAAGGCCACTTCGTTCCCGCATTTTCCAATCATGTGCCGTTGCTTAGCCTTAATTTCACAATATCTGGGGAAGAAGATGCACCTGTATTTGCGTCAGCGATGTCGTAAAAGAAGTTCCATTTAATACCCTTTTCGCACGCTGACTACGGTGCGGATTCATTGCACTCACATTAAGTGCAATGGAGCTTTTGGCAGCGAGCCAAATTTCAGCTGCCGCTCAAGCGCACGCGTCTTCCGTGATACACCACTACTACACATTACTAATCGCTTGACATGTATTCCTTTGATATTCAGTGCAAGCAGCCGAAGTTCCATTGAAGTTCAAGGCTCTATTCTTTTTGAATCACTTTCTCCTCCTTTTTGCTCATTACCCCCGAGAAGGCGCATTCTTCGATTCTCCCATTTGCGAGACGTGTGCACACGCCTGCAGCTATACGAGAGTAATGAGCAGCTCTCGACCTTTGCCGCCATTTCGACGAATTTCCGACAAGTTTCAGCCTAAAATCGATACGGCGCCGCCGCTGCCACTGCCACGTGCGTGCGTCGTCTCAGCATATGATTGAGCCAATCGGTCTCTTCTTTCTTTCTATTGTGTGTATCGCGTATTCACTCCTCTCTGCCCTTTTCTCTTCAAACCATCATCTGAATTGTAGTTTTCGTCATTGTAGGTAGAACAGAGTGGCACAATTGTGATATTGGTTGCCGCCACGCTGCAATCATTTTAGACAAAGACGGGTTGGACTCGGACAAGGGCAGTACTGCCCATAGTCCGGCGACACCAGGTTCGTCGCCAGCCTTTTAATTGTTTCCTATCCTTAATGTGTTAAGTTTCAGACGCGGACGCTGCGGATCTGGAGATGCCGGCTGGCGAGTCAGCGCAGTCGCCAGCTCACGGTGACGCTGTTCCGGTCAATGTGTGTCACAACGAGTCGGGCGATGAGGGCCCGCGAAAGAGATCAGCGAGCCCCGCGACGGCGAGTCAGTCGACATGGAATAATCCGGCTAAGGTGGGTAGTCATGACAATGTGCACGGCTATTCACGCGCTGTCGATCACGGTGACCGGGTCACCCGCGAGAAAGAGGGGACGGGCGAAATAGGAGGAAAACGTGTCGATGCCGAGTTGTGTTCGCAATGTGATTTCGTTTCAAATAAAAATCGAAAGCCGGGTAGTGAGCCCTTCCGCGGTGAAGTCGCCATCCCCCATTCCTTGTCCACTTCGCGATTTCCGGGTCATTTGAGGCGACGTTCTCGGTGACGAATTGGCTCCAATTTGAACTCGCGCAGCACATCGATTCGTTTTGAAAAGGACAACGCGAAACGAGCCATTTTCTTTTTGCACGAAGGCGGCCGTACCCCACAATTAGCCGCTCCCTCACTTTTTCTGGGTTCCGATTTCAGTTCTGAACTAGCCGTCGGACGCTCTGCGGTCTTACCTTTAACGTTCTGCCCACTTCTTCATCGCAAAAACATTACAGAAAATTTGCACCGAGGGAATCGATCTGTGGGTGCAGTCGACTAGCGAAGCGGTCGCAGTCCCCGACGTAACATCGCAGTATCAAGATAACCATGACACTCTCACTAATATGGGGTTTGTCAGCCGAAACTGTCCCTGTAAATCTTTTAATTTCAGATTTAATTCGGAGGAAATTGATTCAGCACTGAGAATGTCCAACAACGACGTTGAAAAGGCGGTACAGTTTCTGACGAGAGAGATCAGCGGACTGGATCCAACTCCGAAGCAGCCTCCGTCATCGGCTGATAAGCCGAAACCTCCTATCACACTTCCCGAGTTGCTCCGCCATCCGTACGTGGAGAGCGATGAAGAAGAAGTGGCGGAGAACATGAAAACGGTGTGGGACGAGGAGTCGATGAACAGACTTCGTATAATCATCGATACGAATCATAAGTTTGTTATTTTCCATCAGAACGGATCACTCCATCGCCGGATGATTGTGAGTTAGAAATGAACGAACAGAGATTCTTCTGACAAAATGAGAGTTTTCCAGGTGGCGACAAACATTCTTGCCGAAAAGAAGAACGATCGAATGGCCGATGTTCTTAATTTCGTCGACGAGTTCCTTTCAATCATCATTGCAAGACATGTCAATTGCAGCGACGTCAGACCAGGATTTGAATTGCTCCGTCAGCTTCTTGAGTTGCAGCCGCCTTATATTGGGGAAGCCGACGCGCAAGCCATCGAGCAATTCTACCTCGCCATCACGCCTCTTTTGTGCAATCGTCTTGTCATGTCTCCGAGCACGGTCAAAACCGTCCTTGCCATCGACGAAATGTTCAACTTCCGAAACAAGTTCTTCATTCAGGGCGTCCAATTCATTGATCCCCCGTTAGTTTATGCTTCATTCTTGCACTTTATTTTCGTTCCTGTTACAGAGATCGTGTGTATCCTCCACTCAAGTACATCGACATTGAGCGACTCGAGCGGGTGGAATACAAACCAATCTACGCGTATCTTGCCGATGTGTTCCTGGAAGCGCTCATTCCGACGATCGAGTCAAAAACCGATGTGACAACTGATGAAGAGCTCTTCGAAGTCACTCTTCTGGATTGGCAATGTCTTCTTCGTTCGCTCAATATTTTCACTAATTACATTAATAGAGCCAACGATCTATTCTTGTGCAAACTGGAAGGATGGGTTGCCAAAGCTCTCGATCGTTTCCGTGTTGTCACCGACAAAGAGATCCGCGATGCTCTTGTCCGTCGCCAGGGGCTTGATCTCCTCCAGGAAGTAGTAATTCTCTGTGATCGTTTCGGTCTTGATGTCGCTGTTACAACACAAGCGGCTCGTCTCGATTACCTTCGCAAGTGGATCAAGTGCCCCCAGATGGAAAGCATCCTGCACGCTCTCGAAGAGCTTGGTACCATCGCTGATCGTTTCCACAGAACGGGGGGAATGACAATCACCCGCCCCAAGTCGCACGTCAACGAAGAGTATTTCAAGACATGGCTTGAGGAAAACAAAGTGCTTCAGATAGTGCTGACCGGAAATATGGACCATGTTGTTTATGTGGAACGCATCCAGCCAATCCTGCAGTACATGACTCCCGAGCTGACGTTCGATGACATGAGTAAGCGAATGGAATATTCAGAAATATCCATAATGTTTTTTTTAGAATTCGTGTGGTCTCTTCGCAAAGGAAGGATGGGAGTGAGCGTTGATAACTTCAACAAGATTATGGAGTTTATATCGAAATCGGTGAACAACGAACAGATTGAATGGCTCATCGACTTATTCAAAAAGAGCTTCCGCAGTCGGGAAACACGTCTCTACGAGCCGATTTTCAACTTCTGCTCAACAATCGCCGTGCAGAAAGATCGTGACGATGAGTGCAAGCTGAAAATCAGTAACATCATCTGGGAACTGATTTACATTGCTCGTGGACCACCGAGATGCCATTCGTTCAAATCTCTCGAGTATGGAATGAAGAAGCATTGTGATCTTTTGAATATGATGCACGACAAAAGTGAAAGAGACGCTTTCCTGGATAGCAAGTTGGACGCGTTAAACACCGACGAGGGGTTCAACGAGATAACCATCGCCTACTTGTACATCATGCTGGATAAGATGAAGCGACTGTTCACGCCGAAAAGGTCGTTCTCCGGGGAAGACGCTCTGCATCGCGTAAGCGAGCTAAAGACTCGTTACGTGAAAAGAGCCTCGCGATGCCGATTCTTGATCGTCTTGAGACCGTCCGTCAGATGGCACACGAAGCATTTGATGCTGCACAACAGGCCAATCCGGATTCACAGTCAAACGCCGTTTATGAGTGTAAGTGAACGTTATAAGGGATCTAGCTGCTCGCACTAATCTGGAAACGTTTTTCAGCAACCAGTGACACGTTCGCAGGTCATCCAATCGAGAACATTCTCACAACATCCATTTATGGCTGCACCGACTATTCATTTGTTCTCACAAATACTCTGAAGCTGCTCAAATGGCTTCACGACATAGATGCTTCCATTGTTGACATGGATTACGTTCAGAGAGTGTTCAGCATCTTCATCGAACGTCCTGATGCCACTCCACAAGAAAAAGCGGAGATTTTCGCCTTTTTGTTTGAGATAAGAATACATTCGATGCGTTCGGAGACGTCGAGAGCAATAATAACGCATCTGTGCGGAATGGACATGTGCACACTCCAAATAACCGGACTTCGTTGCTTCTGCAAGTATTGGGAAGAACTGCCAATTCTGAGCAACGAGGAACACCGGCCAGTCGAATCGTTCTTAGTAGCGGTTTGTAACAAAACGAACAGTGGTATTACGTTCTCAGAATGATGTGGAATTTCAGAAAGACAATGAGTGCAAACTCTTCATATGGAAGCTGATTCTGTTCAATCAGTACGATGACGTTGTCGAGAAGTGCATGGAGACTTTCTGCGAAAGAGGTTTGTACGATGTTGTGATTTGTGGCCAATTAAATTTGTACAGATTTAGTGTTGGTCGAGTCGCCATACGCGGTTCGTCACCACACCTACAGCTTCTTATCGGTCTTCAGTTTTTACGTGGAAAAATTGAAAAGGTTGCGTATGCGCACAAATAAATCCATTCGATGGTCGAATTTCAGCGAGTTGTACAAAAGGAGCAACAAGCCAATCACTGCGGTCACATACGAAACTTCTGAATTGGTAATGAGCGAAGAAGAAGTGAAACAGTACGATGTTCCGCTCGAAGGAATGCTCACTGAGACTATCGCACGGGCCCTCAACAGACTGGTTCGCTTCATGACTCGCTTTATAGAGCTCGGGAACGAGAAGAACCACGTGAGAGACGCTTAATACGAATAAGAGAAATTGTGTCGTTCCAGATGATTCGAGAGAATCCGAGTCACGGATCATCGGTACCAGGACACCCGGTCACTTTGTCAATAGAACTTAAAAATGACGATGATGACCTTGATGTAAGAATGACGGCTTCATGAAATTCCAGCAATTTTTTCTGTTTTTAGTGTGGTATAAACAACTGGAAAACACTTGTCGTCGACTCGAGCACCACGATAGGAGAATTCAAGGTTCGCCTTGCCAAACGACTATTGTTCCACGAGAATATGACGGAGTTCACCGTACACAAAAGAGAAGAGGACTTGACGATGGCAGAAGCCAACCTGAAATACGACTTTCTGACACTGCAGAATGTGAAGATCTGCGCTGAAACAGATTCCATCTTTCTGTCAGAAAAGCTGCGTATTCTGGTCAAGCCGAAGTGAGCGTATTCCACCAATAGTTTGTAGTCCCTTTTTCAGCCCTTACAGAAAATCGACAACTCGAAGGCAACAAGAGCCAACTCAGTCCTACCTCCAGAAGAAGGCGCTGCGAGAAGATTTTCTTCCAATGTCCATAATTTCCAAATGCAACTTCTATGAGCTTCTCCACGAGCTGGCTCAGAACGGCGACAAGCATATACGCGCTTCTGTCCGCAAATTGCTCCTCCTTTTGCCGACGCAGCCATCATTGCTCTCCCAAATCACTCTCGTACGTACTTTTCAAATAGACATTCTGATCATGTAGAAATTGTAGGGTGAGATGCAAGACGATGAAGACGATCCGTTGTCAGGCAGAATAATGCGGATGTACAGGGAATACATGACGCCTCAGGAGCCAGGCCGAATGCTTTACGCTCTCGAGACTCTCAGTTCTTTGGTGGCCCCCACCAGACTTACATCTCAAGCTTGCGAAGAATCAGGTGAAGTGACTGCGGCTGTTTTGGAGTCCGGAATTGTGAAGGTTCTTGTCGATGAAGTACTCAACAAACCACACGTGGTTCCGTTGAACAAGTGTTCTCCCGGCGATCGTCACGCCATTTTTGAAAGAGTTCTTCAAATAATCAGAACTGTGTTCACTGGCCACAATACTTTCCTCAAAATGATATACAACGAGAGCAGGGTCCGTGATGAGATGAAGAAGACGTGCGAGAGAATGCAGCAGAGTCGACAGACCCCTCGTTCGATGGAACAGAACATGGATTACGCGCTCATCAAACAGCAAATCCTGCCGCCGCCATTGCTCGACAACGATAACAACCCGACATACTCAACGAGCATTCCTATTTGTGGATTCAGAAAGTAAGTGCTCATATCGTTCTTCTTGATACTACATAAATTTGAAGTATTTGCAGTACATTCATGAAGATTGTCAACGTCTCTCTGAAAAAATGGACTCTGGGAGAGTTGGTCCCATTCCTCGAGAATATTCGAAACTTCCAGTGGGTTCACGTGGCAACTGAGAACCTTGTTGCTAAACCGATGGCGGCTTTTTTGAAGCCTGACCAGGATCCGGATCCACTGAGACCGACTGCTAGCGAGATAATTCGCATCAATGCGAAGGGAGAGAGATGTATGTGCTTTTTTCACTAATTCTTTGAACGAAACCAATTTGATTTAGGGGGAGACGAATGCCGACTGATCATCGTAAAGAAATGCTTCGCGCTCACCCGGCACATGGTTCAGGTGTGGATCAGAAGTCATCCGGACGAGTCTCTGCATCTTCTGACTACGCTGTTCCTCAAGCCGAGCTGGACCCAATTCTATCAGGATGTTCTTGTCAACTCTCAACAAGAAGCGTACCGGAAATACGTCCAAGAGAGCATTGTGAAAATTGGAAAGGAGAATTTCGAAGTGTCATCGGTCTCGTTGAAAATGCTGCTCGAAATGTTTAGAGATCTCCCGTTGCACACAGGTTACACTGATGAACTGTCTGAACTTCACCGAAGACAAAGACAGCATTGCGACGGAATCGTTCAAACGATCAGCGAAGTGTTCTTCTACGAAAGTTCTCATAGGGGATCAGATGGAAAGGACTTTGATTGGATTCAAATTGGTCAATTCCCGATACAGATCGTCCGTGGACAAATCAGCAGTCTTCTCGACTTTAAGCCCCGCTTTAGTACGATAAACGCCGACCTGGCACATACGGAGAGTGTGTACGCAGCAGCGAAAATGCGGATGATCAACTGCCTGCTTCCTTACTGTTCTCAGGGGACATCGAAGCAAATGCCAACGAGTTCCTCGACGCGATCATCAATGATTTCATGTTTCCCGAACTGCCAGACATTGAAGACAGTATGTTCGAAGAGGAGTCCATCAGATGGGAGAACAACGCAAGAGAAGTGGCCATGACGACAGTGAACTCGTTCTGTGAACGTAGTTATAAGTGCATGTATCAGCTGCTACTCATGTGGAATAAGTTCCCGATTGCTCAACGCCCATATGATCCGTCTTACCGTCCGATCATACGTGGAAGGCAACACGACAAAGTTGGATTGAAAAACGATGGAGGAACTTGCTACATGAATGCGACAATTCAGCAGTTGGTGCATGTGCCAGGGCTCGCCAGGGAACTGATTGCCATCAAAGACATCGATCCGACCCTCAGCTGGGGAGACAATACTTCGTGAGTTATCGGTAACCTATTTGCACTCATCATCGCCTCGTTTCAGTGCTCTCCTCTGCGAACTTCAACGCGTCTTCGTCCAGCTCAATTTCTCCCGTTGTCAGGCAATTATTCCATCTGGTCTATGGAGAGAGTTCCGTTTCGAACCAGATATGCCGTTGAACACCAAACAACACCACGACGCCATTGACTTCTACAGTATCCTGCTCGACAAGTGCGACAATGTGCTCAAAAAACTTGAACTGCCGCCGCTGTTCCAAAACAGATTCTTCGGAAAATACAGCTACGAGAAGATCTGTTACGGTTGCTGGCACCGCTACAAGAGTCCAGACGAGGAATTCAATTGCGTTTCGTTGGCGTTGAGCGGAGACAATCTGGAAGAAGCACTGGAGAATTTCTTGGCCGCACACGTGATGGAAGGAGAAAATGCGTACCATTGTGAGAAGTGCAATGAGAAAAAGACGACATTGAACAGAAGTTCATTCCTGGAGTTGCCGAGTACGATGACTATTCAGTTGAAGAGATTCACTTACGACCTGGTGAACAACATGATCCGGAAGGACAATCAGTTTTTCAAATTCCCTTTCGAAATCGACATGACTCCATACATGACCACGTCGAGACACGTGCCAGACGAACAAGTGCAGGATTTGTTCGACGAGATGCTCTGGGGCAATACGGCAGCGAATGATGAACCTGCCACTCCGCCTCACAAGAATGGAACAACCGAGAAGTCACTTGGGCAATGCTCTGCCAGCAACCCGTCCCTCGAGTCTCCACAAAAGAAACTGTTCCGTCGTCATCGATCTTCCAACATCCGTCTCTCACAATCTTTCGTCAACTCATCTGGTTTCGATACTCCCACTCAACAGCAGAAGCCGCTAATCTACGAGCTCGTCGGAGTTCTTGCTCATTCTGGAATAGCCACCGCCGGACATTACTATTCGTTCATCAAGGAACGTCGTGAGGAGTACAGAGACTCGCCGACATATGGAAAATGGTACCACGTTAACGACCAGATTATCAATCCGATGCCCCTGAACACAATCGATGATATCTGGTTCGGAGGCACATTCACTCAGGATGGAGGTAATTTCAAATAGTTTCTGTACGTTACTCTGATCCTTATTTTAGTTTTCATCGGTCTTGATGAGCGTATACGTCATTGGAACGCATATGTGCTTTTCTATGAGAAGAAGCGCGACGAGCCAGACATGCTCATTCCACGTCACATCATCGATCGTTCCGAGGAGTCAAGACCGAAAGTTACGTTCGATGTGTAAGTTGATTACTGCATCGTTAGACTTCTTATATCTATTTTTCCAGAAGTGACGAACAGATGGACGACGGAGAAGACAGAATGAAAGAGGCACAAGAAGCTCTGAGAAAGGATATGAGCGAAGCGAGAAAGCTGCGTATCACCATGTTCAAATCACTCGACACCAACCTGAAAAAGTTCCTGAACGAGGAGCACTGCAAGTTCCTGGAGGATCGAGATTTCTTCTCTTTCGATCTCTATCAGATTTACATCAATTCATTGCAACCGCTGCTGAGAAGAGAGGAAACAGTCGAGTACACTGTAGGCGAACTCACAAAGTTGGACTTCAACAAAATGGCGTTCGAATACGTCGCATCTTATGTGATCAGAATCGCATGGCTCATGTTCGATGATGCCCGCCCCAAGAACTTCCCACGGTCCGCCACCGAAGTTATCAAGATCCTTCTCAACGCTCATCCGGAGAACAAAACGTTCTTCTTCAAAGCACTCGAAGCCAACAACTCTGAAATGCTGACGAGAATGCTCGAGAGTACCGAATATGATGTTCGAAACGCGTTCTGGGTGAGCATGAAATGCGCTCTCCGCCTGTGGGTTATCGAGAACGGACGTAAAGATGAGCATATTATGGAGCCGAGTCCTGATTCGACAGATATTGACGATGACGACGAAGAGGACGATGACGACGATGAAGATGATGAGCTGGAGGATGAGGATTCTGAGACGGAAGAGATCATGCGTGATGAAATCATGCGCCCGAATCCAATGGCTCTCGTCGCTAACCTGATCAATCAGGCACGCCCGCCACCACAGAAGTCTGGAAATCCGGTCGATCTATCGAAAAACGCACGCCCGCAACGCGTGTGTACGAATCCGGTCGAAAGGATGCTCGCAGCCTTCCCTTATCAACTGAACATCGTGCGAAGAATTGTGCAAATTCTCCCGTAAGTTTACTGAAGAAGAACATCTTTTTCATCCCCTTTATGGATGTCATTTCAGATTCCGGTCACATCGGATGGATAGCAACGGGCGGCACTACTCTCGCCACCCGATTGAAATTTTGTACATGATTTCCAAGCAGAACGAGTTTGGAAAGACCGTGCTCTGTCTGATACATTCTCTTCCGATTGTCGCTGATTTCCTCTTCGAAGAGTACTCGACGGTAAGCAGATCACATCGCAGATTTAACGAACCCAATCGAAAGGTTTCTCTTTTTTCTACGCATTGTGGACAGAGTATTCCATACCACTGTTCACGGTGTTCCTTTCCCCCACTTTCGTTTACCAGCCCAGTTCAGATATTCTGTCGCCTTCGTTTCCCGGAAGATCGTCTAAAGGGACTTGGATTGTGGCCATCTTTGCCGGGGCTTTACTTCGAGTTGCTCTTGGACCATCTGAATCGCAATTCGGTTGGCAATACAGATCCGCAGATGCAGTTCCGTCATGCGATGTAATTACTGAATTATTTTTCTGTAATCCAGTTGCTGTTTTCAGAATGACTCCTTCGGGAAGGTTCTGCAACGAGGTGGTATCGCTGTATTGCGTTTCTCGCGACGAATGCGAGATGCATGACAGAAGAACGATAAACGACGAGAAGGCGATACATAATCGGATTCTCACGTGCTACGTCCGTCAGATTGAAATTCTTATCAGAACTGAAATTCCTGATGCCCCTTCTGAGTACCTCTTCAACATAAGTCAAACTGTTCTCAAGGTAATTTCGCTGGAATCGAATAATCTCATGGAAATTTATTAACAGGAAAACTTCATGGACGCGGCCTACAATCTGATCCCTATGGATCAATGGCGTCATGTGATTGAGTTCTTCACTGAAGTTTGTTTGTAATCTGACTACATTACCGTAAGGCTGTCTTTTCAGCTCAGTCTTAAACTGCTCCGCTGCAACATGGCCGAACTGGGTGTTCAGTTCTTAAAAGATGTTCTCTGGGTGGGAGTCGCTGAAGACGACGACGCTGTTCATCATGGTGTTCTGCCGATCATGATCAAATGGAAGGATCACGACTACATGAAGTTCCGCAAACTTGGCGACGCTCTTCTTCACGTCAGAAGAATGAAGCATCCTGAGTAAGAAAAATTGGAACAGCTTCAAGGAGAGTATTCAAATGTCGTATTTCCAGATTCCGCAGTTTTCTGTCAAGATCTGTTCGGCGGTTCCACACTGTGTTCTCAAGTCTTGGCTGGACAGATGATGATGACGAAAACGACATGAGTGACGAGCCAATGGAAGAGGAAGAAGAGGATCTTCTGATCGGGCCACAGCAGTTGAGAAGAGCTGAAAACTCTGTCGACTTGACCAAGTAAGTTGTTAGCCGAAACGAAGTTTGCATATTTCAATTTTCCAGAGCTGCTTCTGATGTGGTCGCGACAGCAAGAGTCACTGAAACAAAAGAGATAAATCTGGAGCAGGATCTGAGAATGGATCATTCAGATGCAGAAGAGCCACCAACACTGACTGAACAGCCACGAGTTATGACACCGTCGGCTGATTTAGATGAGGTGCCGCATCTGATTCCGTTGGACGAACAGTCGAAGGAAAACGAGTGAAGCGATCTCTGAGCACCAAAGTGTCGAACCGCATTCCTCCAGTTTCTCTAGAATTCATTCCTTTTCTCCGACATGTTTCCGATCTCGTAGTTGCATTTAAGCACTATTTTTGGTTGTTTTTCCATCTCCTTTATCCTTTCCTATGCTTATTTTCACTATTATATCGGATGAAATGACATATATTGTAAATATCACATATCAGGATATTGCCCCTGTTCCCTTGTAACATGTCCATTTCGTCCACTTTCATCCATCCTCCTGTTTTTGTTTTCGTTTCTGTTTTCCAGCCGCAATCTAGCCGCGCTTGGCGTGTTTCTTCCCACTGAGTTGTTGCCACGTCATCGGAGTGTTTGCACTGTCCGGCGTCGGTGTCGTCTGCTGCTCTCCTCCTCTACCCCTCTCCCAATCTATTCTTCGTTTCCCTTATCGGTGTGATTTGCTGTAGAGCCTATGTGAGAGTCCCTTCCAGTAATCAGCCCGTCCTGTTCGCTGGACCCCTAGCACAAAGAGTAGTCCCCGCACCGATAACCTCCACACAAGCCATATACGCTGTTACGGTCGGCTGAGCCCTACCATCCATCCATTAACCTGCAATCATGTCTAAAATGTTCCTTTTCTGTACGTTTAATTATTTATTTTCATTCTTAACCGCGGTCTAGCTGCTCGCACTCTCCATGATTTCTTCTTGCTCTAATTATTTATACACTAAAAATATATATTTATTGTGCAGCGAAATACATCACTCCGTTTCTGCTTTATTTCATCCACTCTTTCCCTCTCTGTTTTTCTATCTCTTCGTCCCTTGTCCTTTTCCCCATCCCCGGAATTAGAAAACCGTGTTATTAAATCTGAGCGCAAAGAGTTCCAATTGTCTCTTGCTCCCACTAAACTACACATCATTTGCTGTTCAAATGAATTACGCACCCAATATATTCGTTAATGTGTAACTCAAAATTCTGGTGGAGGAACTACTTCGGTTAACGCACCGCTGCCTATTTATATGAAAACTGATGACGTTGCTTATACGATTGATAAGCCGGCGTCATGTCTTTTGCAGCCAGTTTAAAACTTGTTCGTGTTCCAGATGATAGATGTAGGGTGGATCTGTGTGGGGGCGGTGCGCGCGGTCTACTGGCTCGTTATGCTCGTCTGCAATTTCCTCGGATACTCGCCGCTCTGGGCTCAGATCGCCATGAAAAAGAGGAAAATGGACAACGTCCGCATCAGAATACCCACTCATTTGGCAGTCTGTTTCACCGAAAAACGGCTGATTGAGCTGGTCAGAGAACGGAAGAAAACGGGAAGGAATTTGTGGATTTCAGAGTGAAATACTGCAGTTGATTGATAGCTGTGTGTCTACCGGAATCCGGCAGCTGTCACTTTATGATCCGTTCGGAGGACTGGTCGAACAGATCGGAGAACTCGAACAGGCCTGCCGCATCTTCACGGTCAGTCATAATCAGCCCATCCCGCTTATTTCTTTTCATTTTCAGCACGCGGACCTTTATTGCGACGGTCGTCTCGTGAATTCCAGTGATCTGTCGAACATCCAAGTGCACGTTCTATCAAGAAAAATGGGAAAGGCCGCACTCGTGGAAGCATGCAAGACGGTCAGTTGCAGACAAATGGATCATGATGAGAATGAAGTTGTTTCAGTTGTGTCGGGAAGACGAACAGATCACAGTGGAGCGAGTTTCAAAAGCACTGGAAGAGAAGTTTAAACTGAGCGATCCGGACTTCCTGCTGCAGATTGGAAACGTGCCCACACTCTGCGGATATCCCCCGTGGAACCTGCGAATCACGGAATTCCTGCAGTCGCATCGGCTTCCATGCTCGAGGAGAGAGCTCGATTACTGCGTGGAAGCATTCAGCCAACGGGATATTCGAGTCGGAAAATGACCTTCTATTCTATTCCATTTTCGACCTTGCCCATTCATAATCTGTTAAATTCGTCTCTGAGATACGATCGATCCCTCCGAACTAGCTTGTTTTTCTTTTCCATTCACTTGTTTCTCCTGTCTTCTCCTTTTGCGGTCGTCAAATGTTCGCTTTAATTTCCTAGTTAAAATTATCCTTCTGTGATATCGAATAATCGAAATGATTTGTGATTAGTTGAGTAAAATTCGGTTGTTGAATACAATTCAATCTAATAAATTGGTACTTTTTTCATAGGAAACCAATTTTTTGTCTTCTTTACAAAGAGTATCTTCTTCTATGTTACTTCGAAATTGCTGATAAGTTTTTCATGATGGATGCATTTTCCAGTGTGAAATATCACATCGAGGGCACTAACTGGAATATGCAGCATTGGGGAGTGCATTGTTTGCGATCTCCTTTTTCGAAGTCTCGAATTTCCGTTTTCGCCGCGAAGCTCACCTGTTTCTCTGTTTCTGTCGCAACTCTCAAATGACCACACTGTCTTATCACTCGACTAATTTCCTCTCGTCCAAATATTGATCCCGTCGCTCCTCTTCCCCTTTCTATTTGCTGTTTCTTTCCCTCGACTCCCTTCTCCCATTCCGATTTTGGTCCTTCCTCCTATCACTTCGGTCCTATCCATTTCAGCTTCCCCGCTCAGATCATGATGACAATTGAGCGGATTCGTCATGGCACAGCAGGAAAATGCTGACAAATATTGTGAGGCGTGAGCGAGAGACGCAGACACTCATGCACAACATAAATTGGCTCTCTGGCGCAGCAAAAATAGTTGCCATGGAAAGAACGCTGGGAAACCGCGATTTGTCAGCATTTTTTTCGACATATCCATCCAAGAGCAAGGATTCACAGATTTAGTCTCACTCTCAGTTGACCCTCAGAAGCTGTTGTGTGCCACCAGGGCCACCAGGGATGCAAAACAGGCGATTTTAGGCGCCTGTTCTGCATCCCTATTGGCCACTGTTATACTGTATAGAAGATCCTATTAGTCTGTCCTCAGTGCGTGTTTCTCAAAAAGTAAATTTATTCCTGATTATAACAGCTATTACAGCTCATTTACCTTTATGGTAGCAATTTCGTGCTTTAATTTTTTACTTCGGCAATTACTCAAAAATTATTCCCATCTTCTTTCCTGATTTCTTTTGTCCTTCTTTTCAATGTGCCAACTCCCTTCTTGCTTTATATATATATCATTCCGTTTCCACGTCATAGAAGTTCTATACCAAAGCACGATCTTGCAGCTGCCTCCAAAGTCACAGTCTTTTTCTTTTTGTCGCTGTCAGGCTTTGATTTCTGATCAACAAACAAACATTTATCATCATTTCCCTCCCTTTATAACCCTCATATTAACTCCCTCAATCTGCCCTAGAAAATAATAAATCCGCTTCTCAATTTCCGTCGCATTCCTTCATTTTTTTCTCGTTCACCTTTGCCCATCAACTATAAATCAACGAATCAAACTGACGCAACTTTCCTTTCTCGCCGTCGTCATCTCGCATTTCTTCTTTTTTCTTGCAGAATGGGTCTTCTGACGAAAGGTAGTCCGTTGACGTGGAAGGAAACCGTTCCTTACATCGACTACATCAAGGTATCATCATTCCCTGTCTCCCTGCCGACTGATTCGTTCGTTTACAGAAGCACGGAATCGCCCAGTTCATTAACTTGTATCACCGTCTCAAGACAAGACATGGTGACCAACTGAAGTGGGGAGATGAGATCGAGTACACGATTATCAAGTTCGACCACGAGAATAAGAAAGTGCGTGTTTCGTGCCGAGCCGAAGAGCTGCTCAGTCGTTTGCAAGCCGAAGAGCAAGTAAATGCGATGCTCGGAACGGCGAACCGATTCCTCTGGAGACCCGAATTCGGAGCGTACATGATCGAGGGAACCCCGGGAATGCCGTATGGAGGTACGTGCGCAGCGGAAGAAAAAGGAGGCAGGGGCAATTGGTTTCACTCAGTTTATAGATATTTTATGTTAGGGGGCACTATAAAGCCGCGTGTAAATGGGACTGTTTCAGGTCTGATCGCGTGCTTCAACATCGTCGAAGCGAACATGAAACTGCGTAGAGAGGTCGTCAAAAAACTGTTGAAGAAGGTGGGAATGAAGGCGAAGAGATAAGGGATAGTAAACGGAAAGGTTGCAGGACGAGACGTGTCTCTCGATTTCGTTCCCTTCGCTCGGAGTACCCGGATTCACGTTTCCTGAAGTGACGGCCGACCGAACGAACGACGACGCGGCGAACAGCATCTTCTGGCCGGAGCAGGCGGTCTTCCTCGGGCATCCTCGTTTCAAAAATCTGACGAAGAATATAAAGGGGAGAAGAGGAAGCAAGGTGGCAATCAACGTTCCGATATTCAAAGACACGAACACTCCGAATCCGTATGTAGAGGATCTGTCGGCTCTCGGAGGCCCTGACGATATTCGCGATGCGAAGCCCGATCATATTTACATGGATCACATGGGATTCGGAATGGGCTGCTGCTGCCTCCAAGTCACCTTCCAGGCCGTCAACGTCGACGAAGCCAGGTGGCTCTACGATCAGCTCACTCCAATCACTCCGATCCTTCTGGCCCTTTCTGCGGCCACACCGATCTTCCGCGGAAAGCTCTCGAACGTGGATTCCAGATGGGACATCATCAGTGCGAGTGTCGACGATCGGACTCCAGAGGAGCGGGGTCTGGAGCCACTCAAAAATTCGAAATGGGTCATTGACAAAAGTGTGAGCAAATCCACTTCTATGAATCACAATCTATTCATTCAATTTCAGCGCTACGACTCGACTGACTGCTACATTTACCCGTGCTCCGTCGGCTACAACGACATTCCGTTGCAGTACGACGAGTCGATCTACCAGCAGTTGATCGAGGGAAACATCGATGAGCCACTGGCAAAGCACATTGCGCACATGTTCATCAGAGATCCGCATCAAGTGTTCCGCGAGCGCATTGAGCAGGACGACGAGAAGAGCAACGAGCACTTCGAAACGATTCAGTCGTCCAACTGGATGAACATGCGCTTCAAGCCGCCACCACCAGACGCTCCGGAAATCGGATGGAGAGTAGAATTCCGACCGACAGAGGTTCAATTGACGGACTTTGAAAATGCCGCCTACTGCTGCTTCGTCGTGCTGCTCACCAGAATGATCATATCGTTCCGATTGACCTACCTGATGCCCATTTCCATGGTCACTGAGAACATGAAGAGGGCCCAGCAAAAAGACGCGGTGCTTACTCAGAAATTCCTGTTCAGAAAGGGGTTGGCCGAGTGCAAGTCTGCTCCGGAAAACCTTAAAGGATCCGAGAAGTGCGGACCTCCAAGCAAAGACATCGAGGAGATGTCTGTGGACGAAATCATAAACGGAAAGAAGAACGGATTCCCGGGACTCATCTCACTCATTCGCCAGTTTCTCGATTCGGCTGATGTCGACGTTGACACCCGTTGTACCATCTCGCAGTATCTCAATTTTATTTCGGTGGGATCATTAATCGAATCAATCGCATAATATTGTTGTATTTCAGAAGCGTGCAACTGGAGAAATCAGCACTCTGGCTCACTGGACTCGCGGATTCGTTCAGAGCCATCCGGCTTACAAGCACGACAGTGATGTCAACGACACGATTGTTTACGATCTAATGAAGAAGGTATCAAACTGTGCTCAGGCAGGCAGATGCTAACCTTCCCATTCAGATGGATGCGATTTCGAGCGGAGAAGATCACTGCGACAAGCTGCTCGGCTGCTACCGTTCGAAGACCGACCACGCCATTTCTGCAGCCGTCCGGAAGGCCGAAGAGCACATGTTCGTGTCGAGTCAGAAGAGAGCCCACTAGACAAACGTTCTGTTTTCCTGTGATTCTAACTTATTTTCTTATACTTGTGATCCCGTGTTTTTTCCCCAATTAGGCCCATGATTCAAAACTCAACATGCCATATATACCGATTGTGTCCTACTCTCATTTATATTCGACTTCCTGTGTTGTGACTTCTCAACTAAGTAAATGAATAGCATTTCGAGTTGTGCGAAGGAATGACGTCTCCTTTCTCCGATTCGGGGGAATGGGAATGCTTCTGCCTAATCAGCCACCGCCACGCGGACGATTAGTAGCCATTAGCGTGTTTTTGTCAGTCCTTCCTCCAGATGAATCACTCATTTTCCTACCATATTTGCATTTTTGTAGTCACCGCGAGAGACGAGGTTCGTGCGACAAGCATTACGATTACTGAAAACTAGAGACGGACGGCGTCAAGAACAAAAGAAATTAAAGCGGAGGTCACACTTATTGCGCGACAAGGCTTTTATTAGGGCATGCGAGGAGGGAAGAAGCCTCATTCATCGCTCACGGACAACAACTTTCTCTGTGTTTTCTGACGCAATCCAACGGCGTTCGTCTCATCTCAAATTAGTCATTTATCGAATCGTATCACGAGCCCGTTCTCACTTCTCACTAATGTGAACGGGCTAATGAGTCATGGTAGTTCGAAACGTTTTGTTTGCTTCACTCATTGTTCACACACATTTCCAGTCTGTTTTTCGCTTTTTGTTTCTATATGAACACTTTGGCGAATAAATTTGGCCAATTTTCCTTCCCACGCTCACGAGAAATCAGTGAGCAATGTCTGGAAATGGATCGGTTTAGTGGCTCAATCGCTCTCCGAATCCCTTTTTTTCCAATTTATTTCTACGCTTACTCATTTCCATTTCCATTTCCACCTCTCAGATATCGGATCGCTCTCCGTACACCCGAAACCAATTAGCCCTCGACTCTTGTGCCGTCTCCATCCGATTCTTTCCTTCATCCGCGACATTCACCCATTTTTTCGGGGCTTCCGACGTTTTCTTTCCGCTCTTTTTTCGCACGTGATTTATCTGCGTCGCGGCCGTCATCGTCGCCGTCGTCCTCGGCGCAGTCGGCGTCGCGTCGCGCATCCTTCATGCAAAAAGAAGGAGGCGGAGGCGGTATCAGCAGCGGCCAACGAAACCGCATCCACTGCAATCGTTGATTTGACCATCAAAGGTTCGAATTTGCGAAGAAGGGGGAACACCGGAAGTGATCGGGGGGAAGATGAATGGACGGATGGCCGTGATGCGGAGAGGCAAGATTGATAGGACAGCTGAGGATGGGCGAAAGAGAGAAGGAAGCGGATATGATATGAACTTTTGGAAAGTCTTGCAGAAGCGGGTTCCGAAAGTTCACCGTTCTTCATTGGGCTTCGGATCCTGTTCTTGCGCGGCTCTTCCTTTCGTTCGTTATCCTAACAGCCTTCAAAGATAGCCTCAACCCGGCGACCTTGATAAGCACTTCGCAGGGCGGGATCAAGTTGGAAGTGTCCTCGGCTGCGTGTCTCTTCTCATAAAACTTGGCGCCAGTCGGACGGCCAGAGGACAAAGACTACCATCCGGGTGACGGATGGGATCGCCGCGGATATCAAATACAAACAAATTGTGAACCGTATCCCCAACCTCTTCCTCTCTTCCTATCTCTCCGTTTTACGACTTCTCTCCGCCCACTTTCATCGTTTTATCAACTGTCTCACCTTCTGAGGATTTTGAAAGTTCTCACTTCTTTCTTCTTTTCAAATCACGCATGCTTCTCGTGTCCTGTCGTCCTCCTGTTAACATACAATAACTCTAAAAGCAGTAATTTCTTTTGTGAAATTACGCACTAAATAGACTGTTTCCTCTGTCTTCCTTTTCTGTTTCTATCATTGTTAATGGCAATGTTCACAAAGTACAACATTGGTCCAAAAAGCAAAAAAGGGTATTCGGGTGCTGATCCAATTATCCGGCTGCCATCAATCGACCGATTCTTTCCGACTCGTCGCGCCCCGTGCACTTTCCTTTCGAGGCTCCGCCCCATTCCGGAGGTGATTTCGGTGCCCGGCTGTCTTGCTGGTTGGCCCTTGATAGGCTGCTAATCGAATCAGTATCGAAACGAATCCGTTCGAGAAGACACCATTGATTAACATTGAAACCCTTCGCGATCCGCCCTGTTCCCTCAAGGTTTCGACCGAATCAATGTTCCTCAACAAGCCGATTCCTTCTCAGTTCTCTTCTTCTCTCTTCTCATTTCTTCAATATCTCTGTCGAGAATCTGGAACCCTTTTCCATCTCTCTGAACCTTCTCCTTCTTCTTCTTTTTCTTTCATTCATCTCCATCCATTCGCGTTCTTTCTGCCAATCTATCATCATCGCCCCACACTGACTGCTGATTACGATCGAATTTCCGACGGATGGGGATGGACAAAACGACAAAGAAGTCGCCCTCCAGTTTGCGGTTTCCAAACCTTTTCCTATTCAAAAAGTGTTTTATGGACTGGGTGTTACCTTTGAAACAGAAAGAGTGAGAGAGAGAGAGAGAGAGAGATCTGAAGACTTCTTGTCACTTGTTTACCGGATACGACTAGTGAAAGTTTTGAACGTTTTGTATGATGGTTGTGATCGAATGGCAGCAGATCAGCTGCCTTTTATAGTCTGTTGTAAGGCTCTAAGCCCGATCAGATCGCGGCTGGAACCTGAACTCTTCTTCTTTCTCTTTTGTAAACGTCGCCGTTCTGCCCATCAATACCGTGTCACTGCTTCATCTCGTAAACTTGTCTCTCTCACGCTCCCCTCTGAAAGTGTCCCTTTCCGAGTGATCTATGTAGTCGAGAGCGCTCTCTTTTCTGCTGTTGCTGCTGCTGCTGCTGACCCATACCGGTTTACTCCGGCGGAGGGGCTGCCCGCCCCCCCGGGCTTCCGTCCGTCCGGCCATGGCTACCAGTCTTTTCGGGCCGTCGTCCCGGGCTTCGGCCGCCCGCCACTGTCCAGCTCCTCCCCCTTTCACCTTCTTATCATATTGGTCATGACAAGTGGAAAAGCGGGGGACAAGACAAAAGACAATTGAACAATTACAATTACATGGTATGTACATCCTCTACCCGTACATCTTCTGTCCCTGCTTCTTCTTCTTCTTCTTCTCGTCGTCATTACATCAGAAGCAGAAGCTGTCGCCGGCGACTTGTGTAAATCAATCAGCAGGCGAATCGTGTCTTTCTTGTACTATATCGAACCGCCCCCCTCCTTTTCCTCTCCACTATCATCGTTATCTCCTTGTCGCTTTTCATCGATTGATCCCCTCCCCAATCCGTGTCTTATTTCAGAACATGGAACACACACGGCTCCTGCTCTCATTACTCGTCGTGCTCGTGGCAGTTCTCACGAGCACCGATTCGGCGCCTGCCTTCTGCCGAGCATGCAATCGCAACTGCTTCATGCCAGCCAACGGAACAGAAGAAACCAACAGGTGAGCTCCTGCTTCTCCCTTGAATTGCTCCCTGTACTGAGAGTCGCCGCTCCATTCTAGTCTCCCGATCTTTCGACTTATTATCGAACGTTCTCTGTTCCCCCGCGCACTGATTCGTTCGTCGCCACGCAACGGCCGATGCGTCCGCCGGAAACCGCCGGCCGGTCCCGCGGGGCAAACCGTTTGATAAAGCGGTTTTGCAGAAAAGTGACCTTTACCGAAACAGGCTTCGCATCCGGTTTCTCGAGATTATACATGTAAACTAGAGAGTTCTGCGTGTCGCGCAGCAGATAATCACTCTTTTTTGCGTTTGGGATTATATTGCGCCGCGTTTTTCGTTGTCTTCCTTCATTCACGATCGCAGGAAATGATGCGGCTTGATAAAGACGGACGGATGGTTCAAGGACTGGAAGTAGGTTGATGAGAGGGTGAATGGACACGTGGCAGCTGGAAACTGACGTATGCGGAAAACGGTGTACCTGATCTGTTTGTTGAAGAGACAGAAGATGTCAACAACAGAGCCATCAACTCCTTCTCCCTCTCCGTTCTTTCTTCTTCGTTCTCTGAATTCACGTGACTCTCGGCTGCAAGCATTCTGTCACGTTTTCCTATGCGTTTGACCGAGACGTGAAAAAAGAAACGAAACGTTTTGATGACAGGACGCTGATTTACGAGCGAAGCGCCCGGACGAGAAACCGTGAGAAGAGAGAGACCGTTCTTTCGCTTATCAAAACTTTTGAAAACGATATCTTCCCTGGCTGGCTTTTGGCCGATTTTGAATGATTGAAATGATTGACACAAGTGATGTATATATCGTTTTTGTTTTCCAGCACAACAATTGACGTGGACCTCGTTCGCGAATTGGAGGAAAACGGTCTTGAAACGTCTTCGGAAGGCGAGACGAGGAGGACGAAGAGAGATGTGGAGTTCAGGGCGTGCTCCCGATTCCAGATCGAAATGCTGCTCATTCCACTCGCGATAGCCATGATCCACTGGTTCTCTGTGCCCTCTTCTTGTGCACTTGCTGCTGCGGACCGAAGGAATCCCGGGGCAAACTGCCGGCAGAGTTCCTCGCCGCACTGCCAATGTCCAAGAAACGGATGCCGTCGGAAGAAATCGAGCTGGAATGGGGAGATGGATACGTGGCACGGAAAGACTCGAGCAGGACGAAGTTCTCGACGACAGTCTCTTATATCGAGGCCAGAAGGGAGAGTATCTGGTCGCATACGAGTGTGGCGAGTGATACGGTAAGAGAGTAAACAATTGAGACACGCTGATAAACGTATTCGTTGCAGGCAGCAGAAACAGTGAAACAAGAAGCGGCAAAGTCAGAAGCCAAGCTAGCGGCTTCTGTGCCCAAACTGACAAAAGCCAAGTCTTGCGATTCCATCAAGAAGACGCGCTTTTCCGACACAGTGTCCGTGATTTCTCTGGACTCGAGTAGTCGTCGATGAGCCCCCGAGCGGATTTCTTTCTAGGCTAATTTAGACCCTTATTTTTTTGTTATTTCGTGTCCCCACACTGCCACGTCACAATCTAGTCATCCAGCTGCTGCCACGTCTGGGTACGTCGTCGTCATCGAAGTGAATCGTCGTCGGAGATGACGCCTCCTGCTCCCTCTCCTCCCTTTTTCAGTTATGATCTGAGTGCGGGTCGCGAATACTAGGAAATCTTGGATATTCTCCTCTCTTTCGGGGTGAAACACACCAAACTTCTCTGTGCTTTAACTTATCACCGATGCCTTTTATTGTGCCCACGAGTTCAATTTTGGGTTCAATCCACCCATCCGAATCTGTAAATATTTGAAATTGAATAAACTAATTTCCGATTTCTCGCTCTCCTGTCAAAATGTTTTGCCCCGCAAGAAAAGGGCGTTCACGCGTCCGGAAAGAGGACCCCTAATTGCCGTTCTGTCCTTGGATCGGCACGGAGCACTTTCGGCTCTCAATGCATACCGCCGCATTATAACAGTGTTCCCCTCCCCCACCGTCAAGTGTGTACGTGCCCACACAATAATTTGGCGGTCACCACAGGTCAGTCCCTCTCTCATTACCCTCCGAACCCTCGGTTTCCGCCCTTCCCGCACTTTATCTCTCTCAGATGTTATCAGAATGGCAAGCCCGAGTGATAAAGAGTAATTGGTCATTAGCAAAGGTGTGCCACTTTCGTGTGGATCGAGATTACATCACCAATTCATTATTCGAATACGCCTTCAGGTGGAAAATGTATCATTTCGAATCGGATGATCTAGGAAATAGGAAAGTCCATTTAGTGTCGCATACTGTAGACATGAGGATGCGATCTCAAGGCTTCTCTTGATTTCCAACCTTCTCTGCCTACTCCCTCCTCCTCCGCCTTCTCCCTTTTCTCTTTTCCGCAACTGCTCGTGCGCGAAACCCGACACCTCGCTCAATCTTGGCCAATTAGCCGCGAATCGAGTGACTTGCGATCACTTCGGATAGTGTTTTTCTCTCCTCCGGCTACCAGCGTGTTTGTCTTCTCCAGCCTCGCCTCGTCCGTCCGCCTTACAATGGATTGACTCCAAAAAAAGAGTGAGTCTTCCTCCGGGACGCTGCTCGCGGAGCACTGCTTTACGGTGTGCAAAAGCCAAACATTGCGAGGCGGACAATACGCATCGCAGGGCCAGCCAGCCGGCCGGCCGGCCACCACCTCCACCACCAACTACCCGTCCGTCCGTCCGTCCACTTCGGCTGTCTTATGTGTTTGTGTGATTGTGTCTCTAATCCCTCGCCCTCCTCGAAACTCTTCTTCTTTTCTCACAACTTTATTTCTTTAGCTCACCCGTCTCAATTAAACAGTTTTGATACAGTTCCTCCCCGGATCTCAAGTGCTCCGAAAAACTCGCGAGACTGCCACGTCAACACTGAAGTATCGAGGACACTCCATTGTGCGTGTGCTTCCATCCGAAATAGACAGTAATCCGATAATCCCAGTGTACGGATTTCAAGCCGAACCCTTAGTCGCTTTTGATTTTTTGGAATAAAGAGCAACCTAGATACGTCTCCTATCCCCCTTACTTCCGAATTCTTCCACAATACTATGATCGTACCGTTCCATTAGTCGGAATGTCCTGAACAAAGTTCCTGATCGGACGGCTTCCTCTTCTTTTGTGTTCAAGTGTCCGTCCGTCCGTCTCCAGAATGTCGCTTTTTCTTGAATTGCCATCGTCTGCCGCTTCGTCTGCTTTCTGGCCGTGTCCGGTTCATTCGCACATCATCCGTCGCAAATCACGCGTGTCGCCGTTTCCACTTGATGTCTTCCCACTCACCCCGATCCATTCAAATCAGCACCACTTTTGCCGGCTTCTTCTTCTTCTTATTCTTCTTCTTCTTCTTCTTCTCGATCCGTTATTTCCTTCTAAAACTCTCCGGGTCATCGGCTGTTTGTGCTCTCGGCGCTTTCCAAAATGATGAGGTCTCTCTCTCTGACATGACACACAAAACAGCTCGCCTCCCGATCATGTCACTTCAGAGCAACCGGTTCCGGCTGCCTGCCATTGTCCCTCGTTTTGAGAAACAAACTGTGCTCTTTTGGACACAATTGACTTTAATCCATCGTAAATAACAAACATAATGTTGCATTTTTCGATAAAATTTGGGACTTAGTAGGTCACCGTGTTGTGTTCGGTGCTTCCTTTGTCACTGTTCTCATAAAATGCCGTTTTCCCCAACATCTGGACACCATGGCCGCCGACTTTTCGAATCTTTGCAATCCGTTTCCCAAAACGAACACCTAACAATTAGGTCATTTTGGAAACAATGTTTTCGAATCCAGTCCATCCTCGTTTTCTCCTTTCTTTCTCTCCCTGATTAGGTTCTGACCCGTCTCGGCAACGCGTAATCCTTTTGTGAAGTCGCGCGCCTCCCGCGCATGTTGCCCCTGTTTGAACTTCGCCTAATCATTCTTCAATCAAGGTGCTCTTCCCTTATCCTCCGCCTTTCCGCCTCTTCCGCACTGTATGTGTATGTGTATGTCCTCCATGTTGTATATTTGAATGTGGAAGACGAAGAGAAAGAGTGTCTGAGAGGGAGAGATTCCGACACGGACGAGCACTTCTCACAAACACTTTACGAGCCGGCCACCCACCCGAAAGCCACACAAACGAACACCCGTAACTTCTTGTTTTACTCAATCATCTCCCTTTCCCTCTGCGTCTGTTCCCTTCCGTTCGTGGATCCTTTCCATCACGTTTCACCCCGACTTTGTCACGCTCTCACGCTCCGATTATCCCCGGCTTCTAGCTAAACCGTTTCTCGAACCGTTCATGATCCACTTTCCAATTCACTTCATGATTCACCTTCACTTACACTTGCTTCTTTCCTAAAATTCATTGTTCTTCAAATTGCCCATGCTCGAAAACCCGGAACGGCGTCCGGACAGACCTCTCAAAAAGAGCATCATCGGATCGGTCAGTCTCTGTTTACCCACGCACTTTTTTCTTATCGTCCGCTCTCTCTTTCTCGCCATCTTCTGTTTTTGATACGTTTCTCTCTCCAGCCTGCCGCTTTTCGTACTGTTTTTGATACTCCTTCCCTCCGTTTTTGTCCCCTTTTCCCTCCTCCGACTGTTTCAAATTACCTTGTGGCTTGCTGCCTGCCTGACTAATCGCTCTCCCGCTCCTTATTCTTTCCGACCTCTCCACGTATTCCAGCCACTCTCATTCCAACCTGTTTCCTTTCCAATCTATACCATTCACGGACGGTCTCACTCCAACACGTCCGTATCAATTACCGTACTCCATCTCTCTCTCTCCCAAACATAAACATTGTCGTCGTCTAAGCCTCGTGATCCATCGTCTGTTCCAAACGGTAATCCTCTTGGAGGTCTCCTTGAGAAAGAAATATAAACTATTCGTTCATTGTGTTTATGCGTTCGCCTCACCATTTCCTCTCCTTCCCCCATTATTATAAACAATCAGGGCGACCGCAAGATGCTCGTAAATCTCTTTTCGTTTTCTCGGGTCATCCTCTTCTTTCGGTGGGCCACTTCTTCTTCCTCTTTCCCAATTGTATTCATCCTGCTTTGATGTAACACATTACTGCCAAAGATGGAGAAGCGGTTCCCACCGTGGATCCTCCTCCCTCTCTTCCCAACCAACTTGTCACTCATCATTCCGCAACTTTCTGTCCTCCGACCTAATCGCTTTTCCACTCGCATATCCCTCTTCACCTCAATTTTCCCACCAACTAGTCACCTTGAGAAAATGTTAATTTGCGCTTCAGCGCATCGTCCCCACCAACGCCGTAACCTCGTTATAACTGTACAGGAGTAGGTCAACGGTCAGCTTCGGATTCAGATGAACTGACGCCTTCTGTGTTGGCGGTGTCTGCTCGGTGTTATTGTCACCTTGAAGTGGATGAATGGCAGCCCTCCTCTGCCGTCACTTGTGCGTCTTTTCGAAGCGAAAAAAGGCGATGGCGACAAGGAATACATGACTATATGGCGAGGAGGCATCTATGCGTCTCTCCGACGTCCTTGACTCTCGCCCCGCACCGTCTCCCGCCCGCCAGCAGACACCAATCCGTTTTTCCTTGAAACCGCAGTTTTGTGCGAGAAAGTTCTGTTCTGATTCACGAGATGAACTCTCGACTCATCTTCCAGAGATCAACCTTCTTCTTCTTCTCTTTCTTTCTCTCTCTTTCTCTCTTCCGTTCCTACTCTTCATTCATCCCATTGAATGTTTCCCAATTGATGATTCATTCCGCCCAGTTGTGCTGCCTTTCGGTTCCATTCTCCCTCATTCTCTCCGGCATCACCCTCTCTTTTTCTTCCAGTTCTTCTCTCCCGATCCAGCCTTTTCTCTCTTTGTTCCCATGCAGTAAAAGCCTCTTGACATCTGTCGATTCGCATCTACCTATTACCTGTTCTTTTCCTTCAAAACAAACCCCTCCAGAACGGTAGTTGAATGACCCTGCTAATTGAGAAAAGTTCGCAAGCGGGAGAGTGATAGAAGAGTGATTTGTCCACTCGTTTCGGCCAATCCGATCACTTTCGCTCTCCGTCGTTCACCTTTCTTGTCAATTTGACCTTCTTTCTTTCCGATCGCTTCGTCTTCTTCTCTTTCTTCAATTTTTCTTTCCTTTTCAGATCATGAAATGATACGCTGGAAGCACGCACTGCCCCCTCTCCTATGGCTCTTTCTCGTGCTCCACTCCACGACGGCTCAATCGGATTCGTTGACGACGTCGGCGGAGCAGCACGAGCTGTTGCCATCAAAAAGGATTCATTGTCTCCATGGTCGCAGATTCTCGTCTCTTTGCCGCGCCGACATCCGCTTTATCAGAGCTTCGCCGCCAAGATTCAGGATGTTTCTGAGAATATGTAAGTGAAGAAAGCCTTCTCATGATTACTCATTCGTTTTTTTCAGTGCTGACGAACTACGCGACTCTAACAAAACATTCGTTTCTTCGGACGACGCTCCGTACAGTATTCGGATACACGCACTACGACCCGGACATCGATACTCGTCAGTTTCTTTTGTCCGTACTCACTTTTTCCACCGTTTTATTCTCTAGAATCGCAATTCACGGTCAAAAAGACGGCTCGACGTCTCTGATAAAGGAGGAGTCGGTCGTGATGGATCCACGGGCTCCGGACTTCCGTTCCGTCGCATCTGACATCCAAGTGGCCGAGCACAACATTACAATGCGGACCATCAAAAACGACTCCTACCTCCAGGACTCATTCTCAATTGAATACCGACAAATCAACCCGGATAAAAAATTTCCAGTTCTCCAGATTCTGGATATTCCAGAGCAGAAAAACTTGGAATTCTATCTGGGAAACTTGAATTCGGGCTTTGATTACTCGGTTCGAGTGACTGCTCACAAAGACGGAATGAGCAGTCGTCCGTGGATTTCCACTCTTACCACAAGTAACCGGACTTGTTTGATTTCTGCGAAACTCGATTATTTTCAGAACCATCTGCCCTCAAAGCGATTCATATCAACCAGAACTCTGGCTCTTGCATTGAAGTGACGTGGCAATTCGATGAGTTCGGTGGCGCCGACTTCCTTGGCATTCAGTACGCACTTCAGTCGAACCTATCAAATACCACCAATGTGAGTCTCTTTTCTATGTTTGTCTAGTAGTGGGCAGTCCATTGTCTCCGCCTTCAAAATATTTGCGTTCTTCCCTTCCAGATGACTATTCCCTCGACCGAATCGTCCATTTCCATCTGCGACGGCATGCTCCAAGGAGAGGCTTACCAGATCATTGCGACTGTTCAGAAGGGAGGCCAGGTCTCCGCGCCCCTCGTCAAGAAGTTCCAGCTCCGTCCGCTGCCTCCGATTGACTTCAGGGTAAGTGGCAAATCTGAAGAAATTGTGGAGAGGAAAGTGTTTCAGGTACGTGCTGATCTCAAGAGAGGAAAGTACAAACTGCTCGCGGAGCTGCCAACGAGTTCCAAAATAGACAAATGTCGGATTACTGTAGCTGGAGATGAAGTAGAGAGGTCGATAAACGATGCTAGCATAGAGCAGACAAAATCGGGACACAGGATGTGAGAACATCTTCCAAGAGCTTTTTTTTATCGAACTTTGGTTTTCCAGATGCTGGTTCAACTTTGCCCTGTCACCAGGAGAACGCTTTGACTTCTCGATATCGTCGATGTCGAACGATTCGAGCAGTCAGAAACTTCAAAAGAGCATCGTGTTGGCCCCAGCCTTTGATTTCAATGCCTTTGGCCTAACTCTTCAAGAATCGAACGGCGGAATCGAACTGATTTGGCCGAAGAGTGAAGTGTTCATGTCGAGAGTCAAAGACATTTGGAACAAAGTTGTGGGAGCGGACAGCCTTCTGAACATGCGAGTCACTCCGATCGGAAGCAACGACGAGGCAACCGACAAGGCTCAGAGATTCGAGACGTCTCCGAAGAGCGTGGAGCCGGTCTTTGTGAAGTTTCTTGTGAAGGGAGCATGTTACCGAGTGCAACTGTTCACAGTTACCAAGACTGGAATCATATCGGAAACGAGACACAACGAGACGATCAGAATGTCCAGTCCGGCGGTGAATGTCTCTTTGGAAAGTGTGACTCGGTCCTCGGCGACTCTCCGCATTATATTCGCTTCCCACCACGATTCGACGTCAATCGTCAACTGTCAAATGCACGTCGTCGTCAGAGATATGAACGGAAAGAGCGTGTTCGACAAGCGAATGCAGCTCACTTCCAGCTTCGCCCCGCTGCTCAATTGGACGGTCTGCGGCCGTTCCACAAGTACACAGTCAACACTCAGATCATTTGTGGCGGGAGTGGCAACGAGACTCCCCAATGTCCAGCCGCAACGAGGACTATGAGACAACTCTCGTTCTCCACGCGACAGGACAAGCCGGCCGCCGTTCAGTCGTTGAGAGTTGAGCCTTTGAACTCTTACTCTGTTATGCTGACGTGGCTTCCTCCTGCCATGCCGAACGGAATCCTCACTCATTATGTGGTCAACGTTACTAAAATGGGATCAGATGATACGAGAACCATCGACGTCGGGTTGCATCCAACCGATCCGATCACACTGTGCAAGTGGTCGTGGATGAGCTCTTCGGAGGACACACCTACAACTTCAGTGTCCGGGCTGTCACAGAAGCAGGCTTTGGAGAGGCTTCCCCAGTGGTTCCAAGTGTTTCGATGCCTCTGATGGCGCCTCCGAAGCCGACGATGGCGCCAACGATAATGAAAGAGAGTGTGGGGAGTCACAATATGATCATTCGGTTTCCGACAACAATGTTCGATAATAGGAACGGAGAAATCAAGCAGTAAGTGAACAAATATAATGACAGCATTACATTACAGTGATAAAATTCATGTTTCAGATTTGCTATTATCGTTTCTGAAACTACTGCGGACGAATCCATCAACAGGTGGCTAGAGAGTGACAATGCAACTTATGTCAGTTCTTTTTCAACGTAACCCATTCAAAACAGCGCTTTCAGACATGGATGCAAGTGCAACGATTCGATGTGTGGCCCTCGTACGTAGCCAAACTGCGAGACATTCAAAAAGTGAAGCAGGATGATGACGTTTCGATCTTCGAAGAGATCGGAGACGACGAGAGTTGCCGAGAAGTGCGGGCCGACAAAATCTGCAACGGACCACTGCGATCCGCCTCCAAATACCGTGTCCGCATCCGTCTCTTCACTTCGCCGACCCTTTTCACCGACTCGCCGCCCAGTCAAGTGATGACCACCGGTGAGTGCTCGTTTCTCTCCTCGTTTCTCTCTTTTATCAGTTGTCCTTCTCCTCCCCCGCGACTCCCCCAGGCCGTCCGTCCGCCCACCATCCTTGACTCCTACTCGATTACCTGAAACCCGAGCCCTTTTTTGGCTTCTGGGTGAACCTTTCCTCCGCCGCCTCTTTTCCGTATTCCATTCACCCGTTTGCAACGAGTTGCTGCTGCTTCTTCTTCTTCTTCTTCTTCTTTTTTTTCTTCTTCTTCTTCTTGTTCTTCTTCTTCCACTTTCTTCTACCTTCGAATCGTTTTTGTTTTGCTCCAATCATTTCCGGTTCGTCAGCTGATGACATCCGTGCTGATCACCTTGATATTCAGCTGAGCGCCCGGGGATAAGATGTTCATCCGATCGAATTGCGGCAAATCTATCTTGAAGAGCAACTGCAGCAGTTCAAAGTTCACCAAGTGCTCCGAGTGCGAAAACGGAGCCGAAATAGAATCGTTTCGCAGACTTCCGGTAGTTCATGAATCACATCCTCCCCCACCTTCCGCTGATAACAACACTCACACGAGAATTCTATTCGGTTGTAGTCTCTTTTCGCACGTTCCTTGTGGATTACAAGTTGTCTCCCGAGGAAGCTGATTATCGTCCGATGAACGAGAGATTTGTTCTGATTGAGTCAGTAATAACGGGGCGGATTTGGTGAAGAAGTGTGTCTTTTGACGCGTTGAATATCGAATAATCTTTGCTCAGTCGTCGACAACTCGACGTGCTGCTCGCCCGTTCTTCCTTCCCGTGATAGATTAACATTTCCGATATGTTTATAAAAAGCGGAGCAGTAGAAGGGTGCGAGAGTCTGTCCATCGGCCAGTCCGACCGACAAACAGAAAGAGGTGGCTCTGCCATCAGTCGAGCCGAACTTTGCTTTTGCCCCCCGGTCCGCCGCCCACGTGAATATATGATATGTGCACACATAGCGACGTGAGCTTCGAAGAGACAGAGGCGAGCAGCAGCCGAGCAGCCGTGAGCACCACCACCAGCAGCAGCAGCTTTTTTTCACGAACGCCCTCCTCCTCCCCCTCAGGCGGCCGTCGCCAACCCGTGTTCGTCGCCGTCTTCGGGTGCAATTTGCTGTCTTGTTTATTGTGTCGGCGCCTTCTTTACTTCTCTCTCTCTCGCTTTTCATTGCCACATTTCATATTTTATTCGTTCGTCGCCGGCGAGGTACACTCATAAATCAGCGGAAGAACAAAGCGGGACCCTCTCGAATCTTCCTCTTCCTCTTTTTCTTGCTCGTCCCCCTCCACACATGCTCTCATCCATCTTTGTCTTTTCCGAACACAAAAGAGTGATTCGATTCATCCGCCCACCTTTTTTTTCGAATGAATGAAAAACACAAAAAGGGTGAAAGATTTGATAAGCCGTCGCTCCTATTGTGCATGCAAATCGGCCTGTCCTCGGCGAATATGTGCATTTTTTGCTCTCGCGACGTCGTCGGTCGAAACGCGCGGATAAACGACTAATCCGGGAGCCGGAGTCGTCCGAGATGAGCACACAAACAGCCGGACCAAAGTTATGAATAAATATGAGAGAGAAAGAAGAAGAAGACAGGCGGGCGAGGACTCCTCGCTTCGGAAATGAGACACCGCCGCCATGCATTTTTGGGCGGAATGCCGGAATTATCCATTCGTGTCCCTTTGGTAGCAAATACTCATTCGTTCTGACTGAAAACAGCTCAAATCAGGGAATATTTTGGATTCTGCCCCGCGTACTTCTGATTTCAAAACAAATCGTTAGTTTCTTCTAGTTCTAACCCTCTCGTTCTTCTGAATTCTCCTGTAGTCGTCGTCGTTGTCGTTGTCGTCGTCGTCGTCGTCATGTCCCCATTACTCTTCTCATAAACGACGCGAAATGTGTTTGTGTCTCTTTTCTCTTTAACAGCTCTTAGGCTTCTTCTCCAATTTGGAGCCAAAAAAGACGGGAAAGGATAAGAGAAGTGGGAGAGAAAGAAGAAGTTTCTAATTAAATCTGCCAGTTTCTCCTTCTTCCTCCTCATCTGATTCAAGCCTTCAATGAAGATTACCCGGCTCACCGCTCCGCGCCTTACTCATCATTCTCCCCCTCCCTTTCCCTCATCATCATCGGCGCCTCCTTCACAAATTACGAGAAGAGCACACGGGAGGGCGCATCGCCTTCTTCTCCTACTTCTACTTCTTCCTCTCTATCGGTCGCTTCTTCTTTTTCTTCTTCTTCATTCGCACCCACGCACACCTTGTACTCTTCGTGCTCGTTGAACAGCAGCCGCCAATGGGTTCTCCTCTTCTTCTTCTTCTTCTTCTTCTTTTTCTTTCTTCTTTCCGTGTCTTCTTCCTTTTCTCTTCTTCAGTCCATTGTCAGTTTTGCGCAGCGGTGCAAAGGTGACGAGCACGGCCAAAACACAGATTTGTATGAGGGCAGTCCGAATGCAAATCGGACGCGTCACTCTGAATTAGGTTTCTCAAAGTGACGGATGGATTGGGGGTTTCTGAGAAGAGCGCCATTCGTCTGAAACGAGCAATTATCCTCATCGGACGTGGCAGCTCTCTGCTGATCTCCAGTCTCGATCTCCGATCCGACCTGTCACTTTCATCCATTATTTCCGATGACGCCAATCAGAACCTCTTGACTTCCATTTCATCTTCTTATTCTTTCAGGCTCCGCTTCGCCCGCAATCCCCCTCCTCACCGTCGTCGCCGTCCTCATCGTCGTCGCGTTCGCCGGTATTGTCGGCACTATCTTCCTCTTCTTCTGGAATCGCACAAAGAAAGCGAGGTGAGTATAGTCCGAGAACTAGTAGTGTTTGCCCGGCAGCCTGTCCACACCGGGTCTTCCATTTCTTCTTCTTCCTCTTCTTCTTCGTCGCCTTCCCATCCTTTTGTGTTCGAGTGTTCAGCTGTTTTGCAAATCAAACACAAGCCCCCTCCTCTGTGTGTATTTCCATGCCCTCCTCCTTCTCCATCTATGGTGGTCTTCCTATTTTTGGTGACGGCGCGCGCGAGAAGGATTGTGTACAATTTGCGTCGCTGCCCACGACGGCACCACTTGTTTTTCCTGGTTCTTCGAATGACAAATCCCACGAGGTGCTACCTGACTCATGCTTCTTTCGGCTTCTTCTTTTTCTCCTTCTACCTTCCTCCTGTTCCCTTCTGCATTCCCGTTTGCCCCACAGCCCCCGCACCTCCCAACTTCCGCCGGCCGCCCGGTATTCGACGATAATAACGTATTATCGATATAAAAGTGATGTTCTTCTTGTCCCCGCCACCCATTCTTTTTCTTCTTCTTCTTCTCCATCTTTTTCTTCGTCTTCATCCTCTTCTCCATTTTTCCGGCGGCGCCATGTTCGCTGCCGAAAATAAAAGGACAGCAGAGAGTCCGCCGCCCCCGCCCCTTCTCTGGTTGCAATTTCGACCCGAAAATGTTTTTGTTTTTGTCCGGAAAACGCGCGCGACTTACGCAGAATAACCAGTTTCCTCAACTCTCTCTCCCCACGTCTTCCGTGTACCTCACTTTGCAACGTAGTCGTTCGTGTATGCTCTCATCAGAATTGATCAGAATAATATTCTACGTCGACGTCTTCGGCATGATACAAATTGACGTCATCATCACTCGCTCGTTTGCATATGTGCGCATAAATACACAGAGACACGAAGAGATAGACATCAAAATTCATGAAAAGGACAACTTTTTCTCGGAGGAAAATATCTCTAGATTTTTCCCACATCCTCTCCCCTTACTCATAACATATTTAAAGCAGACATGAAATGCTCAGTAGATCAATTTGCAGACTTGCCGCGGCGGCATTCAAGAACGGACCCTCGAAAGAGAAAGAGTCTCAGTGGGAGGCGCTCAAAATGATGATGGCAGAGAGAGCCGCCGACTGTCTCGCCAAGCTCGGACTCGACGCGACGACTCCGCCACCGTCGTCCACGACGAGCTCCAACTCGCCGACCTCCACCTCCACGACCATGACCGACTGCAGCAATCCGCATCTGGCGACCCCGACCGTCGCGGGCGGACACCGACGGACACGTAGTCTCCGCGAACGAACTGGCGTCGAGCATCGGCTCGAACGGCTCTCGTCCGGACCCATCCATCGGACGCCCCTTTACACCGTGGTCAACGGAGCTAACACCAACAAATCGTGAGTCATCTTTGCCGTTTTGACTAATGTTCTTCATTTTCAGAAGACCAGTCCGATTAGAAGACTTTGCTGAGCATGTCCGATTGATGTCAGCGGATTCTGACTTCCGATTCTCAGAAGAATACGATATGATGCGCAATGTGGGCGTTGGACAATCGGTCTCCGCCTCGGAGCTGCCCGTCAACCGACCCAAGAACCGCTTCACGAACATTCCCTCCTACGACCACTCACGAGTCAGACTCTCCAATCCGAACAGCATCGAAGGTGGTGATTATATTAACGCGAACTTTGTGCCCGGATTCTCCTCCCGCCGCGAGTTCATCGCCGCCCAAGGACCCCTGAAGGACACGTGCAACGACTTCTGGCAGATGACGTGGGAACAGCAGTGTCCAGCAATCATCGCCCTCACGAAATGCATGGAAAAGGGGCGAGAGAAGTGCCATCAGTACTGGCCAGAACACGAGAACAGTCCTGCAATGTACGGCGACATAGAGGTCAGTTTTTATTGAAACCATTCCAAAAACAATTCATTGCATTCAAGGTGACAATAATGGCTCTGAAAGAGTTTGACGAGTTGGTAATCCGTGATCTGCGACTCGAAAGATCACCCCAGAAGGCCGATCCACCCGTCACGTCCGTCATTGGCACTACGTCGCGTGGCCTGACTTTGGAGCGCCCGCCCATCCGAACGGAATCATCCAATTCTCTCGAATGTTCCGTCACCACCTGCCCCATTCGCCCCACAACGCCCCGACGATCGTGCACTGCAGTGCCGGAGTCGGCCGATCGGGCACCTTCATCAGCATAGACCGACTGCTGCAGACAAGCTCCCTCGGAGAACCGATCGACGTCTTCGGCACTGTGTGTGAGATGCGTTACGAGCGGTGTCAGATGGTCCAGAATGAGGTAAACATCCCCTCTGTCTCTCACTCTCATTCTCTCATTCTCTCACTTTCAGCAACAGTACATCTTCATCCATTACTGCGTGCTCCAGGTGCTCCAAGGCTCTTCCCCACCGTCCTCAACATCGGGCGCTCATCTCAATGCCGGTTTCGTGCAGGATGGCCAGATGATTGCCGAGTCGGGCTTCTGATTGCCCCGCCCTTCTTCCCGGATGCTTAACTCGTTCTAGTCTTTTCCTTCGTTCCTTCCTATTTGTTTTGATTGTGCACTCAACGGGTTTCCTTCCCTTTCCGTCTCCTTCTCTTCCGTGACTCCTCCTTTATCACCCTGGAGATTATCCATTCTTTCAACGCGCTTCGATCTACCGACGGGTAACAAACATCTAATTAATGTATGTAATTTTCAACGAATAACTTGCGATAACTTGATCTATTTGCATCAATAATAAAACGTTTTCTCAATATTTATCCCGATCGAAATGTCGCTTTCTCTCTCTCTCTCTCTCTCCTTCTCTTCGTCGGAAATCCTCTAGTTTGTGTGAACTCGTGCTCGCGGAAAGACGACAAAAAGCACGCGCCGAGTCGCCCCGGCAACCGGGGAAAAGCCTTCCACTCCGTCTAATCCAGCCGTTATCACTCGGTGCCGTCGGCTCGCAGCGGACAATTATCCCCGGCCAGTTTGGATTCGAATGACCACTCGATCAGCCGGGCCGACCTGCGACGGAGATGACGGATGAGCGACGGAAACTCGAGAGAATCCGTTCTCGACGCCATTCTGAAGGCACAGGACAGGGCGTGGAATGCCCTTCCGAAGCTGATTCAACGACCCGCCCTTCCTCCGATCGCTCCCAAAACCACTCCGAGTATGTTTATTAGGAACGAGTCCATAGGTATCTCTTCACTTTTCCACCCTTATCTCAGTGTCGTTTCTAGAAGCAAGTCGTCCTGCCACATCACTCGCCAGTCGTCCTCCGACCAATTCCCTCGGCTTTCCTTCTCTTCCGAAACTTCCGAATTTAGGCATCCCTTTTGTTAAACCATTGACATCAATCTTTGAGAAACCGAAAACACCGCTCTATCCGATTCCACGTACTAACATTTCCTATATGCTCAATTTGAATGAAATCGATGATAACGAGGTAATCACATTCTTTCCGGTTCCTTCTGATTCTTCCCTTTCAGATTCTTCGTCCAGATTCGGCGGCTTCTACAGTCTTGTCCAGTGAACGAGAAGTGGTCAGAAATGTTCTGAGGCTCGCGGAAACGTTCTCAGAATTCCGAGAACTTTCTGTGGAACTTGATCAGGTAACATCAGAAGAAATCGAACAAATGCGCAGTGCGTGCAAGTCCCACGATCACCGGAACAGCGGCCTTCTTTCCCTCTCCACCGTTCTCAATTCCATCAAATCAGTGCTCGAAAACCCATCAGAAACATGGCAGAATCTTATGGATTGGTTGGTTGCGACGAACATTGACGATGATAAAACCTCGGAAGCTCCGTCGGACGTCGTATTTCTCGTAGATTATCAATTGTTCTTTGAAGTTCTGAACAATGATAAACAGGCGAGAGATGTGTTGTAAGTGCCCATTCCAGGCCCGTCTTGACCTCCTCGTTCAGAGTGAACATTCCGGAAGTTCTGGAGTCTGACGACCGCGGCAGTGTTTTCTCTCATCTCCCAGATAGGCCCACTTCCAGTCAGGCACAAAGAGAACGGTGGAGGGTCAAAGTAAGTTCGCATCCGTTTCAGTCCATTTTGATTAGATTCCAAATCAGTTGCTGGTTGACTTTGAAATCATATTTTCTTCTAATCCTGACATCGACATCGAACGGTTCAAGCAAGCCACCGACAAGAAGGTTTCCTGTTTCCAGTTTCCAGTTTCTTTCATACACTTTTCATCTTCAGATCATAACTGTAGAAGAACTGAAAATGCTGCTCCAAATCTACGGATTGGCAGAGCACGTTCAGCACATCGAGCAACGAATAATCGACTGCTTTCTCACTCACGACCACCTCTTTTGGTGAGCTCGCCATTCTTTGCACCTGCCAATTAGAATTGGCCAGCAGGTTCAACAAGCAGTTTCAGTTTCTCCGCCTTCGTCGGCTGTCTCAATCAGATCAACCCGGCCGTCCTGGGCACCCGATCCTTCTCCATTCCGCCTCCGATTCAGCCACTCTGGTCGAAGCCTGCCCTCCGCAAACTCGACGACTCCGGTGTCATAGCTGACCTCGACGCAAGCGGGTCACACTCTTAACCTTCACAACTCTTTCAACCCTTGCCTACCGGTCACTTTCTCCCGAATAAATATGTTCCCGATTGTCGCCCAGTCTTTTTCTTTCTTTTCCCTTTCCTCATCAATCAGCTCTGCCCCCACTCGTTTTTACACAAGTTAAGCGTGTCAGACGAGTCTGCGTCTCTTCCGATTCTCCCGAGGTCCGTGTCCCGTGTCAAAGTAAGCACTTTTCGTCCAAAATTTTCCCGGCTCTTCATCGCAATGCTTAGCAAAAGAATGGGTGAGTCGTTCAAGAAGCCCCTGAAAAAAGGTCTGAAATGCTTCAGGCACGTCGAATGCTCACTACAATCTCGGAAGATGTCTCTCTATTATCCATTTCCTTTGCGGATTCTTCATTCTTGTCAGTCTTTTCCACGTCATTCCGTTCCTTTTCATAGTGGTTTTCAGATGACGGGCGTCGGTTCCAATTACCTTTCCCACGACCCGCTTTCCATGAGTTTCGCATTCATTTTCATTCTGAATTCACTAATCTGCTGTGTCACTACAAGGTACTTCCAGACTAGCCGGAAATTAAAACTCTCCCCCGTTTTCCAGAAACTTTGACCCGATTTGTCTGCGAATGTGTGTATTTCTGTCGTTCCTGATGACCTTCGCTTCCGGATATCTCGTCTACCAACACGCCAGTCAGGTGCCGTCCCCCTTCTTCCGAATCACTCTTCAATTTTCATTCAGACGGAGCAAGTTTGCCTTCGGAAATGCGTCCGCACGGAGGACTACTTCCACACCCAACTGGCGCTCATCTGTGGTCTCCAAGGTAGTCGTCCCCCAACGGACCACTCCAATCCGTCATTTTCAGTGCTCAACTGTGTCATTTCCGTGATTTATTCTGTTTTGTGTCTGCAAAAGTCCCCGAAGAGCCAGTCTTATGACCGTGTGAAAGCTGAGCCCGAAGAGCTGCCAGCCACGATTTGAGCAGCCCGAGGGTGGCACTTTGCACGGGTTTCCGAGAGCTTTGCGAGCAAATACGGCACCTATTTCATACTTACTCAAGTATTAAACTTATAATGGTTTGGTAACTTAGATTTCGCAACGTCGTACACAATGTTTTTGGCCTTTCAACGACATTGTTAGGCCCATCTTCGGTTGTTTTAAGGTTCACGTGTCACGTTTTTCACGTTTCCAATCGCTAATTTTGTTTTGAAAACAAATACAAACTCCACTTTTTTCCATGCAATAAGGATGGTTTATTTAAATACTTTATAGCAGAGGGAGAGGATACAGTAGTCATAAAATTGGTAGCAAAATTATCAAATTAGACAGGAAATAGGATGAATTCACCACGAAGAACGTGGATCCGGAGACCAGTACCGTCGGTCGAGTGGAGACGACGCTGGATGAGGACGGTAGGCGTACTCCTGGCGGACAAACGGCATTATATGCTCGGCCTGAAAATCCTTTAGAACGAATGAGCAAACGAAAACGTGAGAGTTCATATTACCACTGGTCTTCTGTCAGGCCGATCTCGGCGATTTCTGTATCCTGCCGGCAGTCCATAATCTGATCCCGCCGGCGAATTCTCTTCACGCGGTTGAGCAATGCTCAAACCTACTGACAATCCGTTGACTGTCAGAGATCCCTTGCTGAAACTTTTATTTGTTAGTTTTACTCATTCGACAGCTCACTTCACGATTCTTTCGGCAGCTTCTGCACTGGACAAAGTTACGAAGGCGAATCCTCGGAATGGCTTCGGAATGAAGACGTCAGTGACGACAGCAGTCTCCACGTATCCTTTCGCTTCGTCTCCGAACACCTTCTTCAGAATGTGTTCGTCCACTTTGTCTGTGAGACGGCCGACAAAGATACGGCTGATCGAAGGTCTTCCTTGCTTGTCCTGAAAGTTCTGTTCGGCCCGTTTTTGACGGTTTCTGATAATCAGGCACTCACTCTTCCGTCCGGCACTTTCACATCACACCTCCGACCGTCTATCATATGCTGCGGTATGGCGAGAACATTGTTCTGCTCACCGATGGTAGCCATTCGAACGAATCCGAATCCTTTCGATGCTCCATCCGACTTTCGTTTTATCTGAAACGGCCACGTCTGAACGTATTCAAACCCGAGGAGCTTCGAAGAACAGAGAGAAGTAACTTGCAGCTGCTGTGCAGTCTCTCTCCAGTCACAGTCTCTCCATTCTTTTAGTCTCACGAACCTCACAGAACACAACAGTGCCTATTTCTTCGAAGTAATTTTTGAAGCTCTCGTCGCTCGTTTTGAAGTCGACACCAAGTACGATGAGATCAACTGGCTGGCTTTCTCTCTCAACCGCTCTCTTCCTTCCGTACCGTCCGTCTCGACCGTCATCCGAATCCGAATCGTCGTCAGATCCCACTTTACGTCTCTTCGCACTTGTCGCGTCAGCTGACGACAACGCTCTGACTCTCTCGCTCTCTAAATCACACTTATCACTCTTGTGGCACACAGAACATCTGTCCTCAACCACACATTTCTCAAAAACCGAGTGAAGCAAGAGAGAAGACCGAGAATTACTAGATACAATGAAGTTTACTCACGGGGAAGAATCACGTGAAAGGTCTTATTGTCCCACCCGTCAGAAGGCGCAAGAAGCTTGAGTCCGGAAGGATCTACTCTGAAAACGTCACAGTTACAAATGATTCACTGAGACAAACGAACTGAACAACACGGTTAGCACCGGTTTTCGGGTTCTTGTACTTGAGACCGGTGGATCCAGGGAACGAAGATTGTAATGTGCTCATCAGAACGGAGCCGTCCACCGTCGGGAGTTCTATCGGATCATCTCCACTCGGATCTTGAACTGTGATGAATTCCGGATCGACAGTGTTTGTCGAATCGGATCCTGTTTGTGTCTGAATGAAAAAAAAACTCATGTCAAGCATACAGTTTAACTTACTAATTCCGCTTCTTTCCGAATTTCTCTCACTTCGTCCAACGGCGATTTCACATCTTCATTTTCTTCTTCCGGCTTTGTAGTATCTTGCTTTATAACTTCGGTTTCCTCCGTCATTATTATCTAAATCAGAGAGACGACTTCATGCGAAATATTGATGTCTGCGGGAAAGATAAAAAGACGAAATTGTGAATCAGATTTAATGAAGCCTAATGTGATCTAAAACAAGTGAAACTGATTAAAAACAGATCATTTTAACGTGAAGGCAGGCAATTGATCGATGAAAGTAATGAACGATCCAAATCGCAAAAACAAAATTGTTAGGGGGTGTGAACACGGCGACGCACAAATGCACAGAATTGCGCACCGTGTCTCTGGTCAAATATTTTTCATTTTCGCTTGCTCCCGCAAGAATTCTAATTATTCAGAAGCCTGTCACAATGGAAAACTCCAAAAAAGTGGTGATGAGTTCGAAGCCAACCGGCACGTCAAACTGGAGAATAAAGTGAGTGCACTGTCCGCTAATTCATCAAAATGACGTAAAATTCATCCAGACTGCACAGTGTTCTGCGGTATCCGATGAGAAGAACGGGACCAGCTATTGTCGCCTCGACTCTTCTTTATATTGCAGTTTATAATGTCGGAGTCAGGTTAAGATACAAAAATTCCTTTAAAAAACAACCAAAAATGTTGAGATGGTGGAAAGGAGACAGACATCCGGTTAATCGGTGTATGTGGAGGATTCAGGAGCAGGAAGGAACACTCGATCCAATTCTCAGAGCGAAGAAACAGGCGGTACTCCCACCTTACCACTTGGTTTGCCAATTTATCTATTTCCAGGTTCTCTCCTACCAAGAGGACCGGTTCTATCACCCGAGGGACACCGAACCCAATCTCGGCGTTTAAATTTTTGTTCAGGCTTTATATTTCTTAATGAATTTCAAAACCACTTCATTCTATTACAATAAAACGTACAAAAAGCGGAGAAAAATAATCAGGTCGTTCCAAGAAGAAGGCTAATCTAATTAACACTCGACGGCTATTTATCGGTAGGTTCCGAACTCCTTCTTGTGGTTGCCCCAGTATTCCGGATCCTCGGCCGAATCTTTCGGAATTCCGAGCTCTTCGACGGAGAACTCGTGCAAGTACGGCATGTACCAATGGCCGAGAAGATGTCCCGAGTGGTAGTACATGTGATAGGTGAACCACGCCCAAATGACGGCCGAGATGAAATAGGTCACGCAGCGGTCGATGTACGTGCGACCGGTTGTCGGGGTACGGTAGAAGTAGCTGAAAAACTATTTTAAAACCGGCGAAAGATGGGTTGACGTACTCTGGAATCGGCTTGTCGCCCTTTGAGATGGTGCCGCGGTAATCTCCGTCGTAGGTGTGCAATTCGGGGTTCTCGGAGGCTCCCATCTTTCCTCCGACCGGCACGTTGGGACCGACGGCGTCAGATCCCCACGCGAATCGATGTCTGGAAACTGATGCCTTCTGAATCGACACGCAACAAATAACAGAAATTCTGATCTGTTTAATATTTTCATTCCGAACGTTTACCACGCTAATTATTGCATTTCTCCGCACCCCGGATAACGTGAACTAAATTTCAAAGTTTTATCGAATTGCGAGAAAAGGGAAACGTTTCAATCAGTTTTAATTCAGTTTCAACAATTGCGATCGGAAGTTTCATTCTAGTCTTAGAGAGTTTCTCTGATAAAGCGGCCCTTGTGCAACTCTCTCTCTCTCTCAGTCTGATCTGATATCATATTCGAAAGCGAGGAATACCTGACAGAAGTGAGACGTGGCGCCGAGGTGATGAGTCCCCGGTTCCGGAGCTGCTGCAGGGCCAACTGGGCGACGAACTTGTTCCCCAACATGGTCCGAACCTATAATGAAAATTAGAAGGAGAGAAAAGCAAGGAAAAGATAATAATTGGTTGTCAACCAAAAATGATGAAGCGATGTGGAATTTCGAAAAAAAAGTGTTCTTTTTCAATAAAATCAACAAAAACAAGAAAACAGAATATATGAACGAAAACAATGAAAATGAGAGAATAGAAGTTGGAAACGTGGGGAATTCAAAGGAAGAAGCGCCGACGACTGGTCTCCATTTCGTGTCTCTTAAGCACCCATTCGAACTCTCCCCACTTCGCATCGAAAGTTCCCTTCTGCAGCCATTTCAGCCTCAACGTGAACCTCGGACCCAATTCCAGAAGTGCCGCTTTCGTTCCCTCTTTCTTGAATTCGTATCTGTGGTGTCGGAAGAAAATATAATCTCTCTGATTGTGGAAAGTGACGACGCGTCGGCCGGTGAACTTGGGATCGTGAGGGAAAAGGCAGGCGAGCATACGAGCGATGCTGAAAATGGAATGAATGAGCTACGAAGACTTGGAAGAAACGAACTTGTGTCCGAGGCGAGTGTTGAAATTGTTGAGAATGACCTCCGGGAAGTGAGAAGTCGCTTCTCCGAATTTCTGAAATTTCACAATGGGAACACTTCATTTCCACATGCTTACCTTCAAATCCTGAGTAAATGTGAGACTATTAATCTTGAAATAGGCGGTCGGACCCTCTGGCAAATGGCAGAAAATGATTCCGTTCGGTTTCTTTCTGTCTTCATGAACAACAAGCAAATCGGTGAACTCTCTTTCCTTCGCCTGCTCGATGATCGTTTTGAGCAGTACGTTCTTTCTCGTGAAAATCTCCGAATTCGGAATGCACTTTTGAAGTTCAAAACAGAATTTGAATGTAGTCTGTAAGGAGAAAGATATATTGGAAAAGGAGACAACGACGGAATGAACTGACAATCTTTGCCTTCGGAGTCATTGTGATCATCACTTTCGGAGACGTTTCTCTGCTGAAATACGGAGCGAACTCGTCATTCGCCTCGTCGTGCTCCACTTCGTCGTCCTGCTCGTCGACCATCGTCGCATCGTACTCTCTCATACTCTCAATCGTCTTCGGAACTTCCTTCTGCGGGGCACTCTCTCCCAACTCATCTCGAATCTTCGCTCTTTCTTCTTGTCTCGCCCTCTTGTCCCTCTTCAACGCTTTTTTCAGTGCTTTTCCTCTCTGACTTTTCGGTAAATGCTTGAAATCGTCCTTAGTCTTTGTGAGAGCTGCTTTTGATTCTTCGTACTTCTGAATCAACTCCTGCAGCTTCTCATCCGTCAGTTCAATTTCCTCTTTCACTTCTTTCTTCGCTACTTTCTTCTTTTTCGCCGGCGGTTCGTCGTCCGAGTCAGAATCTTCTACAACGTCTTCTATTTTCTCGAAATCTTCTTCGTTCACATCTCCAGTAACCTCTTCTTCAACGAAATCGAGCATCGACTCCTCCTTATTTGACGATTTTTTAGATTTCTTCGTTTTCGGAGCCATCTGAGGAAGACAAAGATTAATAGAACAAAGAGAAGTGCAATAAACTGAAGTATAAACTGGTGGCAAAACCAGAAGCAAGCACGAATAATATGATTCCGTGAGGAAAAGAAGAGACATGTTTCATAATACCTGAAATACTGGCAAAGGAGTCGATGCTGTCGAGGAATGCAGTAAATGCAGTAATATATAAATAAAGCTAACTGGGAATAAGCTGTGAGATTGAAATGATTGGAACTGAAGAGATAACCGGAGGTAGATAATAACAAGAAGAAAGGGTTAGAGTTCGTCGTCGTACTGTCGTTGACCGGCAAGCGGTCGCATTTTGGCCATCTCGAGATCCGTCTTCGCATCGACCCGTTTGCACCCGGAAGATGAAAAAGCCTTCGAAGACTCGGGGAAGTACTGAAGAGCATTGAGAACGCGTTCAACAAGTGCGACGTCCGAAACGAGATCAGAACGTCCACGCTTGCGGAGATACGCTTCCGCACACTTTTTGACGTGTTCCCTTTGCAGTGGAAGGAATGGAATGAAGTGGTCGATAAGGTGATTGGATATGAGTTCGCTCATCTGGAGACCGCCTTTTTCGTTGAACGAAAATAACATTAGATCTCTTTCGAACGACTCAAGCTTCAATTGCTCGCGAGGATATCCGTTCTGATACTGCTTCAGGGTGATATTGGCGATCCTTTCACCGCCTTTGTTGCTCAGAAAAATGAAGATATTTCTCCGAAAATCCACGCCAGACACAGTGGAGTAGTAATCGAGGAACGGTTTGATGGCTCCGAGCAACTGCTCCGGCAGCTTGTCCGTTTCATCGAAAATGAACATGGACCGCCCGCATTTCTGCGCAGTTGTCAGAATACGATTCCGCAGTTCCATCTGATAGTCTTTAATCTTGTTCTTATCCGGGAAATCATTCGTTGCCACAATGTGCTGCACAAAATTACTCCGCAAGCCAAGTCTGTAGAAGAATTATTGAATCCCGCTTTAGGTATCTAGACTAACTGACCTGAATGTGTTATTGGCGATGATTTCGGCAACGTAGTTCTTTCCAGAGCCAGTGTATCCGTGAAAAGAAAGAACAAGCGGTTTGCGAGGATTCTCATTGAACCAATGAGATTTGATAGCATTAACAACGACGTCTTTCACAAGATGCTGTCCGTATAACATGTTCGCAAGGTCAGCGTCCAAAGCTGTCGTATCAATATGTTTTTTTTTCAGTGAAATTGGCTGAACTTACCATGATAATTGAACTTCATATCTGGTTCGTTACAACATTCATACAAATGACATTTTAACCGGTCTCTCAATGTCCAGAATGCACCACCCGATATTGCAATCACAGCTCCTGAAGAAACAATCCCTTTTGCGCGGTCGTATCTCTTGATCAGTTTACCTGCTATCACGCTGAACAATTCGGCACTTGTACTCCAGCAGAGGAGCAAAAATAAAATAAGATGCCGAGTTTTCATCCACCTGCAAGAAAACAACTTTGAACGGTGTTTTTAAAGGTTCAGAGAATCAACAAGAAAATAAATAAGATATTTTTCGATGTATCATTTAAGGTATTACTTTGTTTTTGCTCAAAAATTATCAACAAAAAACTCGATATTGTTGCACAAAACATGTTGAAAAAAATTAAAGCAAACGGGCGAAAATTTCGGTGTAATTTCGCGTGGTGGTGTTTGCGTATGAAATGTCGACCGTATTCCGTTGGGGCAATGCCAAGTGCGTGATTCTGGACGAAATGAGCAGAATATTTCGCTTCAACGGAACATAGAATTAAAAATTAAGAGATGAAGCCAATGGAAAATACAATGGAAAATTTGGAAAATAGGCGCATCAATCGTTGAATGTGGAGATGAATAATAAGTAATACTATTTAGAACGAATATTTTCAATTCAGAGTTCATTCGTGTTCTGATTTTCATTTCAGATGTTTACTATTGGCCGCCGTAAGAATCAGTCTCGATATCTTATTCCCAAAAAAGACGAAAAACAAGTAATGTGCTCCCTCGTCAGTCGCCTGGTCTTCCAGTACATTTTCCAATTTCAACATGTACAGTCTGCTTCTTTCCTTTCACTAATGAATACTTTTCCACACTTTCCTATTTTCGTGCCACGTCATTGTGCTCTCGCCACGGGAAGCTCTTTTCCATTTTTCATTTCTATGCTTCTCCCCTGCCCTTTTCTATATTATATGGGTCACAATACACATAGATAGGCAGTCGCTTCTCCCGAAATATTTGCTCTTTTGCCATATACTCGGCTGCCGCACATGATCACTTCTCCGCCGTTATCACTTTCGCCCCTTTCAAAATAAGTTCTCTCGAGTCTGTGTTTGCTGTTTCGCACCCTTCTTTCTTTGCCACATTTCACACTTTCCACGAATCATTTCGTTGGCTTGTACTTCTCGGGCCAAAAGAGACGCTTATCCATGAAATGACTCACTTGTTTGCACTGCTGGATGTGACGTGGCACTCACCTCATTCCCTGTGCTCCGATCGATTACAGTCTGTTTCGTAAGACATCACACTCCTTCCCTGTGCTTCTGCTCCCTGCCACGTCACACTACTTCTCCTCTTCTTCTCGGTGTCTCTTCCGATTCCTCACCTTCTCAATCGATTGCAGTCCCCCCGAGAACACACGTTTTATCACCGCTCCGAAAGCAGAGTCAGCGACCATACAGAGTGCTGAATCACAATGTTTCTGTCGCCGATTCAAACCTGTTTTCTGTTGACTCTTCCGATCTTTCCCCAGTTTATCACATTCAAACTCTTTTCCTCATTTCCAGAAACACGCACGCAGAATGGGTTATCAAGAGATGAAGGAGATGCCGCAAGTGTTGAAGCCGGTGCTTCTGGTAACTGTCCCCTTCTGAATCCACGTGTCATCCTCGTGCGTTTTGCAGCTACTCACCCTCCTCCAAATCATTTTCATGGCTTCTCCGGGCCTCAGAGGATGGGGATGGTTCGTTTGTCTCACTTCCATTTTGGAGTTCATTGCTGCCATCGGAGTGTTCGCTGCAGTCTTTTTTGATCTTCTCTTCACAAAGTCTAGCCAATGGGTTCTAATTGTAAGTCCTCGGGGGTTACAGTACTTTATATTGATCACACAATGCATTCTTATTTCTTTACCTACAGGAGCTGGCCTACAGTGCAGTTTTCTGCGTGTTCAGTGCCCTCAACACCATCTACTACTTCTGCAACATCTTCTACCACTTCAACTTCTGGTTCCTCCTGGCCACTGTGAGTTCTTCAGTCGTTCCTCTCCAATTCCGTTTCCCAGATCGTCTCCGTGCTCATCGTGCTTGCCTACGGTCTCCAGACCCTCGTTGCATGGACTTCCCGCTCCGGAGGACCTGCCACGTCGAGCACCGGCAACCAAGCGACCGCCGCCCCGCCTCCGTCCGCTTATCCGGCCGGAGTGAACCCCGCCTAACTAACCATATTCCTCATTTTCGCACTGCTTCGTACGGTTCCTGCTAGTCACTCCTCATGTATTCCCTTTGAAACTGATCACACGCTTTGAACATCTTTCCATTTGCCCTTGACATTTTGAATGAACTCTTCGCCAATTCCACGTGCTCCTTCCGGCGTTTTTCGTTTATTTCACAAGTCAGAAAACGCGAAAATCAACGGACAATGTCGCTATCGGAGCTATCAATTCTGTCCGCGGAGACCGCCATCAGTTTCCACGAAATGGATCTGGAGCTTCTGAAAGAGAGCCAAAAAGAGATGAAAGTGAAGAGCAACGAGCCGGTGCGACGAGCGGAAACGCATTCGGAGGGAGATTGGAAGAAGGAAGAAGGGCCGGCCGGACCGGTCGTGTTCCTCGCCGTCGACGATCAGAATCTGTCGAACGGAGGCGACGAGAACTCGTACGTGTTCGAGAAGCTCGTGTTCCGAGTGCAGCAGACCGTCGAGCACGGCGTCCGTCGCGTCCATCTGATGGTCCAACCGAGCACCGCCGCCCAGTGGGAGCTCCTCGTGCAGCTCAGAATCAAGACTGGGTTGGAGTGGAGTGTTCTGAATGTTGTCGACAAAGACGTCTTCAAATTCGATTCCTTTTCTCATCCTCTGAACGTGGAGGTGCAGACGAACGACGTGAAGTATCTCAAGATTGAAATGAGAGTTTTGAACTACGTAGGTTCCATTCCATATCTTCTTCTTTTTTCCATCACTCCATGTATTTCAGATGTACTTGGATCTGCCCACTTTCACCGATGGAGATGAAGTCATTGAGTTCGAAGACGGATCCCGCATTCTGATTCATTCAAACATCCTGGCCGTCCTCTCCGAGTTCATGGGTAATTCTGAATCCCTGGAACGTTTTTTAATCTCTTCATCAGGAAAGTTCGAGAAAGAAGCGGCGACCCGCGAGAGCGGCCCCGTGATCAGAGTGCAGTCCGTTCCGAAGGAGGCGTTCCTCGAACTGCTCTACCAGGCGTATCCCACCCGTCGTCCCATCTATGCAAGCTTCCGCCGTCTCGCCGCCGCTGCAGTCGGATTTCAATGCGAAACTCTCGTTTATCACTTGTCGAAGCACATCATCGAGTACAACTACAGACCGGTAAACTTCCTTTTGTTATATAGAATTGCCCTCTCGCTTTCTTTTTCTTCAGATGACGTTCCTTGATCGTTTCCGTGCTGCTCTCGAGAACCGTCTGGAGCCGGCCATCCGAGAGCTTGCCTTCCGAGCGGCTTTGGACGGAACCTGGGACCGAATGGTCCAGTCTGGATTTGAACCGGAGACCTACTGTTCTCGTCAGGAGCTCACGAAAATTGTGTGTCCGGCGATTCTGGCGGGGAGAAGTGCGAGACCTCATGCCACGAGCCTGTTCCCTCCGGCCCACACGTTGAACTTCCTTGAGATTGAGGAGGGAGACACTTCCAAGTCGGCGATTCTGTTCCGTGGAACCAATTTCTATGTGAACAGTGGACTGCTGGCCGCCCATGGAAAGGGGTCTCTGAGCACGGGTCAGAACGGAGCCCTCATCGCTCTTTATACTCCTGATTTCCATCGCGAATGTGCGATAAACAATCTGATTCCGGGAAAAGTGTTCCTCCAGCTGCTGACCTACATGCATCCGATGGGCGAAGTTCCCGAGCCGGACATGATCCGCGCTTGCGTCGTCTTCGCTCACGACCACGGATGGAACATTGTGAAGGAGAACCTGGAGCAGGAGTTCGAGCCGCCGACCACTGCGGCCGAGTACATGTCCCAGCTGGCGTTCGCCGATAAGTTCGACTTGCAAAACTTGAAACGCGTCAACATTCAGAGAGCCGAGTCGAGGTGAGCACGAAACAGAAACAGATGGGGAAGATGGTGTTTTCAGTTGTCTTGACCTGGCCGTGATCCTGGAGACAGAGGGAACACTGCAGTTTCTGAAGGAGAGCACTCGCGAGGGAATTCTGGACAGAATGTGCAGTGGCTGGGGTCTCAACCCGATGATCAACCGCCTCTCCACCAGGTGAATACAATCTCCTTCTTCTCTTTTCCAATCGTCACCTCTTCAGATATCCGACGACGTTCTACAACCGCACCGTCAACCTGCAACGTGGCAAGGCTCTTGTCGTCGGAGAAGGAAGAGCCGTCGACACTCTGAACTCGCTCGCCTCGGATCACGCATTCGGAGAGCCACTCGAGCTGGTCGTCGTCGATTAATTTCTTTCTGTTTTTTGCTTTGCCATGTGTTTTTTGTATTGCTCTCTCCGCCGATTCTTGATGAAACATCCACCCCCTTTTGTGTACTTTTTTGCAGAGAATTACAGAATTAAGCTCCGAACACATGTGTCGTTCGGGTCGATAATCCGAAAATACGCGCAAAAGCGCCTGAGTTGTGCTGCTCTCCCCGGCTGCGACAGACTCCCTGCTCGGGGGCTCTCCCGCAGCGGCTCCCGCGCACCGTCGAGGGACAGTGCGTGTTTGCAAATGCAAACAGTGACCGGATGGTATGTGTGTGCGTCTCCGCCAATCAGCATGCTTCTCGCCGACCCTGGAATCGTATTTTGCCACTTTTCTGCTATTCCACCCGCTGCCCGAGCCTTTCACAGTCATGCCAAACTTCTGCGCAACGCGTCTTCTCCTCTTTGTTACTCAAAACCTAAGCCGTTTACGCTTTGATCACTTCGTAAATCGCCGTCTTCTTCTTCTTCTCCTCCTCCTCCCTTTACTTTTTTTGTCTCCTTGATGCAATTCTTTCCAGTTCTCTATTGATTCAAATGAACTCTTCACACTTTCTCACGTCCAGTCCCTCGTTCTCTTCCACCCCATCTTCCACGTGGCATTCGGACGAATCAGACGGATAATCGCCTTCCGATTACCTGGAACTTCATCCGATTGTGCAAACAAATTCCCAAAAAATGTCACAAACAACGTCGTCGTCGTAGAGCGAATGCCGAAAATACGACGAATCGGCGAGGCGCCCCGGTCCTTTGTCGCCTAGCTCCGAGTTCGAATTTCACAACTTACACCACTAATTTGTGCACTCCTTTTTCCCTTTTCGGAGACTTATTCGGGCCGCTCCTGTTCCTCCCGTCGTGGTCATTGGGTTTAGACACGGCTTATGCTCAACTCACCACCGTTTCCTGCTTTCCGTTTTTTGAAGATGTGTCTGGAGTTTGAGTGTAGATCTACTACCGTAGACGCTTGTGCGCTCATGCTCTGACTCATCGACAGACTTCTTTTGAATGCTCAGGTTTCTTTGCTTGCTTTCTGACTTCATCACATTGGATTCATTTTTCTGTCATTCTAACTACCGTATTCAACATCCAATCATCATCTCCCAATCGATTATTTTCGGTCCAATTCGAAAACATTCCGTCCCTCCGTACACTCGACTTTTTCATTGTGCATATCCATGTCAATTATCGCATGCTCACACTTCCGCGCCCTCTGTTTGCATGCAAAATGTAGTGTCGCTGTGGCGCGCGGTCAAATCCGGAACCGAATTGAATTGAAATGTTTCATAATAATCGGTGTGTGGCAAGGTGTCAAACCGAGCAGCAAGATGGTCGGCCGGTACGTCGGCCGGGCTCGAGTGGCTGCGCGGAGCCCGCCAAAACCTGCTCTGTGGCTGCAGTGCCGCCTGCTCCTGCCACAGTCGTTTTCTGCTCAGCGCGTGTGACGTCAAGCACGTAATCAGTAGGCAGGACGTCAGCCTGACGGTTGGTTAATTGCAAACAATTCTCACTTCTCACTTCGAAAGCCGAACACACACTCACTTTACTCTTTTTCGAAATGTCGTTCATTGTCATTCACTCCCTCGCTCTTCTCTTTTCCATTCCGTTCCCATTTTTTTTGTCTACTATTTAATGATCTCTTATAAAGATGGTCTCCCGAAAAGGATAGATAGAGATAAGCAACTATTTATTTGATGAGCAGATAAATATAGACACCCCTCTCCTCCTCGCGTATCTCTTCACACATATCCCGCTCCCGTCTCGATTGCTCTCTCTCATATCTATCGATCCACAATCGTCGGTTCAGATACAACTCGGTGTGCATGAATGAATGTTTTTGTTGATCTTTCTACTGGCTAGCTACAACTCGATAGCATCCTCCTCGTCGATCCTCGTCGACTTCAGCAGCCATGCTATTCAGCCCACCCCTCAAGCCTACCTCATCGAGTACAGTCCTCCGGTAGGCTATCCGCCTTCTGGATCCGCCGTCGAAGGGTACGATCCTCCCGCTCTTTTATTTGCCACGTCATCTTTCTTTACAGTACAAGCTTTTATTCTCTCATCAATGGAACCATTTCTGCCACCGAGTACACCGTCTCTGTGAGCGCCATCCTTATGGATGGATCTCGACAGAATGTGGGAGAACTCTCCGTTTTCAGCAGTAAGTCCTTCGATTTCTATTCCTTTGTGTGTAGACTGAGAACATTCTGATCTCTGGAACATGATCCGAAAGATTTCTACTTTTTTCTGCATTATCCTCTGGTGGTCACACAGTAGGCGAATGGGGAAATGTTTGCGGTTGACACAAAGTGATCTACTGGGTGGGGGGCAGCGGACGGCCAGCGAGAGAGTCGTGTTCACACTCCGCCTAACCGGATTACACCGGGGCAAAATGTGCGGAGAGCGTAAGCGAGGTCTAACATAAACATGTGCCAAAGAGCACTTTTAGAAGGGAGAGCACGAACGGTCAGTGGCAGATTTTGAGAGAAGAAGTGGTTCGGTTTCAGGCCCCGATTCACCGACTCTCGATTCGATTGAGACGACGGAGCACGAGGCGACCATCTCATATTTCCCGCCGCAAGGACAGAATATCACTTACCATATAGGTACGAACAGTAGGAGAAGCACGAAGAACAGTGTATTTGCAGAGTATTACCCAGAAGAGCACAAAGAGTATTCGAATGCCATCGACACGAAGGCATCGCTTGTTAGGCTACGAGGTCTCGACTCGGGAACGACGTTCCGGCTCAAGATCAGATCGGCGTATCAAGGAGTGTTCTCGCAGGAACTCATTGACACCACTTTCATCACTCAAGGAACTGGTGAGTCGGTTTCAATCACACTTTCTTGTAATAGTTCCATCCTTCAGCCAACTATGACTATTCCTCGTCAGCAGAAACATATAGCGTTAGAACTTTGCCTCCGAATTTAATCTCGGACTGCAGACGACGACGGAAATGACGTCGTACGAATACTCGAAAGAAGTCGAAGAAGACACTACCATCACAAGTAAGACGCCCTCGACAGTTTGTTCAGAGAGGGTGATCTGTGTGCTTTGCAGCCCCTCTCGTTTCCGTCACCACCACCACCACACTCGCCCCCGAGACTGCGATGGCTTCCTCCACGACGACGGCGTTCGAAGAGTCCTCCACAACGGTCTTCGTCCCTGTGACAACTCAAACAGTCGCTCCCACCACGACCACATCCACTGAGACTACCATCACCACCAGAACAACTCTCAGGCCCACAAGACTACTACCACCAAACAAAAAGCAGAGCCCTTGGAGGTCAATTCGGGAGATTTGGGAGCAGATCATCCGACTGAGGTATCGTATTGTTTGAACTTAAAATTGATATCCTAACGCTTTCAGAATACGAACGCTCTCGTCGATTTGCCAGAAATGGTTAAAGAGTACGGAGAGCCGTCGGAAGTGTCGCTTTCCGACGAGAACGAAATGCTCCGTCTGGACTGGGAATCTCCGGAGAATGCCAACTGCGAAGCGTTCTTTGTCAATTACACCATCCTTTCGCTGAACAGACCCCGTTCTTTCTCCCTCGCCACTTCCGACGAATACGCGAACATCAAGATGTTCTCAGAGCACACGCTCGACATCCGCGTGTTCTGCATGCTCGCGGGCGCTCTCAGCAAGACGTGGTGGGCCCATCGCATCGCGCATTTGTCAAAACCGAAGCAGCTGGAGAATGTGCGAGTTGTGGAGGTGAACACGGACGATTTCTACGTGGCAAGCATCCAATTGGCATGGGATTGGCCCGTATTCCACGACTTTGAACGATACAAAATTATGATCTCGTACGGATTCGGGAAGGCAGAGACGAAGGAGATGGAAGTGACGAGCAAGGACGAAATGGTGCTGCTCGACAAACTGGAGCCGTCTCATCGCTACTCGATTTCCATCAGAAACGCGTCGACCGAACTGTCGTTGACTTCAAAAGTGACCCAGTTGGAGCAAGTGACCGCTCCGATCATCTCCTCAACTGTGTATCCGGGACAGATATCGTCCAATTCTATCAATATTAACTTTGGAGATTCTGACCCAGAACAGGGGAAATTCGATTATTATCTGCTCACGTTCAGTGGGAATAACAAGAACATTTCCAAGAAGGTCGAGATGGAACACGAGTGAGTTTAGTGTGAGAGGGAGTGAAATAAGTGGATGTTTTTCAGGAAGTCATTCACGTTCACCAAACTGATTCCCGGTAAGACGTACCAATTCTCAGTTTACACAGTGTACAAGGGAGTCAAGAGTCGGCCTGTTTCCGCAGATATCACAACTTGTGAGTTCAAGAGTGACCATCCACTGGCTCTTATTGAAAATCCTTCGTTTCAGATCCATTGAAAGTGAACCAACTGTTTCCGGTGGTCGGAAAGGACTACGTCGTTCTGTACTGGGACATTGAGAACTTTGCCGATTCGGACTGTAGATTCAGACTGAGGTAACCGCCCTCTAATTCAGTTATTTCTTAACGTAGGCCCTTTTCAGTTACAACGCAGACAACATTCCCACAGTTTCGGTGGAGTTGAAGGGCGCCAGCAGACACAGATTCTCAGCACTCGAGGCAGAAGTGTACTACACTTTCACGATCACCGTCATCATGGGTCTGGGCGATGCGGCGGCGGAGAGCGAGTCCGAGATGATAACGGTGGCGATTCCGAAGGGAAGACTCGCGCCGACGGTGCACAGGCAGGGAAGCAGAGAGCTCGTCGTCGGATTCGACAACGACCTCTCCGTGTTCTCGCTTCTCAACGGATCTCCCGACAACTTCGCCGTCATTGTATCGGATGACGTGACTCTGAACGACGACAACTACGAGCTGAAGTCGTGGTTCGAAGTGAAGGACGAGGATGTGTGGGGAGCGTACCGCGCGTCTCCTTCCACGTGGAATCCGTTTGATTCGGAGAGAGTGAGACGGGCGGCGTTCACGGTCGGAACGGACGATTGTGTGAAGAGGAATCTGGATGAGCCGGTAAGTCCTAGATGATTAGAAGAAATGTGTCATTTTGACATTACAGTACTGCAATGGAATCCTCCGTGCGGGAACAGAGTATCGAGTGAAGATCCGAATGTATACGGATACGAAAGTGGCGATGGAAACGGATTGGGGACGGATAGAAGGGGCGAAGGACACGGATGGAGATGAAAACGAAGAGGAAGAGGAGGACGGTGAGTGCATGAGAGAGGATCTCTCTGCAACTGGACACTTTCAGAACGCCGTTTCCCGTGCCACATGTACCTGAATGGCTGTCGTCGCAAGTCCGCCAGTCCTCGATTCTCCACCATTCCACTTTTTGTTTCTCTCTTGCTCACTCTCCTCTTTTTCTAGTTTCAATATTTTCTTTTTTCCTTTCAAATCAGTATTATTTTTCCAATATATTTATTCGTTAACTTATCAGTCTTTCAGTACACTCCGAGTGATCCACTTACTAGTCCGGCTCTTTTCATTTCCTAGCCTATCCATATTCTGAATATATCGCCCCCGGACCATCTGCTTATGGGTTTCTCTCCGCTATCCGTCACTCTCTTTCTCCGTTTCTCTCGCTACTTGTTCCCTCTTTCGCATTGCCAACTTGCAAACGTTTTCTTCAAAAGCTCATCGTTTATTGTTTCAATAAAGATACACTATGACGTGGAATTTGCTATTTACTCATTCAAAATCTCCTTCTTCTTGCCGTCCGTTCGGATCGAAACCTTCACAAACTTCAGTCCTTCCGAGTTCTTCGTCTCCATTTCTTTGATGAACGCCTTCTCATCCGTCACTTTTTCATCGCACGAATGGTACACAATCATCACTTTGTCGGATTTCTTCAGTGCTGAACAGAGTAGGGAGGATTTACAGGGAAATCATGGAAGATCTCACGTGGACCGGGATTGCGGGTAATGGAAATATTCTTGCACTTGCATGGTTCGATGATTTGAAAGACAGGATTCACACGGAACATTTCATTGTTACTGCATCTGGCCTGAAAAAAATCTGAACGGTAGATCATGGGCCTTCAGATCACTTTGACAGCGAGACGAGTCTTCGTGAAGTTCACCATCATGTGATCCGTCTTTCCAGCCCCACTAGTCGAGAATACTGCTTCCTGAAACCTGGCCGGATGACCCGGATGCACCGTTCCTAACCTCCGGATCGATTGAAAAGGCGATATCTGTTCTCTCGGATAGAGCCGTTTCGGAAGTCGCACTCACAACCGAATCTCCTTCCTTCGGTGATTCCAGCTGACATGGCTTCTCCATTTTTCTCAAAGCTGATGATTAGCACACTCTATGATTCCGAAAAATGATTTGTATTTAAATACTGGACGTCACTTTCTTTTTCTGTGAACTCTGATTTATTTTCTATCACGATTTTGTGGTTATCACTGCACGTTATCATGTGGTTTCACCTCAATTGCAGTCGAAAAAATGGTGTCGTTTCCCAACGATACTCCGAAATAACGAGAGCGCGCTGTTTAGCCGTGCTGCCGAAATTTTGTGTTTTGAAAAAAATTACCTTTTTCGTGCTTCTTCCTCATCTTTTCAACCGTCTTCTGTTTCGAAAATGTTGTGAAAGTTTAATAAAATTGTTTTTCTAAATTTCCTAGCAACGTTTTCATATCGAAACGTTTTATAAAACGAAATAGGCGGCTCTGAAAGAATTACATCATTTGAGAATGCATTCCTCTGTTCGTTTTTCTCTTTCGAAAAAATATCACAAGTTAACTTTTTTTCAAAAAGTAGATGGCGGCACCAGCAGAATCCGAGTTCGCCTCGCCGATTCCTCAAACTAATCCGGGTTCGTACGAAGAACTTCACCGCAAGGCACGCGATGTGTTCCCGACGTGCTTCGAGGGCGCGAAGCTTATGGTGAACAAGGGACTCAGCTCGCACTTCCAGGTTAGCATTTAGATTAGAATACGACAAGAACAGAACTTGTGATTCAGGTCTCACACACTCTTTCTCTCTCGGCTATGAACACTGGATACCGATTCGGAGCCACCTACGTAGGAACAAATCAGGTTGGGTTTGAGAACAGTAGAGTGAAACTCAAGTACATTAGCTCAGGTAGGACCAGCCGAAGCATACCCGATTCTTCTTGGAGACACTGACGTCAGTGGAAACACCACAGCAACAATTCTGCATCAGATCGGTAAGAAGGGAAGGGCAATGCCAGCAACAGCATTCGATTCGTTTCAGGAATCTACCGAACGAAGATCCAGGGACAGATTCAGCAAGGAAAATTGGCTGGTGCTCAGGCTACGGTCGAGAGAAAGTGGGCGAATCTGCAGTGGGAAAATTGTACGATTGAATTGATTGCAGGGGTCGTCTCAGCACTTTGGGTCTCACTCTGGCTAACGTGGACCTTGTTAATGAATCCGGAATCCTTGTTGGACAGTTCCTCCGGAGACTGACGCCGCGCTTCGACGTAGGAACTGAGATGGTCTACCAGTACGGAAAGAATATTCCAGGTAGCCGTATTTTCAGAGAACCAATGCATAGATACTTTATTTCAGGCGGTCAGATCTCGGTTCTCTCGTATGCTGCTCGTTACACAGCCCAGAACTTCATCGCCGCCGGAACCGTCGGAGCATCCGGTATTTAATAAATTTTAAAAACATTCTTATCGAATTTACCGTTTCCAGGAGTACATCTCACTTATTTCCACAAGCAGCACGACAACCTGGCCTTTGGAGTAGAGTTCGAGTGCAATGCGAACGTCGGAGAGGCATGCACCACGTTGGCCTACCAGACTGAGCTTCCAGAAGAGGGCGTCACCATGAGAGCCAGCTTTGATACCAACTGGTGTGTAATTCACTTCATAGGGATGCTCAACCCTCATTTATTTCAGGTCGGTCGGAGCTGTGTTCGAGAAGCGTCTCAGTCAACAATTGCCATTCACCTTGGCTCTGTCGGGTACTCTAAATCACGTGAAAGCCGCCGGAAAGTTCGGAATCGGACTCATCATTGGTTAATTCGTTGCTCACCGTTCTTCTGTTTATCTGTTGACATTTCGACGAAGTATTCCTTCATCTCTCCTTTTTCCAACTCTCTCTCATAAGTTGTTATCCTCTTTTTCTCCTCCCTTTAGTTTTAGGATTAGTAACGTCCCTATAATTTATAGGTTACACTTGAACCGATGATTTCGTCCCCCTCCTATCGTTGACACCAATTGTTTCCTCCAGTTTATTTTTTTTAGATCTTTTTGGTAGTAATATGAATTCATTATCGTTTTTTCTTGTCTTTTCCCTTCCCGTCTATTCCTTTCGCATTTCGTTTAAAAGTTTTCAGTGAGCACTGAAGAAAGAGCAGGAAATGATCATTCAAATCTCTGTTATCGTGTTTAATAAAACTAAAAGAAAGATTCATTGGATGTACAGTAGAAATATGAAAAGTAGGTTATTAGGCTTTGTAGCAGGAGGCGGGCAGCTCCTCGAAAACTCCCTCGTCGTCGACTCCGGCCTTCATCTCCGGGAACCAGTACTCCTTCCGTAACAGACCGGTTTCATTCGCATCCTGGGCGAAGATGTACTCCCATCCGTAGGCGAACGCTGAAAATGGGAAAAAGTGAAACCGGGAGTGGTTCCGTTGCGAACTGTTGTTCGTGGCCGAATAGGCGCGGACGATGACCGGGTGCATTCCCTCGATCTGAATGTCCCTCGCTGGCTCTCCCTCGAAATAGTTCACTTTTTTATTCTCGTCCTCAATCGTGAACGATTCCGTGCGGACCATTCGGATCTTCTGGAGACCCAGTCTGAAAATTCGGATGGAAAAGGCGAAGGAGAGGGCCGAAACGGACCTTCTGAGGTACTCGGCATATCCGTACGTCAATCGGGTACATCCGACTTGATTGACAAAGAATGTGTGATTGCTGAAAAATGGATTAGGATGCTTCTTATCTTTGTCTATACCTGAAGACGTAGTGAGTGATCTGCCAGTCGGTGTCCTTGTCCGCAATTCCGATTCGATGGTAAATTCGTTGTCTTCTCGAGTCTTGCAGCCAATTCATTCCAGTCGATACGGTCTGTAATTCACTCGAACGTTGGCGGACATTCAAATTTTTATTTCTGATGTGCCCACTACACTATATGTGAATTCTGTCCGATTTCTTACGTCATAATCGTTAACTGCTCCAGTTCTATTCGTGTAAGTTAGCGTTCCATTGTGGCAGTACTGGCTGATATCGTAAATGAAGAAACTGGAGTTTGTGGACGCTGGGTGAGTGTATTCTTCTGCTGAAAACAAACGAATGGAAGGGAAGAGAGAGAGGACTTACAAGTAATGACGGAGTAAATGATGCATCCAGTGGCGAATCCGATGAACAGAAGACCGAGGAATACCTTTATGATGATCGTGCTCCACTGAAAACGAAATATTTTCTGAAGCATGCGAATAAAACTCACGTCGACAATCTCGGATCTGTCGATGATGGAGACGTCGTCCCCGTAGTCGACGCTGTCGAATCTGAACTTTTTCTTCTTCTTCTTCTTCTTCTTCTTCTTCTTCCGATCTTTCGAATCCACTTACCTTTTTATCGACTTTTCCGAGTGACTCGACATCGTTTATTGCATCGCCAACGTACTGAATAAACTGAAAACTTTGAGTCTCCAATTGATCGACTCTCCTTATCAGTTCCTGCTCGCCTTACGCCCGCACGCTTGCCATTTTCCACGAGTAATGCCCTTATCTTAATTGGCGCAGGCACCGCCGCAATTCTATTGGTCGGGATGTACTAGAAGGATTCGGACGGATTCGAAGTGAATTTCAGTGCGATTAAGAGAGCATTGAGGTACAATTTCATCTCAAAATAAATAATGGTAAATAATGTGGCGATTTTTCAAATATATATTGATTGGTTTCATTTATTTCGTTTGTTTCATCTATCTTAACGCGATTCCATTCCAGCAATCTGAACATTTCCGACTCTTGTGCTCGGTACAGGCATCCTCTCGAATCCCGCCCCATCAGAATTCCACATGGAGAGGCTTGGACGCTCGGACGGCAGCCACTCCGAGCGAGGAGAGCCACTTGTGTGCGATCCTTCCATTTCGACGTCCTCTCCCTGCCTTTTAAGCGCTCCTGCTGCTTCAGATGCCTTTTCGAGGCGTCTCAGAATATTTGCTTATCAGAATTCCACTATGACATTGTCGGGTTCTCGGAGAGGAGCCACTCCCGGAACAGTTCCACGCTATTTTCAAACATAAAGAGATTGTGAAGAAGCTGAAAAAATTGTATAGGGATTCTGAAAAAGTAATCATGTATTTCTTTTATTCATTTTTATGCTTTCTGGCTGTTTCACATTAATTCTCCCTTGATTTTTATTGAGAAATCTCTGTCAAAATCCAACAAATGCCACTTTCTGCTAAACAAGGCGCAGTACGATGCTTCAAAAACCGGGGGTGTCCGCCGGGTCTCCACAAACGCTAGGTGAGGAGCGACAAACGGCCCCTCGCTGCTCTGCTTCTATTGTACTCGCTCGCCGTCCATTTTCTCCAAATTGATGCTCAATTTTCGCATTTCAGGGTGCTCCGTTTGTCTCCGCGTCTAGTTAAATTATGAGTCAAGAACATGGTGAGTTCAAAGCTCTTTTCGACGAGGTTCTAATTTTTCCCAAGTTTTTCTAGTCGCCGACAGCTGGGAAGATGCCGACGCCGATCCAGTCAAAGAATTGATGGAAAAAGTGGAAAAGGTGAGCGAATTCTGAATATGCTGATAAAAAACAAACCATTTATTTTAGGTGAAAATTCTGCAACGGAAGGAAGAAAAGAAAGAGGCCTTCTTTGAAAAAGTGAAGGCCGAAGAGAGCGGTTTGAATGGAACGAAGTAAAATAAATTACATTCTCTCGACATAATATTGACTTATTCAGATTTCCAACTGAAGAAGGGAGCGGATTGTCTGCCGAGGAACCGAAACGAGTTTTCCTCCGGCGTCCGAAAGACGGATTCGCAGCTGAAACCGTTATTGATTTGTCTTCACCGCCGAGTAATTCTGCTCCGGAGCCAACTGTAAACGCTCGCGGGCGCAGCGAAAAGAGCAGCTCAAAGGAGTCGAAACAACCTGCTCCAACTCTGGAAGAACGACAAGCGGCTTATCAAGCTGCTCGGGATCGGATCTTGGGCTCCGAGTACAAACCGGATTCTCAAGAAATTAAAGAAATCAAGTTCATCGACCGATCAAAATCCCCGGAAACTCTGCGGATGACCGAACAGAACATGGTGGAGCACTACGGAGAAGAGCTGAGCCGCGAGCTGATGACTCCTGCCGAGCCTCCAGTCATCCCACCTTCGGAAATAACATTCGTTCCGGATTTCTCGGTAAGTGAATGCAATTGTCAATGCATGCTCTTAAATTTGAATGTCTGCGTGCTTCTGATTTCATAACCCTTCTCTAAGTTCTTTCAGCAACCTCCGCCCAATCTTCCTCCACACGACGGTAGCGAGGGGTACAACGGACCGCCCGGCTTCCAACAAATGCAGCAACACTTCCCACCACCGCATCAACATCAACATTACATGGAAAATCCCTTTTACGTTCACATGAACAATCCAGCTGCGATTCAGTTCCAGAACCAGGCCGGAGGATTCCAACAATACAGAGCACAACAGGAGGCATCCGCCATTTCGTCTTGTTCGCAAAATAGCGCCATCGAGCCACAGAACGAGCAGCAGCAGCAGCCGCAACAGACTGTCTTCTACTGTCAACAGCAACATCAGCAGCAGCAGCAACAACAAATGGTTCGTTGAAACGACAGTTATTTAACAGAACTGACTGAGATGTTCGTTTTGAAAACTAGCACAACTTCTACATATTCCCATTTCATTTATTCACTTCCTTCTAAGTTTCAGGCTTACGTGCCGTACAATCTGCCGAACATGGCCTACCCACCTCCGAACTTCACTCCACAAGGCCAGCAGAGCCAGCAGATGATGATGAATCAGATGAATCATCCCCAAATGATTCAGATGCAGCAGCAGCATATTCAGCAGTCCCAAGGCCAGAGAATGAACAATTTTCAAGTGCCGAACGGGCAAAATCCGCGTGGCGGGGCTGTCAATGGAGGCGTCGGAAGGGGACAGAACAGACAGTTGATATACCAGATGGTGCCGCCGATGGCCGGTCAAATGGCTCATCCGCCACCGATGGCACCGCAAGTGCATCAGAATCAGAAAGGACAGGCTTACAACGGACGGAACGGAGGAAGCGGCGGACAGGGACAACAGAGACAATTCCAGCAGAATCAGCAGAACGGACAGTTCCAGAACGTGCAGAATGCCGGACGGAAAAACGTGAATAAGAACGGAAAGACTGGGGCGAGAAACGACGGAATCCCGCAACAACAGCAGAACAATTTTACTTCTCAGGCACATATTCCGATGAATTTGGCTGCCGGTCAGAATCCGATTCCATTCGGGTGAGTGAGCAGCCCTGCCTTCCTCCTTCATTCCCTCCCTTTCAGATGTCCACCTCGTCAAGTGAATGCCATCCGGGAGCAGTACGGCAACAACGTTCGGCCCAATCCGGGCGCAGGGCTTCTCGGACCGCATCCGTTGATGCAATGGAACCCGAACGCCCGGCAATAAGTAGTTTGCCCGTTTACTGCAACCTTTAGACTACTCATATCCATAACCAAGTCCGTTCGATGTGATGTCTTTTCCCCGTTCTTTCTCGTTCATGTTCCATCTGTCCGATTCGGAATTGTGTCAATTTACGGGTCATCTCTACTTCAAACTTTTCAATGTCCTGCAGCACTTTTCACATATTCCTTAGTATTATTTCGTCTCAATGCCTTGTTATGTAATCAAAACCGTATGAAGGCGTCGCTTTGTTGAACGAAAAATGATTTATTATGTTCCTTCACATGAACAGGTTGGGTGCTTATGCAAGACGTAAACTAGTAGACTGAGAAAATGCAACTAGACGAGGGACAGAATCACAGAAAGGGCAAAAGAAACAGGAAAGAGAGGAGAGACAAAAGGGAGGAAAAGGTAACCAAACCAATGACTGAGTAAATGGGAAATAAAGTGTTCATAAATAAATGCAGAAGAATCCCACTGAAAATGGGAATACAAGGCTGATAACGTATCAAACTTTTGCAGGACGACGTTTCCGGGGAGCATTGTCACTAGGAGAAGGCGGTGCCGAAACTTCCTTCAAAACGGGAGAATGAGGAAGAAAGCGTACTGAAGTGCTCACCTCGTCTCCAATCTTTTCGTAGTTGTCATCCGTGGACGCCTGACTGTACTTTTCCGCATCTTCGCTATCTTGTTCCTGCTCTTTCTCTTCTTCTTTCTGCGTTTTCTGATCTTCTTCTGCGTCAGAATTCTTTTCCTTTTTCGCCTTTTTCTCTTTTTTTTCTTTCTTTTTGTCGTCTTTCTTTTCGTCTCCTCCGCAGTACTCATAAGTATACCACGGTTGGAACGATTCAAGAACTCCACAATCCTCTGTCAAGTTCGGAAGAACCCAAAGTTTGTGTTTTCCCATGGAAATGGCGTAGATGATAAAGAATAGAAGAGTTCGGACTGTAACAAACACGATTTATACAATTAGAAAGGACAGTAGGCAACTCACGAATAGCAACAACAATAATGGAGGCGAAGCATCCTATTCCGGCAATGGAAACGTAGTAAACTCCCTGACGGAGCCATGCCGGCCACAGTGGAAACAAACATCCGACGACTGTTCCGACGACTGAAGTATATAAATGTTTTACCGAATTCGTCGGAATTCGCTTACGCATCAGTACTCCTATGACCTTCTTGAAAAGCGGGGTCGGGTCGAACACCCACACGTAAACGTCTTTATCATCCACAAAAGTCTGAATATCGTGCACTAGAAGTTTCACCTTCTTCTTCTTCTTCTCATCCTCTTTCTTCTCATCTTTCTTCACTTCCACGTCATTTTCCCCTTCTGCTTCCGTCGCCGTCTCTTCCTCTTTCGTCTTTTTGTTTCTCTTTTCCACAGTTCCTTTCGGAGACTTTTGCACGTCAGCTGAATCATGGAAATATTGAAAAAGATTTTTAAAATAGAGCAACCAGAATAATCGTTTCCCTTGTCTTTATTCTTCTTGGAAATCAGTTTCTTCGCACGGAAGAAAAGACGCTTCGAGTTGAGTTCGCTGATGTAGTGAAAGCAGTCATCTCTGTGTTAAAAAACTATGCAAAAGATTAAAAACGTGTGAAGGAATTCACCTCGTCTTGAACATTGCGTCTTTCTTCGCCTTGCTTCCGTATTTCGACTCCCAGAGAGTATCGACGGCTTTGCTGCCTGAAATCTACGTCGCTGTCACATTTCCAGAATAAAATTTTTCTAACCGCTGAAATAGTGTACTTCATTTCCTTCGAACAATGTAGTAGCCGTTGGGCAGTTGAATCTGATGTATTTCGCGATTCCCTCCTGTTCCTTGGTCAATTTTAAGTCTTCTTCAGACTGACCGCCCTGAATACTTGGCTTTTCACAGGCTTTATAAGGGAACAACTCACTTTTTGGTTTCGTTTCGACATTCTGAATTAGAATTCGAGCTAATATGCAGAAAAATGCTTCGAAATCTGAATATTTGGCCGAAACAAAGATGATGCGTTGGAACAAGCTGGATCCCTCGTGAAATTGATTGGGGAAAAGTGCGCCGCATTGCTTTTCCGCCCACTTTCGCAAGTGCCGCACACTCCCCGCTCCGTAAATCGACAACAACTCGGCTGGCATTTTCTTGTTTTTTATCTTGATTTTAACGCTTTTCAATGCTTTTTTGCTTGTTTTTGATTACATTTTTAGTTTCAGAATGGGTGGAGGACATCACGAGCCTTTCAAGATCCCAAACTTCTCGATCTACAACAACTACCGCGACTTCCCGCAGTTGGCGCAGCACGAGAAGCGACTCGCCCAGATCGGACTGAAAGATCCGTGGATCAGGTTTGTACATGCTTTTCGGTTTTCAATAAAAATAATGATTTCTTTCAGAAACTACGTGTACTTGTACGACCGAAAATACCCACATGTTGTTGGACAATGGGCGCATTTCAAGAAGGCTCGCCGCTTTATCCAATAAACCGAATTAATTGTCCAATTTACAGCTGATTCTTCCCGGCTGGAAGGCTGGAGTCGCGTTCACCGCCGCTCTGATCCTCGTTGAAGAAGCCTATCAGTACAAGACGCACGGAACCACCTCCTGGGATGGCCACCACTAGAAAACACGACCCGATTTTCTTAGTTTACAGTTTCTTCGTTTTGTATGTAGATTTTCAAACTCAATAAAAGTTCTTACTTTTGCAATAAGTGTAAACTGAAACGGTATTTTGCCTGTTTAATTTCTGCCCAGCTCCGTACGGAATCTCAAAACCCTTGGCTTTCAGAGCATGTCTGCTCTTGAGCAGTTTATAAATGATCAGAAGAAGAAAGGGAGCGGGCTGAGCGGCTCGGCGTCGTTCTCGTCGCTAGACTCACTCCGCAGCAAGCTTCCCACCACTATCGGGTAAAATTATAATTTATTCGGTAAAGCATCAATAGTTCCTGCTTGTTTTAGTGGTTTCTCTTTGCTCTCTCGAAGTGAAACGACAGATAGTCAACAGCTTCTGACCGGGGAAGATTCTGGAGATGCGCAGCTGCCTTCGTCAAGAAATCGGTGAGATTCTTTCCAAAAACTGTAATTTGGTGGTTACTTATCGGTTTTTATCAATAGAATATTTGCGAGACTGTGTGAAGTTACAGAAAGAACTCCGGTTGGTTTTCATCGTCCACTCAGGATGAGAGCATGTTCGGAATGACGCGAACACAACGGATCATCGCCTTTTTCATGTGCCTCATCGGAGCCGTTTTCTGTTTCTCCACGGTGAGTCCCCGCAAGAATTCGAAACATTCTCAAGTCATTTGTCGAATAGATTCGACACGTTTTATCCTCAAAAATGTGGATCCCATTAACCGAGTTTCTCTGCTTCTCCGCTCATTTCATCCTTCTCTCTCCACCCTCACTTTATGAGAAAAGCGGCTGTCCGCTCGAGATGTCGACGGCGTTTTTTCCGTGTTTTGTTTTCCGAAACCATGACCGGTTGACATAAATACGGAATAAGGAAGACCGGAAGAAAATATGATTTTTTTGTGTTTCAGGCAGCCGTGCTCATTCCAGTGATTTTGGTGTCCACGAGGAAGTTCGCTGCCCTCAACACTCTCGGATCGGTTCTCATGCTCATGAGGTGAGAGGAGAATGAACTAAATTCGAAGAATATCAACTGGAAATACAGTCAATCAACCAAATCTCTTCCAGCTTTGGATTCCTGCTCGGCCCGAAGTCCTACCTGACGCACATGGTTCTCCGCAACGGCGTCTCGTCACCGTCTCCTATCTTTCGGCTCTTTTGGCCACCCTCTACTCGTCCCTTTGGGTAAGAACACACCGGGAACTTGTTGTTTTTTATCGGTCTCATCGCCATCGTTGCATTGTAACACAAGCAGTTGGGCAGGACACATCCCGTCGGAATGTGCCCCTCTTGATTGATGATTCGGCCCCCAGCGCCTGTCGCTCTCGGATCCGATCCGATTGTTATATCACAATCACAACTGTTAAATCACTTTATGAAAAATAGCGCGAGAGAGAGAGAGCGAGAGCAAGAGAGCAAGAGAAGCTGGTTAAGGTGGCTGTACAATAAAGAAAGAATCGAGAGATTCGGTGGAATTTTCGGTTTAAAAGTAAATTAGGTGACCCGAGCGAAGGTTTGCTGACTGTACATGACGGGATGGGGCGAAGAAGCGAAGCTGTGCTAGCGGGAGAACGTCGATGCGAACTCTTCGTAGTCAATCTGAATCGGTTCTTGTTCTAACTCAAATCACATCTCGTCTGGTCTTACCTGTCCATCTCCGTCAATGTCAATCTCTGCGATGATTTCGTCGACCTCCTGGTCGCTGAACTGCTCCCCCATATGGGTCATGAAGTAGCGGAACTCATCGGCGGTGATGAATCCGTTTCCGTCACGATCGAAGACTCGGAACGCTTCGCGGATCATCTCGCTGTCGTTCTCCTTGTTCATTCTCTTCATCATTTGGCAGAACTCCCCGAAGTCGATCGTTCCGCTTCCGTCGATGTCCACCTCGTTTACCATGTCCAGAAGCTCTTGCTCGGTGGGATTCTGTCCCAGAGACCGCATGGCGACTCCCAATTCTTTGCAGGAGATGGAACCGTTGCCGTCCTGAGTACGATTGATAGATATCAGGTGAACTTTATAGAAAGTACCTTGTCAAAAAGCCTGAACGCCTCCTTGTACTCCATAATTTCTTCCTCGTTGAGTCCCTCGAACCCCGAGATCGGCTCGTTGTTTTGCTTAGAAGCCCAGCGGTTGAAGAGCGACACACGGCGTGGATCGTTGCTCATTGCCGAAAGTTGAGAAGAAGAAAAATCGAGAGTGAACTGAAAAAAAAAGATGAAAAAGTTGAAGTTGCAAGAGGCAAAGAGGTCCCAAAACGGCAGTTTCGAGAAAAGAAACGAAAAGAGAGAGAGCTATTTGAGGACGGGTTTATGACAAGTGCCTGACATCATTTAAAACGGAAAAGGATGATAGAATGGCGAAGAGCGTGACGGCCTAAAAAGAGGCTTATTAGCGGGGTCCAAAGTTGGAAGGAATGTTGATGAATACGCTGAGACGAGCCAGATAATGGATGCGTAATTGGGTAATCGAAAGGAAACGTTTATGCAAAAAAGGGAAGAAGAGTTGAATGCACTCGAAAAGATCGAGTTACTCTAATCTCCCGAATATTATCCCTCTTTGAGTGCCCAATCCGACAGTCTTAATCCGATCTGAATCTGCCCTCACTTGAGCTTAGAACAATTGCTCCTTGCGCCGAGCTGTAGAAGAAATAATGCGGCAGATCTGCTCAAACAAGGACCCTTGAGGCGAGTGACTCTGCTCTCGCAAGATTCTTCAAAAAAACATCCCATTAGAATATGGAGAAGAGTCATCCGAAAGGAGGCAAACAAGTTTGTCTCGGTATCGCCTCGAGCTCTCTGATGTCTGACTCCTTCGAGGGAACGGACCATCGAGCACAGAATTTGCTAGGAAATGGACCCGGAAAACGGAATGTGTAAATGGTAATCACACGGAGCACATGGCGACCGAATGAGTTGTAGGGGCGGAGCCTGGAGAAGCAACGAGCCCGGGCCCCGGCCGAAACGTAGGGGCGGAGCTTCGTTGTTTTCTTGATTCCAAAAGGTGTTTGGTAGGACGGAAGCCGTCCGGAAACTCGAATTAATTGAAAAAGTTCGATGAGGTCGCGTGATGTCGACTGCAAACACGCGGGGCCCAAAACGTTGAATTTATTTATGCGCGATGATGTGTAATGATGGATGCGACGAGAAGGATTTCATGCGGTCTCGGATGCCCGAGCCGTCCTGCCATCTTCCGTCGGACGGACTGTGTCGAGTGATGTAATGGACTGTGATAGCTCGTTTCCCAGACTGCCACGTCATTGGTAGTCATATGCAAGAAGAGCTCTGAACTCCGGAAGTAAAGGGGAAATGCCGTGACAGGGCAATGTATAGGATTGAGACGAAAATTGAGCTGCCGAGATGATGACGGACAGGTGGGACCAGTCAGATCAGAACTTTGGTGCCTTCGAGGTCAATCAGAGATCGGACGGGTTCCATCGAAACATCGGAAAGGACGCCGGCGACTTTTCAAAATCGCACGTGAACATGGAGACAAAGCTCGTGCTTGTCATGTTCCGAGTGATCCGAGGAGAGTGATAATTTAAAAATGTCTTTTCTCCCTGCCATGATTCTTCCTCTTTTTCCGGGGAGAGATACGGGAGACAACCTCTTCTCGCGAGCAACAATCGGAATGTCGGGGGGTCAGCTGACCCATGTCTTCCGGCTGAGTTTTCCCGCGAATCCATCACGATTCGAGAGGATGAAGAAATGAAGAAAGCAGCAACCGGACGGAGATCCCAGAAGGAAGCGTCGCGTGGTCCTTCGAAACTTCCGTCCTCTTCCTTTTTCGGATTCGTTCAGTGCTCCAGAGATTTATATACATAAATGGCCCATAAACGGTCCTACTGTGATTATGTCCTCGAAACTTCTCGAATGTACGAAGAAGTTGAGCGGACAAGAGAAAAGAGACGAGAGGTGGCCCCGGGGGAATCCACGGGAATGTTCATTCTCTGCAAAAAAGGAGGAAGAAGGAGATTTATGGAAAAGAAAACAAAGTCGAATTGGATGCAGAAGACATATCAGATGATTTCTAATGTCAGCTGAGATCAAAAAGTCACTGCTCCTCAAGGATTTTCCGAAAGTCTTGCTCTGAGTGTACGGGATTAAACTGATCATTTCATATACATGCTTTGCCTCGTTTCTCTCATTAATACCAGGTCATCTGGTCGCCACGTGCTTGCTTTGCTACGTCTTCATAGAATTGGAATGGAACTTTTTCTCTTTTCCGCGAACTAATTCCAGTTTGGCGTCAGGGAAAAACGAGAATAGCTCAAGAATCAGGAGCCGTCGTTTTCCGCTGTTATTTGATTAGCCGTACCACAAGCGTCGAACATATTCTCAATAAAATTTCCATTCTTCCTCTTTTCCCTTTCTCCTTCTTTCTGTTCGGTTCTAAACGGATGCCAATAGCAAAGAATTCAGCCCAAAATTTATGATTCTGACGACGTGAAATAACTGGCTGAAATTGCCGCCGAAATTGTTGACCAAACTCGTCGATATTAAACGGTGTGCACGTGTTTTTCGTCTTCGTGAAAAAATGGTTCCATTTCGAAACGAATATTGTTTTGGTGACAAGAAGCGCAAGCCTAATTTGCACATTGAGCTCAAGAAAATGGGCGGTTTCCACAACGCCTCCTAATTGGGTTATCATCTCCGAGCGGCTCTGCTTTGTTTTCTGGTTCTGAGCCCATGACGTGGGCGAAATGGATGGAATACGGTAATAGAGTGCACGTACGCAGAAAGCAGAGGCAGCGATAATGGGAAAGGGAATGGGGGCTGTAGGGATGGAATGGAATGTTGAAAGGTGACGACACTAACGAGTTCACAAGAAAAGAAAGAGACGATTCGAGGGGGCTCGCCACAAGCTCGTCCACATCAAAACGCGAGCTTAGAGTAGGGGAAGAAAGAAAGCACTCCTAAGTGTCGGATAATCGAATGAATGGTTCCAAGAACCCTCACAACTACAACTTCCAGTTTTCTGGACCAGGCGGTGCACTTGCTGTTTTGCCGCCACAAAGACATGAAATCCGTTGAAATGGGATCCGGGAATTGGGTGAGAATGCTTGATAATGGGGGCGGAAAGAGGTCGTTCAGGGCACCTCGTGATTCCAATGGGACACCGTCGGCTTCTCTTTGAACGGGGGAATATTGGTAACAGAACTTTGGGACAAAATCTCGTGGCTTTTCAAGAAAATCGACCTTTGGATGGAGAAAGATTATCTTTTTTTTTTGAACTCTCGTTGAAAATGAGAATGTACGTGAGAAAATGTGAATATCCGAGAGAGAAAAGGCGAGCCGTCTCGGCGACTTTTCATCAAAATAAATCTGATTTGATATGTACATACTCATTACCAAAAAGGGGTTTCTCCCTCGCGAAACATCCAAGTAGCATCGAGACATTCAATTTCAAAAGTGCTCTAATTTTCAGCTCAAAAGCACCATCTTCACATTGATCGCCGCCATCTTCCAGGGCTTCACACTCGTTTGGTCAGTTCATCATTCTCAGAAAACAGAGGGAGAATTGGCTTAAAAAGAAAAAGAAAGGGAAATTTAATTAATTTCGGGCGGCTCACGAACGAGTAAATTGCATTTATCACGAGCCAAGATCGGAGCAAAGGTTTGTTTGCCGCGAAGAGCGCGTGATTCCAAAACTGGAAACGGGCGGGATGGAGATCACCGAAAAGCGAAACGATTCGCACTCATTAGAAATGCAGTTGGCAGCCACCATTTGCACAAAAATTAGCAACAATTAGGCGTTACTCAGCCTTTTGAAAAAGTCAGTGTTTTCGGCGAAACGAATCGGTTTCTAAGAAAACATGAATGCTTAATGGCCGTCTGGACAACAAATTGAAAAATGACGTGATGTGGCAACTGAAGTTGACGAGGGTTCACCTGGATTCGCGTGTGCAAGTTAGAGATCAAATTCAAGCTTCTGCGGAATTCTGGATGGGTGCGATAGGCTAGCAAATCAAGAAGACAGTAACCCTTAGCACGAGCTCTTCACGCTGTCTTTCTTCATCTAGTGATATACTCCAAGAGGTTCATTTTCTCAGAATCACAGCTTCTGAGAAGTCTGATGAAAGTAGCACGCGACAAAGACAGCACAGTCGGAAAGTTATCAAATCCCCAGTGGTCCGTTTTCTGCGGGCGGAACCTTAATCCCTTCGTGAAGAACTGATTGATGGACGGGCTTTTTCGCGAGTACTCTTGACCGCTCCGACAAACAATTTCCACGAGGGAGGCCACGAATGTGCAAAAGCCAAGAATCGTTTTGAAACGGGAGCAGCCAGTAACAAAAGCACACGAAACTAGAGAACATTTCAGGCACTTTTTGATGAAATATGTCCACGTATCAGGTTTCTGTGAATGGAAAGAACTTTGGCGCGGCTAATGATGAGAATTTGGAAACTGGATTCGATGTGGGATGAATGACGTCGTCGGCGAGCAGCTAAGCCCTCTGATAGATCGGCGAATTCCGGACAGGAAAACGAGCGGAAATTCAGAAAAGCTTTCAACTGAATGGAATGAAATATATATGGGGATTATATAATATCCAACAGGAAATAGGTTGGAAAGTTCAGACTTAGTAGTGGCGGTTCAATGATCGAGAGAGCTTTCGCAGTATCCCGTTATTTGCACATTGGCAAGTTTGTTTCGCAAAGAGGGAATCAGAGTGATATCAAAAGTATCGAAGACAAAATATCGGACTTTCAGGTATGTGCTCTCGTACGTTCCGGGCGGCGAACGCGGACTCTTCTTCATCACCTCTCTGTTCACGACATTCCTCCGTCGATCCACTTCTTCTACCGTCCTCCCCATCTAACTCGGATTCGTTTTCTGGTGTCTGCTTTAGCCACTCTGGGTCTTCTTTCATGTACATTCTCCCCGTTCCTATCTCCCTCTCTGCATATAATTGTGATGATACTAAACATGGCGGTATTTTATTTATTCGAAATAAATGGTTCAGTAGTTCTCACATTGCCACGTGGCACACATATTCCTGTCTTTTCTGCGTTTCCCGTCCATTATTATTATTATTATGCGGTGGACAGGACGTCACTGCTTAACTAACTGGTTTGCAGCGAACACACCGCAATCAGCTTGCAACAAACACGACACAATTTCCCCTGACCATCGCAGTTTTGTCAGGCGTTCGAAATGCGCTCGTACAAGTGTAAATGGCCGGTTCCCTTCCGTCTTCCGTCCTTTGTTTGCCTCCCAATCGAATTGATGACGTGGAAGTACAGTACTCGCGAACCGAAGCGGAAAAACCAATGAATCAGCTTTTGACAATCGCCCACTTATCCCCGATCGTTTTTGTCTTTCGCACCTTTTCCAGCCCGCCCGACTTCCTCGCACTTTCGCCTTCCCATAAATGTTTTTCAGTTTTCAAGTACACAATCGTTTTTGGGCAGACTTTCTATTCCTCAAGTGCTGCTTCTTTCGCTTTCCACGGCGCCCCCTTTCGATACGATCACCTTCAGAATCAGATGGTATCTTCCGCGTTTCAATCCGATTATGCCAACCTTCTTCTACTCTGAATACCTGAGAGATTTTCAGACCGATTAACGCCGATTTTCGACATGTATTTCACACGGTGAAAGTCGTCGCGTTTTTGAACACTTTACGGCCAGTTGGTAATCCCCGTGGAACCGACGTAATTTTCTGGCTGGTTAAAGATTTAAAAAAAAAGTCGTCTCCGTCCGTTTGCTCAAACGAGAAAGAGAAAGCGAGAGCTATAATTATGCCCCTCTTTGTCCGTCTCTTTCATTTTTTTTCTCAAAAATGCCAAGGTTCCTCTTTCCTCTCTTCCAGTCGACGGATAATTGTTGTTTGGGCGTCGTCGTCGACCTTGCCGGTCAATTCCCGACGCCTTCACTTCCATTTGTAGTCGACGACGAACAAATTTTCTCACGGTTCAAAGCGGAAAAGCCGAGTGTCAACATGCCGTCGCAACGGGTGCCTTCCACCGATTATTCATCCTTTTCTTACAGTTCTTACGGTTGGTTTACAGCCAGTGATTTAGTCTCGAACGAGGGGAAGCGAGACGGAGAGAACGGGAGATGGGCGTGACTAATTGAGTGAAGAAGAAGGAGAGGGGGAGGCAGAAGCGCCTTGAACACCATTTAGTTATTATTATTATAGAGGCGGCTGTCGGAATGAGGTGTATTACTGTTATAACCACTTAGACACCGCCTCGATTACTCCCAGAATACCCCCCTCTTTTCTCTTTTCTCTTTTCTCTTTTTTCGTTACTGTACTCGCTCTTCTTTTTAATTTCGAATGCCTCCATCCCACCGATATCTGTCAACGCTGATGAGTCGGAGGAAATTGGAGCTCCGGTGTCTAATTATTCCGACGCCTTCTCCGTGCATCCGAGAACTCGTCCTCCTCGCGTCGTCCCTTTTCCATCTCATCTCCCGCTAATATGCAAAGCAGTCAGGGAGCATGAATAATGGCTCGTCGGAGCCCGAAACAACGAAGAAGAAGAGGGAATTTTCATTCCATCGTCCGGAGCAGGGCAGCAACTCTCTGCGTGTCGTTAATTATTGACGACCGAGTTGCCTTCCATTATTCGCCATCTCCTTTCTTTTCGTCTCCCGTTGACACCATATTTCTTCTTTTTTACGATTCCCTTTACTTTTTGCGTTCCATTTAGGATTACGGTAATCGGAGTCTAAATGCTACTTTGCGTCGGTCATCTTACACCCCATCGTTAGCACTGATTACAGGCGGGCAATGTCCAGTCGGACCGTAATTCAGTCCTACCTAATAGCCGTTTCGAGTTTATGATCCTCGAAAAAAGAGAACTGGAAAGCCGTAAACATGAGGATAGCCATCACGGAACATTATGGTTTTGGTGGTTGAACGAAACGGAAGAAAGAGAGAGAGAGAGAGAAAAGTATAATTCGATTATCATGGTTTCTTCCCCGTCTGACTTCTTCTTCTTCTGCTTCTTCTTCTTCTTCTTCTTCTTCTGAAAGGTCGTCTTCTGACGTCTTCTGTCGTTGCGCAACACTTTCTTATCGCACTGATCGGACAGGAATTCGGGTATTTCGACACCACCACCGCCGAGGCTTCTCCTCCGTTTCGAATTCAGAAAAAGGCTTCGAATTCCTCATTTTTCCTAATCTCAATCATCAAAAAGTGACACACAATGATCCAGTGTCTCAAGAGAGTTTCGTTTTTTCGCAAAGGAATGCCAAGTTTTCTACTTTTTTCCTCGGCGAACCCTCCTTTCTGGGACGGTTCCACTGGTCTGTTATGACATGGAAATGACAGCATTCCCCTTCTTCTTCTTCTTCTCCTCAAATATTTTATCATCCCGTTTTTATGCGTGGCTTCTGGATTGCGCAAGCTTCTCCCTTCTTCTTCTCCTCCCGACCGTTTTTTTGTTCGATGACGAACCGCGCCGCCGTTGTTCCTGCATCGTTATCCGTCCCAATCACTACTATTCATTCATTATGTCACATTTATTGTAGAAGCAGAGAAAGAAGCATCAATGCCGCCTTCCACGCATAATCTAATTTCGTTCAGAATCGCATTTCAGAGGAAGAAGAAAAAGAAAAAGAAAGAGATGAAGAGCAGAGGTTGAGAGCGGGGCTAACCTCATTCTTATTGTTGTTACTCACTCAAAAGAGACATTTGAGGCTTAGCTCTCGTTCTGTACTACTCAGCTTTTTACCTGCTTTACTGATCAGCAGAGATCGCTATAAACTTTATCAAAATCGGGATTCAGAGATCAAAAAGTAGGGGTTTCTCAACAAATTGTTCCAAAATACCAAGTTGTTATCTCAGAAGGCGTCGCTCATAACTGATCCTTAACACAAAGTCCTTTGAACTTCCTCCACAATCAATTACCTTCTCGAACCATTTCCACCTCTTCACACCTTCTTCTCTTTCTTTCTTCCTTTTCAATTCCGTCTCCGCCCCCTTCTTTCTTCTTCCTTTCCCTATTTCCCTTACCAAAATAAACGTTTTGTGGGCGTGGCCGTCATCGTCGTCGTTGTCGCCCGGCGCAGACACGAAAATTGGAGCCGGTGGTGGCGAGCACCCCACAAAAAGCACATAAATCGTGGTCACTCCGAAATGGACTGGCGATTTTGTCCGCTGCTTCTCCTATTATTCGACTTTGGTATCCGGTGTCAGGAGGAGACGCCGCCGCAGAACGAAGTGCTCGGCGAGCCGACAGTCAGGTGAGCCATCCGAATGAGCATTTGTGCGTGCGGATTAGCCGCAATCGTATATCTCGTCGCTTCTTCTTCTTCTCGAGAGCATCGCTTCTCATTCCTTTTTGGCGTACGTTTGGTGTCACAAAGCGCAGGATTAATGGCTTCGAAAGGGGTTTCCACAAGGCGAAGAGTATCACATTTGCATATTTGACCGCCTAAACGAAGCGGAAGGAGTGTGCGGGAGTGAGAGACGTAGACGGTGGCTAAGGGAAATGAAATGGGTTTCTGAACGGAAGTTTCGTCAAGAAATAAGAAGCAGCGAGAAGCCACTGCGCAAGCAAAGGAAGACAAAGTCCAGGGAGTCTAATGAGTACTGTAGTCTTACAATCGCGCTGTTCCGCTCTCCACGTGAATTGAAAAGATCACGGTCTTTGCCGGGTTTTGGGCTGGGATTGCGGTAGAGCGACATTGTCAGAGTCTTAAGGTGCTAATATTCACATTGATTTCTCTCGTGCTGTTCCAAACCCTCTTCAAACCTTGCTCCAATCTAATGTGTAGTACAGCTGTATCGGACCGCCCGGAAGCTCGCAACCCGGGTCGGAAGCCGTCATTCAGTGGTCGAAATCGAATGCCATTTCATTTCGTTTCACTGCAAAACCAAACAACAACACGACGTGCTCCGGGACGGGCCTGCTCAAACATTTACTCTGCGTCTCTCCGCCCCGCACACTGTTTCGTCGCAGCCCATTTTCCGTAAAACCTCATCATCTTTCGAGTATTTTATATTAAAATCGCGCCGATTTACATATTAGTTTGGTTGTTGGTTGGCCGCGAGGGAAACGAAAGGTATCTCAACTGCAAAAAAGGGAAAGGAGTGATTGAATTGTGGACGAAAAAAGGAGCAAGTGACTCCCTTTTCAAACTCAATTTTGGCTTTGAAATGACGAGAATGGATGGAAAAAAAGGGAAGAAACGGAGGAATATGAATTTGTTTTGCGAAGAAAAAAAAGAGTACATAGTTTTGTTCATTTTCAGTTGTGCAGCCGACGCAATCTATGTGAAATTACGGACGAAGAGCACATTTCTGGGGCATGTGGACGTCAAGTACTCTCCAGATAAATCGTGCTTTCAGGTAATGGAAACAAAAAAAGATTTATTGGACACATGAGATTTCAGAGTCTCGTCACGAACAACCAGATTGAGATCCTGATTCCCCACGAGGAATGCATGGTCCCCCGGAGAAGAAGTCTGCATCCGACGGGAGTCATTCTCGAGGTCTCTCTCTCCGTCTCCTTCCATCCCGAGTTCACGACCGCCGACGACCGCATCTTCAACATGCAGTGCTTCCATCAGAAGAAGACGAACGGTTCCTCCACCTCCCTCTCGATCGGATCCCCTCAACCCCCTCCCGCAGACTCCAAGGGACCGTACTGTGCGTATGCAGTTCTCAACAGTCCCGCCGGTTCTCCGGTCGGTCGCCTGGCTCTCGGACAGGCGGTATATCATTCGTGGCAGTGTCAGAATGTATACGTGAGTTCCATTCGGTCTTTTTCGTTGTTATCTTCAATTAGAACGTCTAGGAGTCCTGCATAATGATAGAGAATTGTGAACTGATTGGCGGGGAGGAAAAGCATGAAGTGATCGATTCGGCCGGATGCTCCAAGTACGAATCGATAATGCCCCAACTGGAGTACCACAATCGGACGAACGTGGGCGCCGCGGTCAAAGTGTTCGGCGTGTCGCACACTCCGATCGTTTACTTCGCGTGCCAAGTTCGTCTGCACCCGCAGTTACCGTCCGGGGAGTGCCCGAAACCAAAGTGTGGAGTGGCGAGGCGGAAGCGGTAAGCAATTCCGAACAGAATGATCTTAACAAAGTTTACCTTTCAGAGAGGACTCCTCCCAGTTCCCTTCTATCGATGTTCGCAGTCAGAACTTGGAGATCTCCCAGTTGATCAACGCGACAATGTCGCCAGAAGTTCCAACAGAGCCGACCGTCAACACGTGTCCAGATATCCACGTGGAAACGGCGCCTTCGGAAGAGGCTTCCGAGTCCAAATCACTGGAAGAGGAGAGGATATGCGCGGACTTCCGATCCGTTCTCATCGTCAGCGTGCTCCTCACCGTCGTGAGTCCCTTTCCCTCCTGCTTTTCCCTCATTCTCTGTGTTCCAGGCACTCATTCTTATCACGACAATCATCGTTATTCTCATCGTTCGACGTCAAAAATACGAAATCGCGAGCATGTCCTGACCTGCTCACTCTCTCCTTCTCCGATCTCAATCTCTTACTTTCTCCTGGCTTTTTCTGACTTTTCCCTTACGGATTCTCTTTTCCGGTGCGCTTTCGGCCATTCCCATTGACTAATTTCTTATCAGCCATCACAGGGTTTTTAGAATTTATTGAGAGACTACTGACCAAAATAAACTTTGCCTCCCAAAAAGCATTCTGCAACATTATATTCGAGAAAATCACTGATCGTTTGTGTATCCTTATTTCTTCTCTTTGCTTCTTCCACGCATTGCGAAGACACACTATTATACAACATGTTGTTTTTGTTGTCATACCATCATCCAGGCCAGTAGAGCCGTTTAGCCACCTCATATGTAAGTAGCAATGAGTATTTTTTTTCAGAACATAACAGTTGATGGTGTCGCTAGAATAACCGTTTTTCGGGTCGAGAGAATCGATTAGGCGGCTTATATTTAGCGGGGAAAAGTCGAAGGCGATCGGATGGGGTTCAGGGGCTGGGAGAGCGGGGAAGGGGTCGGAGGGTGAAGTAAAAGCCCTTGAGAAAACCGAGGAGAATTCGGCCATCAGGGGTGGGTCGGTTACAATTTCGCCTGAGATGAGTAATGTAAGGGACCAAGGTGTCCCGTAACCACAGGCAACCGGACCATACGCCAGGGCCCACTTTTCAAACGTGAGGGCTCGTCCCTCGCCCTCCCCAACCCACCGATCCTTCCCTGGAAGCTCACACCATCCACTGGTCTCACCCACTGCAAACCGACCACATTCCAGAGCACCTCCGACATCCGGCTCGCCCACGATCCCGCCGCTTCACGTGATCCCCGCGCCGACATTCCAGCCGCCTCTGCTCGATCTCCGATCTCACCGCGTCACTTCCGGCCAGCTCCACATTCCAGCCGCCACTATATAATCCCAGATGCCCCGCCGACTAGGCGGTTCCCTGATTGTCCGATCCTGAATAAACCTGTTCCACTCGATCCGTGTCTTCTTGGCTAAAGTCCATTGACCTTCGGACTGGAGGCCGGGGCTGGTTAGGCCAGCCTGCCCCCGGCACTTCCTACTGGTAGCAGCGAGCTTGGTGACCTCCGGGGTCACCCGTCCATCGACCTATTATTCAGCCCTCTACCTTGGCTGCACAGTTCCGGACGGTTCATGGAGACAATCAGGTCTTCTTTCCTTTTTCTGTCCTATCTCTTCTGTCTACCGAGTCCCGAGAAGCCCTGCAGGCGTCGAGAAGTGTTCGTAAGCGGCTCACCGTTT